CTATTATTTGAATATACGTGTCGAACGTAAAGAAAAGGAATTTTATTGGATCTCTTAAAGTGTCATCCTCGCCTACCATCAAAATCAGGTGTTATATCTTTAGCATAATATTTTCCTGTAGGCGACAAATGTAGTTATGCTGTAGACGAAAATTGGATGAAAATTGTTACCTGACAAACGTTGTAAGTCACTTGCGAATAATTTCATCAGAAATGTAATATCAAATTCTATAATACTGGATATAGATCAATTTGATAAATAAATTATTTTTTCTTCTATAATTAATTAATTGAGAATTTTCATTTCTACCTCGGTTTAAGGGTGCAAAAACCTGGAAGGACCAAAATTTTGCTTGGCGCAGAGGAATTTTAGCAAATTTAGTTTTTAATTAGGTACGCAAGGCCGAGACTCCCTCCGGAAATTTCTTATTAGATCTGCTTAGAAAACTTCGGGCAATTATCCTCAATGGCGGGTAAAACGTGATTACGGGAGCGACGGAATATTTTTCACTCTGATAAAAGACATCTGGAAAATCTTGGTTTGGTGAAAGAAGACTATTTCGCGCACCAGTTGCGCAATTTTAACAGTAGTTATTGTTGCCAACAATGAAATGTATGTATCTCTACCTATTGCAAAGTTTAAATTAAAAACAAAAAACTTGTAACGCGTAAAATTATAAAAGAAAGAAAATAGTTATAGTTTAATTTTTTAAAAGTAAACGACTTAATATAGCAATTGACAGAAAAATTTATTCCATTAAATTTTTATATTTCTATTATTTGAACAAAAATTAAAATTGTTGAATTCTTTTCCTTGGTCATCTGTTTTAATTTTGTTATTATAATAGATTTAAAATTTTTAGAAATATTAATGTTTTGATTAGAATTAAAATTAAATTACCTTTTGCTCTATATTACATTTAATATTTAGCTTTTAGCTACCTCGGTAATATTTAACTAACTGTAAGAATGAAATTATTGTCAAAGACAAAATAAACTAAAATAATAAAAAATATATAAAATAACATCATTATTTTACGCAATTTAATTAATCCAGTTTATAACGTAAATAAATGTTGAAGAAAGTATAACTTGTAGCCGGCAAATGCGATTCTCGGTCGGCAAATCGATATTTTTTGTCGCACTCAATTCTTTCACATCGATATTATTAATGCATCAATGTCACGTCGGAAGTATTGCAACCCCTCGCGAGGTTTCTAATCAACCTTTATTGCTTCCCCGTTGTTTTCCAGCACATGACGTTAGTACTTAGATCACCTCGACATATCATTATGAATTTCTATCATATTTCCTTTCTTCTTCTTCATAAATATTACTAGTATCAAAGAGATCCAGATAGTACGACGCATCCGCGTATGTCGTCAGTGGAATACGCTTTTTTTCATTTACGTCACGTCGCGTCCGCCAACATTTTTAATTTAAGTTCGACGCGGAGGGAATCGTGCGGAGGAGGAGAAAAAATTTTCCGCCCACTGCGAATCGTGGCCGGATTTCGAATAGCCGTAAACACGAAACGGAGGTAGGGAACCTCGAACAAGGGAGGAGGGTCGCTTAAGATTATCTGAGGTGCGCAAGTTGCAGCTTGACGCCGCGATTAAATCGCTCCGGCGTGGCGCCGCTATAGTAATAATTACGCTCTCGATGGGGCACGTTCTCGCGATAAAAAAAGGTACGTTAACAAGCCCCGGCCCCAACTTTATTAGCTTATCGCTGGTCCGCGCTATTATGGTCCCTGCTATTGTATACATTATGCATGTGCGTGTATACGCACGAACGTGCACGAGAGAAATCGGAAAGATGTGGAACGTTGTAATGATAACTGAGAGTGGAGCAATACGGTAATTAAAAAATAAATTTAACATGAGATGTAACATAAGATTTGATTTTTTCGCTGTGTGTCCTCGAGTCAAATTATAGGTATATAATTGTGGCGTGAATATTTATAAAGTCATCGATTTAGCAGATTCAATTTTCATTGTAATATTCAAAAAAAAATTTTTCTGACAATAGTCATTAAAAAGTGTGTCATTTTATATAGAAACGTATAATAATTAAGGGAAACTAAGACAATTCCACGCTTTTAAACGATGGAATGCCAAGAGTTTTTTCCACCTTTAAAATCATCATTGGAAATAATCCGCATTAACATCTTGAAATGATCCAAGAACAATATAGTGATGTATTCAGCTTCAAAATCATACATGCTACACATCATCAAAAGTTGTAATCGTTCGCATCACCCAAGTTATTTTATATATGATTATAATTAACAGTAGGAATTGCAATCGTTAGCATCGTCGAAATGTTTTTTAAATTTTATAATTGACTAATATTATATGACTCCACTGATGAAGACTGCGTACAGTCGAAACGTTTGTGATTTAATTGTATTAATATGTTTTAATGTTTTTATATGATATAATTGGGAAGCAATAAAAATTTATAATATTCATTAACATCCTAATAATTTATGCTCTTGAGTTGGCCTGTACTTACATTAATTTTCCAATTTTATTTCAATATATAAGAGCGTTATAATTTTTACTAATTTATTATAGGTATATACATTTAGATAATCGAGAAATCAATGGAGCGTCCCGCATTATTATTTTGCTCGCGTAGATCGACCGATCTTTTTTCATTATTTGCGAAGATCATAAAACAATAGAGGACTTTTCTACTCGATTTAACCCGCTCTACTTACACGTGACGAGGAGCGATTATTACCGAACCTTGTATATATATGTCAAAAGCGGCCTATCATTTGACGAGGGCTCTATTTTATTCAATGTGACAATCGCGTTTGATATTTCAAATTATAATATAATTATTTGTCGCTGTATCATCATTTCACGAGTAAACGAATACTTTTAGTTCTATTTTGTTACGAACGAGTTCATATGGGATTCAAATTATCGTTATCCGAGACCCAGTCCTCCTTGCAGTGAATGATAAAGACATGCTGGTCTTTAAACTTGGTGAAATAGGGGCACTTGAGCAGGCGCTGACAAGGATCTCCGCTCAGCGAGAGCGCTCAAGAAAATCCCTCGAAATCGCACAATACTATTTGGCCCTTTCATTCTCTATTCCAGACAGCAATCTCCATTCATCCTGCAAATTCTTTTATTTTTGTTCGATTGCTTGTAAAGAGCGTCGGTTTGTAGCCATGTGTTTTCAGAAATTCGTGCGTTCAAGTCGATACAGAATGAATGATGCAAAAGAAATTAATTAAATTTTCAAATAAAATACTTGAGCAGGCGCTGACAAGGATCTCCGCTCAGCGAGAGCGCTCAAGAAAATTTCTCGAAATCGCACAATACTATTTGGCCCTTTCATTCTCTATTCCAGACAGCAATCTCCATTCATCCCGCAAATTCTTTTATTTTTGTTCGATTGCTTGTAAAGAGCGTCGGTTTGTAGCCATGTGTTTTCAGAAATTCGTGCGTTCAAATTGATACAGAATGAATGATGCAAAAGAAATTAATTAAATTTTTAAATAAAATAATATAAATTAAATCTTAAATTAAATAGATGATCTTTTGCGTGCAAAAAGGAATTGTGGTAATATCTTACTGCATCTTTTAGTACAATAAATATGTATAATCAAATATAATTAATATAATTCTACAGTATGATTATAATTAATATCCTAATAATGATTGATGACACGCTGCATAATATCTTTATGTCATTTGCGAAAGAAATTTTATTACACATCGTACCTTATGATAGTATTTTTTTAAAGCTCAAAGATAGCTAAAGTACTCATTTTCAGGCTACAGTGATGATTAAACGAACTCGTCGACAAGAAAAAGTGTCCGCTCTACAATGCCCTCTCGTTGCAACTTTACTTTTCACATGCACACGCGGTGCGTTTGCATCTGGCGTCAGTCTAGAAAGAGGTGCCGGTGCTTTTCGTTGCATTCATAATTTAAACATTCACCGGCTCTTGTATTCTCTCTTTAACGCACCATATTCATAACGCGATATAAAGTGATTTTCACGCCGAAGGTCGAGTGCGCTTTTAGCCGAATCTAATTTTATGCGGCGTCATTGATGCACGCGCATTTATCTCTCTCTCCCTCTCTTTCAACCAGGCTGTGTATATTTTTACACGTAAATCTTTTTGAATATAAACAATAATAAATAATGTGAAATATTAATCAGCGTGAATATTCTGTTGCGATTCATCTGTGCGACCCGCCGCTGTTGAGAATTGCGTTATATTTTAATTTATGTCACACACATTTATTCGCTACGTAATGTACTCGCGTGATGAAGGTAATCCTTTAAATATTTTATATCGGTTGAAATATTAATGTCACAAGCCGCGGCCGTTTATAATGTGTTATAAAGCTAATTAGATTCCTCATAAGGATATTTTTAACTGGAAAGGTTCGATTTTTTTCAATTCAATACACAAAACAAAATTTCGTTATTTAAATCAATTGATTTGAAATAGAAAACAAGATGAGCGGTAAAATATCGGTGATCGTTTACAAAATTATTTTAACAAGAATATTTTTATTTAGCGCACATGCAATAAACGAATAAATAATTATTTTATATATTTAAAACAAAACGCAAGAGCGACTCGTCAATTATGTTAATAACTGACATTTATTGTTGCATCGTAATTTTTCTACGTGTTTTATTAATTTTAATTTCGCCTGTTGCGGTCATAGAATATAAAACGAGAAACATAGAGCGTTAACGTCACGAATCGATGGAACAAGAAAGTGACATTAGCGTCTTCTTGCAGTTTGCTAAATGATATAATTGATTGCTCATTATCTTCACTCGCCAGTTAAAATGAAATGCTTATAACATGCATTCTCTGCCGCAAATTACATTGCCGCATGCGGCGTGCAAATCATTTCGCGCGCACGATGAAAAACATACAGTTTACAAGCCATACGGATCGTCTCGATCGATTTGACGATCAAAACGTTCCGCGGATAGAAACAATGCTATAATTACCTCGCGATGCGTACCGGTTGCATTTTTCGCGGCTGAATCGCGCGCGTGCAACTACTTCCGGAAAAAAACAATTTTCTCGCGTAGTAATTTTTTGGTTCTCCTTTCTTCGCAGACTTGTTTTCGCCTTTTTCCCTGCAGCCACAAGAGTGACGAAAATTTCTGTTGTCGATTTTTTTTTTGCAACCACCGTCCAACGAACGAGAGCTCCTTCGAGCGCGTCGCGGCGCTAACTGGAGAATTTTCGCGAATACACGAGAAGTCGGCCGGTCCAGCCACGCGACGCATGCGTCGCAACTCCAGCACTTTGTAGATTTGCAAGAAAAACGATGGGGAGAAAAGAAGAAGAAAAGGAAGAAAGGAAGTTCTGATAATATTAGGGAAACGTTCTGCGATAACATCGGATACGGAGAAGATCGTATAGGGTCGTGCGAACTCGCGCCGGATTGAAAGGTCAGATGTCGGCCTCGTTTGCCGATACGCACGAAAATGCGAGGGTGGCCGAAATTGTCGCGAGATTATCTCAGTGGCAGCAGCAGAATTAATGAGATGACGTTGCGAAATGCGGGTAACGAGATGACGTTAATCACGGGCGCGAGAGCCGAGTTTTATCAACCCTTAATCTGATACGTAACGCGCATCATTCGCCCTCGTGTTTGTTCGAGCTTTTGTCTGCTTTTTGTCGCAGTTATTCGGATATGTATACGTATATATCGTTCTTGAATTCGTGATTATATGTTTCAAATTGTTTTTATTTAAAATATCCTGCCATGGATTTCAAATAAAAAATAATTTATAATTTAAATAGTGTCTAAAGTATCATGTTTTTTTAAGTAGAATCGTTTTCGATTCGAAAAGGAGGCAAATTTTTTTTACGTAAATCGATAATTTTCTAAATATTTTTGCACATAAAAGCATGCAAGTAAAATTATCAAATGCTTTTCTTATATAGGCATTAGTTTATTCGGAAAATTCTCTCATAATTTATTCTGAAATAAAATAAAATTTTAGATCTATTTTATATGTTACAGATAAAATAGTGCTTTTTTTTAATTTAGCTAAAATTATTATAAAGAAATTCAGTTCCATTGTTCTGAAATTTCATAGATTTAAATAATTAATGTATTATATATTATATATACATATATATATATATATATATATATATTTCGTAGAATATTTTCGGTGAAAAACTTCGCGCTTGCAGATTTTAACAATCGAGTTGATGCTTCCGTAATCTACTTTTATTGCTACACGCAAGAATAGTTTTTTGCAATTTTAGGGACAAAATAATGTTTATGCTTCATAGTTACCTGACGACTAAATGCCTTTACTTAGACCACCGAAGATTGAGATTTATGATTCGTAACCATCTTCGCAGACTACGAAGAGAGAAAGGTGTTGTTCTGTATTGAAATGATAAATTGCATACGATAGTTATCATGAATCCTTCGATGATCCACCGTCAAACTTTTCACATTCCGACTCGCGTCTTACAAAAGGGTCAGTTGCTCGCTCTCCCATATTCTCCCTTCTAGATAGCCTTGATTAACTAATCCCAGGCAGTTTCGAACGCGAACAAGTATTAGCTAACTAATTCCAGCCATTTCCCATCCCTTTCTCAAGTCGTCGCACTAACTATGACGTAGATGGAGAAAGTTAGAAATATTAAGATAGTAGAGAAACACACGAAAGCAGAGTAGCGCGTTTACATTTCTACCATTCGTTCCATTTGCAAGCTCTTAAGACACAATATTTATTCATATTGTAAGGACACAATATGATTCATATTGTAAGGACTCTTTGAGCATTTAAAATTAAAACTTTAAATACTTTCTTTTCTAGTACATAATTCAAGTTTTTATATTATTTGAAAAAAATGCGCGCAAAGAAAAAATATTAATTCAAAATAACTTTGAATTTACAATATTCATTACACATTTCCTAAGTTCAATTTATCTAGTATTTCATAAAGTTTTATTTTCATCGCAACAAAAAAAAACTGATATCAAGCTCGCACATCTAATCTTCCCTGAAATAGAAAAGATCCTGTAATTGACCTTAAGTGCTAAGTGTTGTAACTTTCGAGTGTCATAAATAAATGATATTTATCACATGTTAGAACAGAACGTAAAACAAGTCTGAATTCGTGCCCAACATCATCGGCGTGTCTCACACAAAAATATCCTCAGGAGTGGTATAGGGGTCTTTGATCGTAACAGGGTGAATTGTTTCATAGGGAGTAGGACTCTTAAGAATTATTCGTATATGCCTCGACATGGGGTCGACGAGCTCACGAAAAACAGATTTCTATGTTATCTCCACGCACCGAATTATTTTTATGTCGCCACGTAATAAAAATTCGATGAATTAAAATTATGTCTGGGTATAAAAAGTTCTACGCAGACAGCCTGCCAAATCTATTGTTGCAATAATTTTATAACAAAAATTTAGAAATATGATTTTTATAGTTTGTGATGGAGGAGCACACCTTTTAATACGATTTTTAGTCAGGCGAGTTTCGGCGACGCAGCGTGCAGGGCCACACTTGTACATACATACTGTATACAAATAAATATTACCTGTTTCAAGTATTTCATAAGTTTATATATATCCGCAAATATATAATAAATTCATCATAAGCATCAAATTGATTCAAAATGTGTTCTTAATGTTAATAAGTTTAATACTTCAATAAAAAATATTAAATTAAAACAAATATTCTATTTGTTTTTTTATCTGATGTCTTTTTTGATAAAAGTTTATAATATACTTGAAAAAAAATAATTTCTTTTTTTGAATATATTATATGATAATGAGTATTTCTAATATTTGTAATGAGTTTATTTTAAGTCTATTAGGAAGAAAATATTTTACTTAAAAGTTATTATTGAACATATTAATATATTTATATGAACAACTGAAGAATAGACAACTAATCTTTTTATATCAATTTGAACTAAACGAACCAAGGAAATAATAATTGTACGTGCCTAGAACGGTACGATAATTATTTCATAATAAATGAAATGCTCGAAATATGGCCAGCTTATCATATATTCGATAATTCGAGTTTATTGGGTTAAATATGTATTTAGTGGAAGCCTACAGTCGGAATTATGCAACAGAACTATAGAACTTGTCTAAAGTTGCGTTCCAAAACGTTCTCTGCGAGGAAAATTTTACTGAAAAAGCTATAGTGTACGTTTTGTGCATTATAGATTTTGAGTAAAAGTTTCCTCGAAGAGGGACGTTTTAGAACGCAACCCCCAAACTATGAAATTTCATGATCCAAATTTGGAAAAATGTGAAATAATCTGCTAACTTTCAATCCAAGATTTTTCATTTATCTCTGTCTGTTGTGTTCTATATCCTTTTATATCCCACAGATAGCATGGCATGATATCACATGTCATGAAATTAATATTTCTTTAGTAGAAATAGACTGAAGGAGAATATATTATAGTTTGTAAAAATAGTTGTAATCCCGAAATCAGAGCGTAAAATATTTATCAGTCTCATGCATTGTTACGATATTGACTGTATAATGAAAGTTGTATCAGCTGTATTGTGCGGTAAATTTTTATGTTCTTACCTTAGATGTACTTTGCCACGTTTTACGCTTGCTGTGGAAACTGCGCGAGGCTCCCACGGGATCTCTTTAACTTTCGCCTCCGTACATGGGGTTTTACGCTAGAAAAACTGACAATCCGCCCGTTTTCGTGTTTCAATGCAAACCCGCAGGCGGCGTTTATAGCAATCATAAAAACTTACGTGTATACGACGCGATAGAAGCGGCGTCGCTCTAAATCTATTTCATTGTCTTACAGTCTTTTTTCAGTCGCGGTTTTCACCAAGAGGCGTTAAATTGAATGAGTTTGAACACTCGGCTGTCAATTTAATTTACTATATGCTTCGAATCGATTTAACAAACTAAAGATAGCGCGACGATCATTTTTTTCGAGACGCACAATGTATTGTCAATCGACCTGGAAAAACGAGGAAGGAACTTTTATTTCATCAAGCGTCATGTTTAATCTTCTTACAGACGAGAAACGTGAAAGGATTACCTCATCGAAAGATAGAGTTATCATGGAGATGTTTCTCACGTATTTATGTGGTTTAGGTAAACGAGTATTCACGTCAGATATAAGAGGATGAAGAATAGAATACATACAAGTATTAGGAACCATTCGATTAAGTTTACGAAGGTTCCATCGGTTATGATTAAGTTAAACAAAAAAATTCTCGATTAGTTTCAGGATAAATTCAAATTCACATTCGCAGAAAATTAATAATTTTATTTTTCACTTCTTTTTAAGTTTAACTCTTCACGCAAAATAATGAGTCTTACATAGAAACTATAACAATCTTCCGACAAAGGGAAAAAATAAATATAAGTGGTGAAACATTAATATTTCATAAAAATATCCACTTTATTTTTTTAACTTTTCGTGTCCCGTTCGATATATACGACACAGTTAGTAGTAGTAACAGGTGTAACTAGGACCATATTTACCATATGTTACTCCTTTTCACAATAGAGACAATATTTTTTGTCCCTTTTAGCTGTAAGTAAGTATGGCCCTAGATGTAACGACAGCGAAACGACAACGCTTGTATAATAGTAAGTACCAAATAATAATCAGTTGCAGATCTACATATATTTTCAACAACCTAAGAAATCTCTTTTTTAAAGAAAAGATTTTATAAACACAAACAAAATTATATATTAACAAATTATATATTAACGTAAATCATATCTTGAAGAAAAGGAATTGAAATCGTAATTTAATAAGTGATATATACCAGTATGTATCTGTACGCCGAAAATTGTTTGATGAATTAAAACTTAATTCATCGATAGATCCGCCGCTGAGAATAATAATGGCACCGTATAACTCTAGTATAGTAATATCGCATGTAATATATCGCGAGAGGACACTTATTGTTAGATAAGTTTATTGCACCGTTTAGTTCGGTCCTTGTCTAAATGTATTGTAAGATTTACGAAGTACGATACAAAAGTACCCGCGCCATCGGCAAAATGAGATTCACATGCCGAGGTAATCAAGCGTGCGTTATGGGAAAGAAAAGAATGGAAATGTTTCTCTAAATGCCTACGGAAAACTGACTACAAGAGACGCGTCGAAAAAAAAGCGCGTATACTTGTCGTCTATCCTCGCACTTTCACGTTCTCGGAGCCGACATAATATTGTAACATGAAACATTAAATATAATTAAAATGAACAGTTACCTATCAAGTTATCTAACTCATTAAAGTATCTATCTCACTGAGATAAAGAAATTTAAGAGAAATGAAAAAATTAAAGGAAGAAGTGTGTCTCACTAAGTGTCGGATTGAATGATAGACTACGAAAGCGGGAGAGGGTCGAGAAATCGGCGATCAACTTGAAATTATAGCGAACACATCAAACATCTCGATCGCAAATATATGATACATGTATGTAAATCTATAGTTTATCTAGCCGATTAGTATTTTTTTCTCTCTTTTTTAGGAGAAATATAAAACACGTTTGAGGATAGGAAACTTGCTGAATTTGAGCCACGCATCCTCTTTCATTGTGATTTCTCTTTTCATCACCCTGTCATCGCGCTTTTATTATATATATATATATATATATATATATATATATATGTATAATCGCTACTTCAATCCGTATAATATTATATAGCCTCGAAAATTCGCAGGCGCGTTGGTCATGTGACGCAATCTATCACAATTTATTTCCATTATTTTCAGTCGTACTCGCAAGATTCTGTGTTGTGGAAGAGATTATGCCGCTCTTCCTCGGTAGACGGAACTTTCGAAGTTCTCACTGCCCTTGGCACCTTGCTCACTTTACTGAAGTCCCTGCTAATTCCATTACCACCGGAAATACTGAAAAATATTGACATGTTATTTTATAGTAAAGAAGAAACGAACAAAACGAAGCTTTGTCTATTTTTCAAATACACAAGTATACATTATTTTTATTTTTACCTATTTATTTATTTATTTGACTTTGTTATGAGGTTTTAGATTGCGAAAGACACATTAGTTTTGTCTCGATTTTTTAACGCGTAGTGACTAAGATTCTTGCTAACTGTTAACATCTTTTTATTTCTTGCTTACTTCTGTCAATTTTACATTGTTCATTAAAACAATGGTGAATGTTGTCAGAGGTATGCAGTGAATTTGATTTACTGTATTAATTTATTTTGCATTTACTTTTGGTACGTAACATTTTTTTGTTTATGAATTTATAATTAATTGTTGCGATAAATGTATTAAAATTATAATTATGTTTATGTAACTTTTTATAGATTTACTTGATAAGGGCTGCAATGGCAGCCAAAACGTTGTATTTTAACTAATTATCTACAATAAATGATTACCAGTTTAGTTGACTTTTACCATTGAGGAAAAATTTTTATACATTATTTTGTTACATTCGATGGATTACGTTGAGTTTGTCATGTTTCTTAGTCACGGTATAAAAATATGTATTAAGTTGCTATATATTTTCTTCAAAAATAAAGGAGAATTAAGTTAAAACAATTTATAAACAAGAAAAATTTAAAATTATGACAAATTAATTTGTTAAAATAATTTATAAACAAGAAAATTTTAAAATTATGAGGAATTAATTTGATGTACATACACGACGTCGACTTTGTCGTCCTCGTCCGGCTCCACTTCGTCGCTCGGCACCGTGAAGTACGGATTCGCGGATGCTGGTCGAAATTTGTAACCTGTCAAGACGAAGAATGCGTAGGTCGCCATTTCTCGGAAAGTTTCATCCAGCCATTGGTAATCAAAGCGCACGGTGATCTATAAACGTAAGAGAAATTTGCATCAAAATATTATTCGTGCAATTCATGAAAATCGAAATAAATCAAGGCACAAAACTCAGCACATACCTTGAGTATGTACATTATAATTCGGGTGAAGTATATATAGAAAACTATCATAATGTAGAAATGCTTGAACAACATGAGTTTGCGCAAGTTCATAGCCGCTTTATCACTCGTGCGGGCGGCCTCTTCTAAATGCCTGATGCTCCACACAACCGGAAATAGAATTGCACCGCAACAGACCAAATCAATGAGGATAAACATGTCCCGCGATGTCTGGCGTCGTAAATTACCTACGTCGCTTTCTTCGATTATTATTTCCGCCACATTTGCCAATACCTATGAAAGAATGCACTTCTATTACAATATTACTTTAAAGCCACTATGTATCATGTCACGAATATCTCCATTGCAAAATATATTCTTTAATTTTTTCATACTTTTAATTTAAAAGAATGGTTTGAGAGAAAACAGAGCCAAATTATATTAATAAAAAAATATTAATGTTTTTACCTGTAACGGTATGACCAGCATAAAGAGTTTCTTTTCCTTATCTGTGAGAATGTGCTTTATAAAGTTCCATCCCGTGCCAATAAGTACGATAGTAATAAAGAGAACGGCGCCTTTTAGGAGATGAGTAATGTAATACAAAATTGCCCACGCCTCTACGTGTTCACCCTTGGTCTGGATAAAGTGGTAATTTATACCGTGGAATAACAGTGAGAAAGACTTCAGGTACACCAGGACCGCCATTAAGTAGTGGATTTTGAATACGGTATGCCTGTATCGCAAAAATTAATATTACGTAAGTTTATGTTCTGCGTTCCGTGCTAATGTTTTATCATTATATCGCATAATGCTGTTTCCCTTACTTGCTTTTGTTAAGAATAAACACCCAAAGGCAGCCGGACAAGAAGAAGAGCAGCGCCATCGTGAAGTACAAAGCTGGCAGGGGCATCTCGCCGGCGCTGAGGAAGTTGTCGTTATTCATCTCCGCTATTTCCATCTACGAGAAGAATATATCTCTTCAGCACTGAACGCACATATAATAATGTGTTTCATTTGCCAATTCATTTCCGGATAATCTTACCGTGAAATCCACCAGCAGCGGTTCCATATAATTGTCATAATTCTGACAATTATGAAAATATAGATTGTACAGGCCTTCCTCTTCCTCGCTCGCCACGTACATGACGAAGCTCGTGTTGTACGATTTCTCGCCCTTTGACGTTGTCTCCATTGTCATTGGCAATCTCAGACGAGAGCACGCGTTGCTCTCCGACCCGAGTCTCGAGACATCGCCGAGCGCAACGAGCTTCTCGACTGCGCAAACCGATTTTTTACATCAATTTAATTGAGTGAAAAGATAAGCGGGAGATTTCGATTTCTTGTACAATCTTATTTTATTGTCGGATGTAAGTTCATCGTTTCAACGACGTCGCTCAATGACGCAATGCTCGTTTAGAACGAACGGCAATTGAGATGAGATATATGGTAACCGACGATATAGGCGTATACACTCAGTGTAAAAGATAGTTATCTAACCGAACCTTCACAAAAATATCTGAGTTTCGCGTTATTTATAAGATCGGGGACAAGCCGCGTTAATTATAGCGTCTCTCATCTGCGATGTTCGATCAGCAATGTCACTTCGAGACCGTCGTCGCTCATCGATCATCGTTAAAACTGTCTGTTCGAATCATGTGCTGAATATGCTTCTTGATTGCGATCATTTTGTTTATTGCACAAATTCTCCGAATTGTATTTATAGTTTAGAGTTTTATTGATTTATGACGATCCGTCTTCAAATATTTTAAATTAAATGTCTAATAGATATAAGATCATTTAAGATAAATATGTAATTACATCGAATATGGAAATCTAGCTTCAACAAAGCTTTTTCTCTTTATCATCGCCATCACATTTGTTAATATTGTCAATATGTGTCATTTCTATATCGCGTTGAGATATATCTGTTTTATTGTTAATTTAAAATAAGTAATAATAATGAAAGAAATAAAAATGATTCATTACAATAACATTTGTCAGGACAATAATAATTCCTTGTGACACACGGTATGTTTGCATCGCGAAGGATCATCAGCCAAGTCTCCAGTTTACACCTGTTCTAACCGTTGCAGTCGAATTACATCTCTAATATTAGGCCGTGAGGAAATGTGAAAAATATCTGGCAAATGCTATGATGGTTTATTTTCGATATATCAAATGTATCGCTAGTAACATTTACCAGATGTCGTTTCCGCGGCTCTTGTCCTAGGCGAAATTTCATTACTCTATTCATAGCAAACAGCGATAGCATTTAGATCGGAAATTTTCAAAGACAAATCACGTCTGAAGCAAAACTCTTCGAATTGCGCAACACGCGGAGACTAAATGAGGTATCTTTCGCTCTATCGCAGCGTGTCCTCCTCGTATAATTACCATGTCTTTAAGCATATGCCAAATGTCGCAACTGTCGCACGCGATTTATTTACATTGGGCAATGTTATGAAGTTAAGTATAAACGCTGGTCGCATTACATGCGAGAGGAAGACACATCGCCGACAGATCGTCGCAAAAATCGATGAGGCGTTAATGAAGAAAAACGCCGCACACATCTCAATATCTACCTGCTCGCTCTTGTACTAGGCGCGTGGGACAGAAATAACTTTGACACGTGGATTTGATATGCATATGCGACAACTCACCGTGCGATGCATTTCGCTTTTTCCTGGGGAAGAGCGCGGTATCGCTGAATCTCTCCGACAGCGAGTTCCTCTTCGTTCGATACGTCAGCACTGTAGGGTCTCTATAAATGTGTGCCGCCTCTACATTGTGACTGCAGTTCACTTGCATCCTGCAATGATTTACGCGAATATTACAAATTCGATTTACTCTCGGGCGAATAAATTCTAATGGCTGACGCTTGCGTCTTACGTTAGATTCTTCAGGTCCATGGTAAAATATATAATGGAACTGTCATCCTTTTGCTCCGTCTTGAGATTCGAAATGTTTTGCAACAGGCATCCATCCAGGTGATTGTGAACGTAGGGATTGATAGCATCGATGAGCGTTCGACCCAAGCTGAAGCCAAACTGTAATTAGAATAAAAAAATTATTTTTATGATAATATAAAAGTTATTGTTTATTTGCGCAAAAATATATACATTTTTTTTGTATATACAAAATAATAGTTTAATATATTAATAAATTTTTCCTTGTCTTTTCGTGTAGAACGAATAATTAAATGTGCGTTAAATTAATATAAATGAATGCTTTCAACGTTAAGATAACGATATACATACACGAAGAAATGAAAAAGTTTTACGTGCCAGTTTGTATCCTATATCAAATGTGTGTAGTGTGTGTATGTGTGAACAAGTCATTCAGGAGTCTAACAAGTCGATGATATATATACTAAACATTCTAGAAGCTTATTTATAAACGCGGGTGACTGTCGACGAGACTATCAAAGTACGGAAGACAAAAACAGGTGTCTGTCGACAGTACGACATGTATGCGTCGTTTTGAAATCAAATCTTAATTCGTAATTTAATAGAAAGAGTTTTATAATATTAAAATGTTTATCAAATCCTAATTTGTAATTTAATAGAAAGAGTTTTATAAGATTAAAATGTTTATCTTGTTACGTTGTAGTTAGATTGACAGTATAATAAGAGTATGTATAAATTCTAGAAATTATAGAGAATTATAAATTATATTATAATGAAAAATTTAAATATAGAAAAATTGTGAAAAATTATTGTATAATTTTGGCACAGTATAATACTGCAATATTTCACTTTAAAAATTCTAAAAAAAAGAACTTGACATCAAGATTAATTTTACCTTTTCCTCCATAATTGCGTTACTCCGAAATTTTCTTAAAAATAAGATTGACTTCTTTTTTAAAAAAATTTAAGTAATTTAAAAATGCATATTATTATTTATTATTGTAACTTACTACTGCCTTGTTTGCACTTTCCGGTGTCAGTTTTTGTCTGCGTCCGCTGGCTCAAACTTGAAATTCGTGAGATTCACGGTTAAAATGCCACCCTTGTAGAAACCAAATGTGCTCAAGGTAATGTAATGTCTTCTGTCTTTCTGAAATGCAAACGACACTTTGAACGAAATGGAATGCATTGGACAAAAAGCAGGAAAAGGAACAAAACGCAGCAGGATAAAAGTGCCATTGCTCCGAAAAGAATAGACATATAGACTTATATATAGCTTCTGCATTTTTTTGCAATTTCCGCAAAAGAAAAATTTCTGGAAAATTATTGTCTAACGTACTTATTTTTCCGCACAAAAGTTGCACAAAAATGAACATAATTCATAATGCAGCCCGGCGTGATTAGATAGCAAATGTCACAACAATAATTAAATACTTTATAACTTTGCAGTAATTTTCATAAAACTCATCACAAAAAATATTCAACTTTATTATTCAGATATATCTATCAATTGTGGCTAATTATAAAAATAAGGAATCGATAAAATCAATAAATTTTTTCTTCTTAGATGACGTAAAATAGCATGACATATGATGTGCTCCGAAATTATCGCGCATGACATTCAATGACATTGTCATGGGCAATTCCGGTGTGATATGATTTTTTTTCATAATCTTACGTATTTGATTATTAATGTACCGTACGCACTAAGCACACAATAACGTAGAGGCGTCTTTATTCACTTTTCCCACAGAATTATACCGCTATACGACACAACATTGCCGATCCGTTGAAACGATTCGACGAATGCGCCTCGAGGCTCTTTTTCTCGCGAATCGCAATTAGACGTGCGACGATAATAATAATGATGAATATGTGTCGTCTGGAAAAATGCAACGTTTTCAGCGCAACTCAATCAACTAACCCGTATATCCAGCTTGTGAATCCTCGCACTAGCCACGGTCACCATCAGCAGAAGCGACAGGCAAACGCGCACCAGCCTAACAGCGTTCGACCTCATCTCTTTGGCTTTTCTTGCACTCCCGCTGATTGTCTCCCGCTGTGTCACCGCTCGTGTCACATCACAAGGAATCGGCGCGCGCCGCGTCGAGAACGCTTCGCCCTCGCTCGTCGATAACCGAGCAGGAACTGAGACCGTCCCGGAATGTTAAAAATATGGAATTGAACCGGATAAGCATATAGCGCTGTGAGAAAGAAGGAACGAGTAAATTGGACCATTGAACTCGACCGTGGATTAACTGTGTTGTCAAGTATGCGTTGTCAGCGCGCTAGAATCGCTCTCAAAAAAAAGAAGAAAAAGCAGCAAACATCGCGGGGAATTTCGCTGGTTTAGTTCCCATCCAGGATCGACCAAATTCGACGTACTTTTCGATTAATATGATCCTCGACAGTTACAATTCGTACAGTTTCCGTTGTGTGCTGGTAAGAACCGGATTCATGTGGCATCTGCAGGGCCGAATTACGATTTTTAACGGCCCGTAGCTTCGCACGTATTTGTATCTTTTGTAATCGGAGCAAGACAAGAGTATACAGTTGTGCTTTCGAAAGAAAAGGGAAAACGATAAAGTGTAAGATGGACAACAGATTTTTTAACGCTCTTGAATTAGATTTTTTACGGAAATATATTTAAAAATTTAAAGATAAGTAAAACTTGATGATTAGCAAAATATTCAAAATTTGATTTTTTTGTTAATAATAATTTTGAAATGTAAAATGCAATTTCAAACATTATCACACAAAAATCTAAGGAATCTAGAAAATAATGTTGAATATTAAAATAATTAGAAAATTTGTGTTTTAGTTTTTATATAGCTCAGCTGAGAAACGTTTATTATTACTTCTGTTTTTAACACGATTATATATTTATTTCTTTTACTATAATATTTTAATTTGCAAGCTTTTTCGCTAAGGTATACATTAATCTAATCTGCAAGCCTTTTCGCTAAGATATACGCATTAATCTAATCTGCAATAAAAGTAAATATAGATATCAAATAAATTCTTTGATTAAAAATTTCTCGAATGCTCCGATTTGCAGAACAGAGACGAACGAAGTAAATACGTGTATGTCATTTGTAACTTAAGGGTTATGTTATTAATAGATTAGTTTCTTTTGTGCAGAAGGTCCGATATTATGGAAAAGCAGCTCGAGGCATTGAATATCGATGATACCTTCGAGTCGGATCAGAAGCCATCGCATAATAAAATAATCAGGACGTTCAGTTTTCCGTCCAGCAATAAACCTTTTTTTAAGGCTTTGGAAGAATCATCCAAGTTTGACAGGCATTACAGCGAACAAATATTATATCCCAACATTTGCACCAGGTATTATATCCTTTTATTAAAATTATAAGCTTATAAATATATCACATAATACGCAAAAATTTGATATCTTCATTAATCAAATTTTATTTGCTTTTCTTTATATCTTTTAATAATTTGTATAAATAATTCGAAATTACTCATCTGTATTCGCATATCTGGTATATCATATTCAAGTAAAATTCAAAATTATAATTTTCAAGCAAATATCTTTGCAATTTTCACACAGAGCACAATTGATTAAGCTAGAAATGTAAAACGGAAAATATGTTAATAAGAATATTTTAATAACTATTTACATTTATTATTAGTTTCGATAATAAAATTTAAAAATATTTTTAAGACATTAAACTATTTGAATATATTGTTTTCGCGTTTAATATACGAGACGATATATTTTTCAAAAACATTCAATTATCACAAAATGATATTAAAAGGCATGAACTAAGTATTTTTTATTTTTAAAACCAGGAAACCGGAAATATTATCGGAGATGCAGGCACGCACAAAAAACACAAAATATAGTTTTAATGACAAGAGCAAGTTCCCGGAGCATTTCTGGCGTACGAAGATCGATAATGCATCATCACTTATGCCTGCAAACGATCAAGTGGAATATATGGAAGTAGAAAAGTATCCAGATTTAACAAATAATATCCATGATGCTGTATCGTTCGCACCTATACTAACAAACAATCAAGAAGTTATGGAAGTAGAAAAATTTATAGATCCTTCAGAATGTGTAGGCTTATCAAAATCGTTTTCTACAATCTCTACAATGGAATCATTATCCCGTAATGCAATTGCACAACCAAATATGTTAAGGTCTGTCCTTAATTCAAAATCTCGGCCTTCGAAATCAAACGAGGATATTGCAAAATTAATTCCTACGAGACGAAAACTCAAGATTTGTAAGATTCAAAAAGACAATTCAGACTGTACGAACGAAGACGATAAAAATTATAAGAAACCGAAAAAAAACCTTCGAAAAAACTTCTAAATGTTCGAAAGTCAAACGAGCTCTTTGTATATGTTTTGTAACAATTTTGTTAATATTATCTTCGATATGCGTATTTCTGTTTTCGGTACCTTTACATGAAGATCAGAATAATAAGCATAGTGATACTTTTACGACTGCCGTTGTTGAATTGGAAAAACACATTTTCGGCCAGGATCGAGCTATACAAGTCTTGAGCAACTATCTTCAGCAAAATTCACCTCTCTTCAAAATAATAGCTCTCGTCGGTGGTACAGGTGTCGGTAAAACATACACGGCAGAAATTATAAGAAAGAAGTTTCGTGAAAAAACTAGTGATCATGTCTTCTTTCCTTCGCGCGCGGATTTGTTCATCTTGGACAATTTGAAGGAAGAACATTCGTCGGACGTTATAAGCTTTGTAAAAGAGCATCGAAAGAAATATGGCGATCGATACGACACTGTATTAGCTATTTTTAATGTCGAGCAGATGAATGACGATTTGACGCGTAGTATAGATTTGAATAAAAGTATAAATACAATAAGAAATACTTTCGCAGACGCAAATCTCAACGTCAAAATTATTCCTTACGAACCCTTGAGCGAGGATGTTTTAGAAAAATGCATTATAAACACGGCGAAAAATGTCAAACTATTACTCTCTCAAGATCAGATCGCTCTTATTAAACGACAGTTGATAGAAAATAATGTCGGTTGCAAGGGAGCGTATGGTAAAATTCAAGTAATTGGTAGACAATAAAAAATGGTATATTATATTATTTCTAAGATGACAAGGCTCATACAACAATTCTTTTGTGACTGATATAATAATATTCGATTAAATAATGTATATATAGTTTTTTTTCAAATATAATTGCAAAGAACTGAGCAAAGTCTGAGATGTTACTTACGTAATTAAAAATGCTATTTGATATTTATGAAGCTTATAAATGTATACATATTCTTGTAATTAAATAATATTAAGGAGTACTTCTTATAGCCATTATTGTTTTTTAAGTTTTATAAATATCAAATCGCAATTTTGCATTATTAGATTGTCAGTTGATTATCCTTTCAGTTTTCGATGCAAAAGATAATTTTAATATTTATAATAACAATAGCAACGCTTTTAATTTCGCAATAAAAGCCAACTTGTACGTAATTTATAGTCATAGTCCGTTGATTTGAATACATAATGCAATTTTATATGCATAGCTTTCGAATTATATTAAAAACGATGATGAACGATGATTTTTGCAGGACATGATGTATGATGTGTTATTTAGCGTCTTGCGAAATGTGTAATTAATGTGTTATTACGCACAATTAAAGAAACTTATATTAGTTACGATTCCCACCATATGTAATATCTCGGATTTTGCTAAGTTTATTTTGTAATCACATTTAGATTTATGACAATTTATAAGCAAAGTTATTGCGGATGTATAAATCTATATAATGACATGTAATGCTCAATAATTATCGATCATTTTTATACAATTAAGAATAAGTACTTGTACTTTTTATATATTTACAAATAAATGATTGAAATGAAACGTTAACCCTACAGTAATAAGAGAATTACATTTGATACTTTAGATTTCCTTTTTTCTACGGCTCTGGCCATTTCGATAAGAAAAAAATAAGAAATATTTTAAAGCTGCCAGATATTGATTTATTTTGAGATATGGAGGATAAATATAGAAATATATCTATAACGCCTGTGAACTTCTCATTATATTATATGTATATATGCAATAGAAGAAAAAAATTTAGTCTAATATTTTAAATGAATACAATATTTTCGATATAATTTAAATCTTATTTTAATATTATTTTTTAAATGTTCTTTGTAATAAATGCGCGTGTGTTACCCTTTATCGACCAAGTACTTGGCGATTATTATCGCTGTCAATAGATACTTTTCAATCGATCGATCAGAGGCGCTACAGATGTACTTATATATATTCATCCCTCACATTCCGAAACGAGTCAAAGTTCGTCAAGTTTTGACAGTGTTATAAGTTGATAGAAGCATTTTAGCTGAAAAAAAGTAAAATTTTCATCCGGTCATCCAGTTTCCAGATAATCTACTGTGAATTACGAGCAGAGGTAATTATTCTAATTTTTTATATTGTGAAAATGTAAATATTGTGGAAAGTGTAAATTTTGTGGAAACAATTGAAAGATAATGTTTCTAAAAAATGTATAAATGTTTTCTTTTGCCGCGTAATTACGTGCAAATTCACATAATTCGTGATGCACAGCTACCATAAATAATATGTGTCATGACTTTCACAATGCATATTACAAAAATATTTCGCGTATTTATATTAAGATAAGTTAATTATAAATTTAAAGAATTGATAATTTTCTTTATTGTGCAAGTGATATAAAGTAAGGTGACATAATATATATTCCGACATCATCACATACATTCTATCACATTTATTATTATCAATATTACATTGCCACGAGGCCGATGTATTAAAAGCTTCTGAAATCTTGCCATAATCATTATGTGAACAGAAGCGTTCGAGTTTTTTGAACTTTCGCTCCTTATCCTCCTGTATTATTGTTTGTGTCACATCATAAGAAATCAGCGTACATCAAAATAAGTGCTTTGCCCTTCGCTGGTCGATACTAAAGCAAAAACTATGCTCGTTCCGTGAAATATTGGAAACATCGAAACTAATATGATAAATGATAATGCTAATGAAAAGAAAGGTCAAATTAATTCGAATAATGTTAGCAAAATTTAATCGAGCATATTATCCTTTTCACTTTTCATATATTTTATCAATATTATTTTGCTACGAGTCACAATCATCGATTCGTTGAAATTATTCACCGAACGCAGATGTTTTGAGACGTCTTTCTTTCCTCAAATTATAATTAAATAATAATGATAATAATATTAATAATAATAATAAATGTGATATAATATCAAATAAAATTAACCAATTGCTTTTTTTAATCCGTTTTTTGATACAAAGAACAAATATGAACAAAGTAAAATATAAAAATATGTGTCAATGAAATATTTTATTATTATGTGTATATGTTTATATATATATATATGTTTTATTATTATTGGCTGTCTGCGTAGAACGTCTTTCTGTCAAATCTATTGTTGTAATAATTTTATAACAAAAATGTTTGATTAAAAAGAAAGATGAGAGATAAAATTAAATTTATTATCTTTTTTTGAAAATGTGTTCAGATTTGTAGAACAAATATGGATAAATTAAGACATATATATATATATATATATATATATATATATATGTCAAGGCAATATGTTATATTAACAAATCTTGGTATTCTTTTGCAGATAAAATTCCGAATCCAATATAATGGAAGAATCACCTGAGTCTTGTGGAATTGATGATTCCTCTGATGAAAAATCATCGCCTCGACACTCAAGAGAACCGCTTACTTCTTTAGAGCCACCACCAGATTTTACTACAGATTTGGATTCTTTGCAGCAAACACAAGATGTCGAGGAAAATCAAGAGAAGTATTATATAATCTTTGATTTATAAATGCTAAAATTTAATATCTTATTGTAACGCGAAATTTCAATATCTATATTATAAAAAATTTTATTTGTTTATCTTTATATTTTTAATGATTTGTGATGAGGCACTATCCAGAATTATTTAGAATAATACTATATTTTTATATTAATTAAAATTATAAATTTTTGGTAAAAATATTTATGCAATTACAATTTTTATACGACAAATTAACTTTATCCCTGCGAGGGTACATAATTTTAATTTGCTGAATTTCAATTATGCACAACTTTTAATTCTCGAATTTCTATTATATACATTTCAATCATATACAATTCATCGACTTAAAATTTTGTACATACATAATAGAAATTTAGGAATTCAAATTATGTACATACGTAATAGAAATTTGGGAATTCAAATTATGTACATACATCAAAGAACACATTGGTTTTACATTACGAAACGCTCGAACGCTACGCGCCTACTCTAACCACGAATATATCGCAACGCGTCAGCATCCAATCAGCATCGCAGAAAAAAAAGCTTCAATATATTCGAGTAATCGACTTAACATACACTTTTTAAGGAAAGGAATGACGTAATAATTTTTTATGAATATAAAGTTTGATTAACTAATAAAAGTAATACATCAAATAAATTTAAACAAGTATCTTTTTATGCATACGTATTTTGATTCGCATAACAGATATGAATAAAGTAAAATATAAATGCTGACTGACAAAGTATATTTTATTATATTTAATATATTTTATTGAGAAATTTTGATGTTTTCTACGTAGGCATCTTCCTGAATCTGTCAATGTTACAATAACTAATATCGAATCGCGTAAGCTCATGAAAACCGATAATTCTTCCGAGTCAGATGAAAAATCACCAACTCGACACTCAAGAGAAATGCTTATTTCTTTAGAGACACAGCAAGCTCTTACTGCAAATCTTGAAGATATTTTGGATATCATGCAGAAACAAAATATGGGGACAAAGCAAGAGAAGTATTATATATTTTATTATATATATATATATATATGCGCTTACTAAATATTGAATTATACGCGAAAATTGAATATTTTTATTAATAAAATAAATTTTGTTTCTCTCTTATAGCTAATTTATTTTTAAATACAAATTTTATTTGTTTGTCTTTATATTTTTAACGTTTTTGCGTTACTAAATATTGAATTATACGCGAAAATTGAATATTTTTATTAATAAAACAAATTTTGTTTCTCTCTTATAGCCAATTTATTTTTAAATACAAATTTTATTTGTTTGTCTTTATATTTTTAAACTTTTTGCGTTGATTAAAGAAATTATTTAGAATAACAATAATGATATATTATTTTAATATATCTTTTAAAATTATAATTTTAGTAAATATATTTATGCAATTGAAGCAATTATTATACAATATTAAATTACATGAAATCAGGACATAATATACGTAATTGATTTAATATAAAAAAGATTATTCTTAATAATTGTTAATTATAACAATATAAGTAAAATATTTATATTTTCATGACTAAAACGCGATTAGCTAAGAAAAAATCAATCAATTCCTTTTTATCTTTATTTCAAAATTTCAACTGGCAATTGGATCACATTTTTGATAAATATTTTAAATTTAATATAGTATAGTATGAGAAAATTTAATATTTAAATTTAAATAATTTTATTTAATTGTGTTCATATTTTCACGAAAACATGTTTCGATTCATCGAATAAATATAAATGCAAAAAAAAGTAAACGTTTAAAAAAACAACATGTAATATTAATAATCTGTATTCTTTTTTTAGGCAACCTTCCAAATACATATCAATGTATGATATATCAATACGATATTAATAAAATAAAAGATAAACGTATATTAAAACATTACATTAATAGATATCTGTGTTTTCTTCTCAGATTCTCCGACGATCTATCCTTTACTCCGGAAGAGTGTTCGAATGACTCTACGGACAATTCTTCGCAGTCCGATGAAGACTCACAATCTCGAATCTCGAAAAGAATGGCTACATCTTTGGAAACACCGCAAACTTCTACGTCGAATTCACAAAATTTAGATACATTGCAACAGGAACAAAAAACTAAAAAAGAGCACGAGAAGTATAACTAATATTTGCTCTCTTTGATTATAAATACTTTATATTTTAAATATAATATTATTGTATAATATATAAAAACTTAATATTTAAATTTAAATAATTTTATTTACATGTGTTCATATTTTCACGAATACATGTTTCAATTCATAGAACAAATATAAATGCAATATAAAGTAAACGTTTGATTAGGCAACATGTAATTTTAATAGATATCTGTAAACTATTTTTTAGGCAACCTTCCAAATACCTATCAATGTATGATATATTAATACGATATTAATAAAATGAAAGATAAACGTTTATTAAAACAATATTAACATATATTTGTGTTTACGTCTCAGATTCTCCGACGATCTATCCTTTACTCCGGAAGAGTGTTCGAATGACTCTACGGACAATTCTTCGCAGTCCGATGAAGACTCACAATCTCGAATCTCGAAAAGAATGGCTACATCTTTGGAAACACCGCAAACTTCTACGTCGAATTCACAAAATTTAGCTACATTGCAACAGGAGCAAGAAACTAAAAAAGAGCACGAGAAGTATAACTAATATTTGCTCTCTTTGATTATAAATACTTTATATTTTAAATATAATATTATTGTATAATATGAGAAAACTCAATATTTAAATTTAAATAATTTTATTTAATTGTGTTCATATTTTTACGAATACATGTTTCGATTTATAGAACAAATATAAATGCAATAAAAAGTAAACGTTTGTAAAGGCAACATGTAATTATAATAGATATGTATATTCTTTTTTTAGGCAACCTTCCAAATACATATCAATGTATGATATATCAATACGATATTAATAAAATAAAAGATAAACGTTTATTAAAACATCACATTAATAGATATCTGTGTTTTCTTTTCAGATTCTCCGACGATCTATCCTTTACTCCGGAGGAGTGTTCGAATGACTCTACGGACAATTCTTCGCAGTCCGATGAAGACTCACAATCTCGAATCTCGAAAAGAATGGCTACATCTTTGGAAACACCGCAAACTTCTACGTCGAATTCACAAAATTTAGCTACATTGCAACAGGAGCAAGAAACTAAAAAAGAGCACGAGAAGTATAACTAATATTTGCTCTTTTTGATTATAAATACTTTATATTTTAAATATAATATTATTGTATAATATGAGAAAACTCAATATTTAAATTTAAATAATTTTATTTAATTGTGTTCATATTTTTACGAATACATGTTTCGATTTATAGAACAAATAAAAATGCAATAAAAAGTAAACGTTTGTAAAGGCAACATGTAATTATATAAGATATATATATTCTTTTTTTAGGCAACCTTCCAAATACATATCAATGTATGATATATCAATACGATATTAATAAAATAAAAGATAAACGTTTATTAAAACATCACATTAATAGATATCTGTGTTTTCTTTTCAGATTCTCCGACGATCTATCTTTTACTCCGGAGGAGTGTTCGAATGACTCTACGGACAACTCTTCGCAGTCCGATGAAGACTCACAATCTCGAATCTCGAAAAAAATGGCTACATCTTTGGAAACACCGCAAACTTCTACGTCGAATTCACAAAATTTAGCTACATTGCAACAGGAGCAAGAAACTAAAAAAGAACACGAGAAGTATAACTAATATTTGCTCTCTTTGATTATAAATACTTTATATTTTAAATATAATATTATTGTATAATATGAGAAAACTCAATATTTAAATTTAAATAATTTTATTTAATTGTGTTCATATTTTTACGAATACATGTTTCGATTTATAGAACAAATATAAATGCAATAAAAAGTAAACGTTTGTAAAGGCAACATGTAATTATAATAGATATGTATATTCTTTTTTTAGGCAACCTTCCAAATACATATCAATGTATGATATATCAATACGATATTAATAAAATAAAAGATAAACGTTTATTAAAACATCACATTAATAAATATCTGTGTTTTCTTTTCAGATTCTCCGACGATCTATCCTTTACTCCGGAAGAGTGTTCGAATGACTCTACGGACAATTATTCGCAGTCCGATGAAGACTCACAATCTCGAATCTCGAAAAGAATGGCTACATCTTTGGAAACACCGCAAACTTCTACGTCGAATTCACAAAATTTAGCTACATTGCAACAGGAGCAAGAAACTAAAAAAGAACACGAGAAGTATAACTAATATTTGCTCTCTTTGATTATAAATACTTTATATTTTAAATATAATATTATTGTATAATATGAAAAAACTCAATATTTAAATTTAAATAATTTTATTTAATTGTGTTCATATTTTTACGAATACATGTTTCGATTTATAGAACAAATATAAATGCAATAAAAAGTAAACGTTTGTAAAGGCAACATGTAATTATAATAGATATGTATATTCTTTTTTTAGGCAACCTTCCAAATACATATCAATGTATGATATATCAATACGATATTAATAAAATAAAAGATAAACGTTTATTAAAACATCACATTAATAAATATCTGTGTTTTCTTTTCAGATTCTCCGACGATCTATCCTTTACTCCGGAAGAGTGTTCGAATGACTCTACGGACAATTCTTCGCAGTCCGATGAAGACTCACAATCTCGAATCTCGAAAAGAATGGCTACATCTTTGGAAACACCGCAAACTTCTACGTCGAATTCACAAAATTTAGCTACATTGCAACAGGAGCAAGAAACTAAAAAAGAGCACGAGAAGTATAACTAATATTTGCTCTCTTTGATTATAAATACTTTATATTTTAAATATAATATTATTGTATAATATGAGAAAACTCAATATTTAAATTTAAATAATTTTATTTAATTGTGTTCATATTTTTACGAATACATGTTTCGATTTATAGAACAAATATAAATGCAATAAAAAGTAAACGTTTGTAAAGGCAACATGTAATTATAATAGATATGTATATTCTTTTTTTAGGCAACCTTCCAAATACATATCAATGTATGATATATCAATACGATATTAATAAAATAAAAGATAAACGTTTATTAAAACATCACATTAATAAATATCTGTGTTTTCTTTTCAGATTCTCCGACGATCTATCCTTTACTCCGGAAGAGTGTTCGAATGACTCTACGGACAATTCTTCGCAGTCCGATGAAGACTCACAATCTCGAATCTCGAAAAGAATGGCTACATCTTTGGAAACACCGCAAACTTCTACGTCGAATTCACAAAATTTAGCTACATTGCAACAGGAGCAAGAAACTAAAAAAGAACACGAGAAGTATAACTAATATTTGCTCTCTTTGATTATAAATACTTTATATTTTAAATATAATATTATTGTATAATATGAGAAAACTCAATATTTAAATTTAAATAATTTTATTTAATTGTGTTCATATTTTTACGAATACATGTTTCGATTTATAGAACAAATATAAATGCAATAAAAAGTAAACGTTTGTAAAGGCAACATGTAATTATAATAGATATGTATATTCTTTTTTTAGGCAACCTTCCAAATACATATCAATGTATGATATATCAATACGATATTAATAAAATAAAAGATAAACGTTTATTAAAACATCACATTAATAAATATCTGTGTTTTCTTTTCAGATTCTCCGACGATCTATCCTTTACTCCGGAAGAGTGTTCGAATGACTCTACGGACAATTCTTCGCAGTCCGATGAAGACTCACAATCTCGAATCTCGAAAAGAATGGCTACATCTTTGGAAACACCGCAAACTTCTACGTCGAATTCACAAAATTTAGCTACATTGCAACAGGAGCAAGAAACTAAAAAAGAGCACGAGAAGTATAACTAATATTTGCTCTCTTTGATTATAAATACTTTATATTTTAAATATAATATTATTGTATAATATGAGAAAACTCAATATTTAAATTTAAATAATTTTATTTAATTGTGTTCATATTTTTACGAATACATGTTTCGATTTATAGAACAAATATAAATGCAATAAAAAGTAAACGTTTGTAAAGGCAACATGTAATTATAATAGATATGTATATTCTTTTTTTAGGCAACCTTCCAAATACATATCAATGTATGATATATCAATACGATATTAATAAAATAAAAGATAAACGTTTATTAAAACATCACATTAATAAATATCTGTGTTTTCTTTTCAGATTCTCCGACGATCTATCCTTTACTCCGGAAGAGTGTTCGAATGACTCTACGGACAATTCTTCGCAGTCCGATGAAGACTCACAATCTCGAATCTCGAAAAGAATGGCTACATCTTTGGAAACACCGCAAACTTCTACGTCGAATTCACAAAATTTAGCTACATTGCAACAGGAGCAAGAAACTAAAAAAGAACACGAGAAGTATAACTAATATTTGCTCTCTTTGATTATAAATACTTTATATTTTAAATATAATATTATTGTATAATATGAGAAAACTCAATATTTAAATTTAAATAATTTTATTTAATTGTGTTCATATTTTTACGAATACATGTTTCGATTTATAGAACAAATATAAATGCAATAAAAAGTAAACGTTTGTAAAGGCAACATGTAATTATAATAGATATGTATATTCTTTTTTTAGGCAACCTTCCAAATACATATCAATGTATGATATATCAATACGATATTAATAAAATAAAAGATAAACGTTTATTAAAACATTACATTAATAGATATCTGTGTTTTCTTTTCAGATTCTCCGACGATCTATCCTTTACTCCGGAGGAGTGTTCGAATGACTCTACGGACAATTCTTCGCAGTCCGATGAAGACTCACAATCTCGAATCTCGAAAAGAATGGCTACATCTTTGGAAACACCGCTAACTTCTACGTCGAATTCACAAAATTTAGATAAATTGCAACAGGAGCAAGAATCTAAAAAAGAGCACGAGAAGTATAACTAATATTTGCTTTCTTTGATTATAAACACTTTATATTTTAAATATAATATTATTGTATAATATGAGTAAACTCAATATTTAAATTTAAATAATTTTATTTAATTGTGTTCATATTTTTACGAATACATGTTTCGATTTATAGAACAAATATGAATGCAATAAGTAGTAAATGTTTAATAAAGCAACATGTAATATTAATAGATATCTGTATTCTTTTCTCAGGCAACCTTCCAAAACGGATATTACGGCAGAGCCTTCGAAAACAGAAGTTTCTTCGAAGTCTGATGTGGAATCACAAATTGAAATCTTGAAAAGAATGACTATATCTTCGCAAACACCGCAAGATTCTACGTCAGAATCACAAAATTTAAATATTCCTAATTTTGGATATACATCCACGTCCGATAAAAAATTACCGCCACGGCACACATCCTATAAATCTATTTTGGAGTTAACACCACAATCTATTCAATCTTCTAAAGATTTGAAAAATTTTGCATTGCAAATTTTATGTGACATGCAGACAAATTCTGAAAGGTGTTATTTATTTTTGATTAAAATTATTTTGAACTTAATATCTTATTATGCATCGTATACAGCACGACACTTTTGTGCATAAATTGAGTCTAGATCGAATGTATGTACTAAGTGTCCACGTGTGTACAAAACATATCAATGTATGATATATCAATACGATATTAATAAAATAAAAGATAAACGTTTATTAAAACAATATTAACATATATTTGTGTTTTCTTTTCAGATTCTCCGACGATCTATCCTTTACTCCGGAGGAATCTTCGAATGAGCCTACGAATGATTCTTTCAAGTCCGATGAAGACTCACAATCTCGAATCTCGAAAAGAATGGCTATATCTTCAAAAACACCGCAAGCGTCTACGTCGGATTCACAAAATTTGGATACATTGCAACAGGAACAAGATACTGAAAAAATTCACGAAAAGTAATAGAAAATATATTATTAATATATGTTTTGATTATAAATATTTTAAATTTAATATTGCGTTGTATGAGAAAATTAATTTTAATTTAAAAAATTTTATATATTTGCGTGTGTATTTTCACGAATACATGTTTCGAATCATATAACAAATATAAATGCAATAAAAAGTAAACGTTTGTAAAGGCAACATGTAATATTAACAGATATCTGTATTCTTTTTTTAGGCAACCTTCCAAATACGTATCAATGTATGATATATCAATACGATATTAATAAAATAAAAGATAAACGTTTATTAAAACATCACAATAATAGATATCTGTGTTTTCTTTTCAGATTCTCCTACGATCTATCTTTTACTCCGGAAGAGTGTTCGAATAACTCTACGGACAATTCTTTGCAGTCCGATGAAGACTTACAATCTCGAATCTGGAAAAGAATGGCTACATCTTTGCAAACACCGCAAACTTCTACGTCGAATTCACAAAATTTAGCTACATTGCAACAGGAGCAAGAAACTAAAAAAGAGCACGAGAAGTATAACTAATATTTGCTTTCTTTGATTATAAACACTTTATATTTTAAATATAATATTATTGTATAATATGAGTAAACTCAATATTTAAATTTAAATAATTTTATTTAATTGTGTTCATATTTTTACGAATACATGTTTCGATTTATAGAACAAATATGAATGCAATAAGTAGTAAATGTTTAATAAAGCAACATGTAATATTAATAGATATCTGTATTCTTTTCTCAGGCAACCTTCCAAAACGGATATTACGGCAGAGCCTTCGAAAACAGAAGTTTCTTCGAAGTCTGATGTGGAATCACAAATTGAAATCTTGAAAAGAATGACTATATCTTCGCAAACACCGCAAGATTCTACGTCAGAATCACAAAATTTAAATATTCCTAATTTTGGATATACATCCACGTCCGATAAAAAATTACCGCCACGGCACACATCCTATAAATCTATTTTGGAGTTAACACCACAATCTATTCAATTTTCTAAAAATTTGAAAAATTTTGCATTGCAAATTTTATGTGACATGCAGACAAATTCTGAAAGGTGTTATTTATTTTTGATTAAAATTATTTTGAACTTAATATCTTATTATGCATCGTATACACCACGACACTTTTGTGCATAAATTGAGTCTAGATCGAATGTATGTACTAAGTGTCCACGTGTGTACAAAACATATCAATGTATGATATATCAATACGATATTAATAAAATAAAAGATAAACGTTTATTAAAACAATATTAACATATATTTGTGTTTTCTTTTCAGATTCTCCGACGATCTATCCTTTACTCCGGAGGAATCTTCGAATGAGCCTACGAATGATTCTTTCAAGTCCGATGAAGACTCACAATCTCGAATCTCGAAAAGAATGGCTATATCTTCAAAAACACCGCAAGCGTCTACGTCGGATTCACAAAATTTGGATACATTGCAACAGGAACAAGATACTGAAAAAATTCACGAAAAGTAATAGAAAATATATTATTAATAAATGTTTTGATTATAAATATTTTAAATTTAATATTGCGTTGTATGAGAAAATTAATTTTAATTTAAAAAATTTTATATATTTGCGTGTGTATTTTCACGAATACATGTTTCGAATCATATAACAAATATAAATGCAATAAAAAGTAAACGTTTGTAAAGGCAACATGTAATATTAACAGATATCTGTATTCTTTTTTTAGGCAACCTTCCAAATACGTATCAATGTATGATATATCAACACGATATTAATAAAATAAAAGATAAACGTTTATTAAAACATCACAATAATAGATATCTGTGTTTTCTTTTCAGATTCTCCTACGATCTATCTTTTACTCCGGAAGAGTGTTCGAATAACTCTACGGACAATTCTTTGCAGTCCGATGAAGACTTACAATCTCGAATCTGGAAAAGAATGGCTACATCTTTGGAAACACCGCAAACTTCTACGTCGAATTCACAAAATTTAGCTACATTGCAACAGGAGCAAGAAACTAAAAAAGAGCACGAGAAGTATAACTAATATTTGCTCTCTTTGATTATAAATACTTTATATTTTAAATATAATATTATTGTATAATATGAGAAAACTCAATATTTAAATTTAAATAATTTTATTAATTGTGTTCATATTTTTACGAATACATGTTTCGATTTATAGAACAAATAAAAATGCAATAAAAAGTAAACGTTTGTAAAGGCAACATGTAATTATATAAGATATATATATTCTTTTTTTAGGCAACCTTCCAAATACATATCAATGTATGATATATCAATACGATATTAATAAAATAAAAGATAAACGTTTATTAAAACATCACATTAATAGATATCTGTGTTTTCTTTTCAGATTCTTCGACGATCTATCTTTTACTCCGGAGGAGTGTTCGAATGACTCTACGGACAACTCTTCGCAGTCCGATGAAGACTTACAATCTCGAATCTCGAAAAAAATGGCTACATCTTTGGAAACACCGCAAACTTCTACGTCGAATTCACAAAATTTAGCTACATTGCAACAGGAGCAAGAAACTAAAAAAGAACACGAGAAGTATAACTAATATTTGCTCTCTTTGATTATAAATACTTTATATTTTAAATATAATATTATTGTATAATATGAGAAAACTCAATATTTAAATTTAAATAATTTTATTTAATTGTGTTCATATTTTTACGAATACATGTTTCGATTTATAGAACAAATATAAATGCAATAAAAAGTAAACGTTTGTAAAGGCAACATGTAATTATAATAGATATGTATATTCTTTTTTTAGGCAACCTTCCAAATACATATCAATGTATGATATATCAATACGATATTAATAAAATAAAAATAAACGTTTATTAAAACATCACATTAATAGATATCTGTGTTTTCTTTTCAGATTCTTCGACGATCTATCTTTTACTCCGGAGGAGTGTTCGAATGACTCTACGGACAATTCTTCGCAGTCTGATGAAGACTCACAATCTCGAATCTCGAAAAGAATGGTTACATCTTCGGAAACACCGCAAGCTTCTACGTCGAATTTACAAAATTTAGCTACATTGCAACAGGAGCAAGAAACTAAAAAAGAACACGAAAAGTATAACTAATATTTGCTCTCTATGATTATAAATACTTTATATTTTAAATATAATATTATTGTATAATATGAGAAAACTCAATATTTAAATTTAAATAATTTTATTTAATTGTGTTCATATTTTTACGAATACCTGTTTCGATTTATAAAACAAATATAAATGCAATAAGAAGTAAATGTTTAATAAAGCAACATGTAATATTAATAGATATCTGTATTCTTTTCTTAGGCAACTTTCCAAAACTGATATTACGGCAGAGCTTTCGAAAACAGAAGTTTCTTCGAAGTCTGATGTGGAATCACAAATTGAAATCTTGAAAAGAATGATTATATCTTCGGAAACACCGCAAGATTCTACGTCAGAATCACAAAATTTGGATATTTCTAATTTTGTATATACATCCACGTCCGATAAAAAATCACCGCTCCAACACACACCCAATAAATCTATTTTGGAGTTAACACCACAATCTATTAAAAATCCTGAGGATTTGGAAAACTTATGGGAGATTATATATAAATTGCGGAGAAATTGTGAAAGGTGTTATTTATTTTTGATTAAAATTATTTTGAACTTAATATCTTATTACGCAACGTATACACCACGACACTTTTGTGCATAGATTGAATCTAGATTGAATGTATGTACTAAGTGTCCACGTGTGTACAAAACATATTAATGTATGATATATCAATACGTATTAATGAAATAAAAGGTAAACGTTTATTAAAACATCAAATTAACAGATATCTGTATTTTCGTCTCAGATTCGCCAATGTTGTATCTTTTATGCAGAAGTCGAATTCACAAAATTTAGCTACATTGCAACAGGAGCAAGAAACTAAAAAAGAGCACGAGAAGTATAACTAATATTTGCTCTCTTTGATTATAAATACTTTATATTTTAAATATAATATTATTGTATAATATGAGAAAACTCAATATTTAAATTTAAATTATTTTATTTAATCGTGTTCATATTTTTACGAATACATGTTTCGATTTATAGAACAAATAAAAATGCAATAAAAAGTAAACGTTTGTAAAGGCAACATGTAATTATAATAGATATCTGTATTTTTTTCTCAGGCAACCTTCCAAAACCGATATTACGGCAGAGCCTTCGAAAACAGAAGTTTCTTCGAAGTCTGATGTGGAATCACAAATTGAAATCTTGAAAAGAATGACTATATCTTCGCAAACATTGCAAGCTTCTACGTCAGAATCACAAAATTTGGATATTCCTAATTTTGGATATACATCCACGTCCAATGAAAAATTACCGCCACGGCACACACCCAATAAATCTATTTTGGAGTCAACACCACAATTTATTCAACTTCCTCAGGGTTTGAGAAATTATGCATTGCAGATTTTATATGATATGCGGACAAATTCTGAAAGGTGTTATTTATTTTTGATTAAATTTATTTTGAACTTAATATCTTATTATGCAACGTATACATTACGACACTTTTGTGCATAAATTGAGTCTAGATCGAATGTATGTACTAAGTGTCTACGTGTGTACAAAACATCAATGTATGATATATCAATACGGTATTAATCAAATAAAAGATAAACATTTATTAAAACATTTATTAAAATCATATTAACAGATGTGACAAACTATGCAAATCCCTTATGCGGAAGGAAGTTTTGAATAAACCTACAGATAATTCTTCAAAGTCCGGTAAAGACTCACAAGTTCGAATCTCGAAGAGAATGGCTACATTTTCGGAAACACCGCAAGCTTCTACGTTTGATTCACAAAATTTGGATACATTGCAACAGGAACAAGAAACTAAAATAGAGCACGAGAAGTATTACTAATATTTACTCTCCTCTCTTCTTTTTGATTATAAATATTTTAAATTTTAAATTCAATATTATTGTATAGTATGACAAAATTCAATTTAAATTTAAAAAATTTTATTTATTCGTGTTCTTATTTTCACGAATACATGTTTTGATTTATAGAACAAATCTGAGTGCAATATGATATAAACCTTTGTTCCCGGTGAGAAATGATTAGTCGAATCGTTATCGATTCGACCATCATTTCTCACTGGGTTGAAGCAACATGTAATATTAAAAGATATCTGTAATCTTCTCAGACAATCTTCCAAAGCCGATATCATGGCAGACCCTTCGAAAACAGAAGATTTTTCGACGTCTGATGAGGAATCACAGACTGGAATCTCGAAAAGAATGGCTACATCTTCGGAAACACTGGACACTCTTACAGAGGAAAATTTGGATAAATTGCACCAGGATCAAGATACTGAAACAGATCATGAGAAGTATTATTAATATATATGCTTTGATTATAAATACTTCAAATTTAATATATAGTACGAGAAAATTTAATATTTTAATTAAAACATTTGATTTTTTCGAGTTTATATTTTTACGAATACAATTCGTTTCAATTCATAGAAATACATCGATACAGTACGATATAAGCGTTTGTTAAAGCAACCTAATATTATCAGATATATGTATGTTCGTGCAATAGATATTTAATAATATATACGTACTTTGTTTTATATTCTCAATTTATATCAATTATTTTCATATTTATATCCCTTGTAGAATTTTATCACTAGTAACGTCAATTAATCACTTATTTTGAGAACTTAAAATACTGATATACAGTAATTTAAGTACTCGAAATAAGTGATTACTCAAAGTAAGTGATAAATTGACGTTACTAGTGATAAATTTCTATAAGAGATGTGTAACATTTACTTTTATGTCAAATTACTTTTTGTGAGCGTCAAAAAGGTGGCGCTTTAATCAGAGTCTAGTTTTTCTCGCTACATGCACGGACAAAGTTATACGTCGTGTTCGTTACTTAAATAGAGAGTTTAAACAAAGCTACACGTGTTAATTATATACTATCAATACGTGCCGAGCACCGGTCCTCACTTGAGGACATTAACAGTGTATTCTTCTCTCAGGCAATCTTCTAAATACGATATTATGGCAGAGTCTTTGAAGACAGAAGATTCTGCGAAGTCTGATGAGGAAACATTGCAAGCTTTTACGTCGGATTTACAAAATTTGGATACATTGCAACAGGAACAAGAAACTAAAAAAGAGCACGAAAAGTATAACTAATATTTGCTTTAATTATAAATACTTTAAATTTTAAATACTATTATATAGTATGAAAAAATTCAATATTTAAATTTAAAAAATTTTATTTACTTGTGTTCATATTTTCACCAATACATGTTTCGATTTATAGAACAAATATGAATGCAATAAAAAGTAAACGTTTGATAAAGCAACATGTAATATTAATAGATATCTGTATTCTTTTCTCAGGCAACCTTCCAAAACCGATATTACGGCAGAATTTTCGAAAACAGAAGTTTCTTCGAAGTCTAATGAGGGATCACAGATTGAAATCTCGAAAAGAATGGCTACAGCTTCGGAAACATCGCAAGCTTCTGCGTCGGATTCACAAAATTTGGATACTCTTAATTTTGGATATTCCTCCACTTCCGATGAAAAATCACCGCCTCGACGCACACCGAGTAGAACTATTTTCGAGTTAGCATCACAACCTACCATTTTTAGTCTTCGGAAGTTGGAATGCTTACGGCCATTCATACCTAACATCGAGACACCTTATGAAAGGTGTTATTTATTTTTGATTAAAATTCTGTTAAATTTAATATCTTATGCAGCGTATACACCACGACACTTTTGTGTTTAGGTCTAGATCGAATGTATACACTAAGTGTCTACGTGTGTACAAAACATATCAATGTATGATATATCAATACAGTATTAATGAAATAAAACATTCATTAAAATATCATATTAACAGATATCTGTGTTTTCTTCTCAGATTCTCCGACGATGTATCCGATATTCAGAAGGAGACTTTGAATGAGCCTACGAATGATTTTTCGAAGTCCGATGAAGACTCACAATCTCGAATCTCGAAAAGAATGGCTACATCTTCGGAAACACCGCAAGCTTCTACGTCGAATTCACAAAATTTAGTTACATTGCAACAGGAGCAAGAAACTAAAAAAGAGCACGAGAAGTATAACTAATATTTGCTCTCTTTGATTATAAATACTTTATATTTTAAATATAATATTATTGTATAATATGAGAAAATTCAATATTTAAATTTAAAAAGGTTTATTTACTTGTATTCATATTTTCACGAATATATGTTTTGATTCATAGAACAAATATGAATGCAATAAAAAGTAAACGTTTGATAAAGCGACATGTAATATTAACAGATATCTGTATTCTTTTCTTAGGCAACTTTCCAAATCCGATATTATGGCAGAGCCTTCGAAAACAGAAGTTTCTTCGAAGTCCGATAAAGGCTCACAATCTCGAATCTTAGAAAGAAAGATAGGTACATATTTGAAAACACCGCAAGCTTCTCCGTCGTATTTACAAGATTGTATAAATTGGGATAAATTACGGCCGGAACAAGAACAGATAGAGAGGTATTATTAATATATTTTTTGATTATAAATACTTTAAATTTTATATTGCATTGTACAAGAAAATTCAATATTTTTATTAATAAAATTTTATTTAAATTTGAAATAAACAGGCTATGAGAACGCAGATGTTTGTGCGTTGGATAGCGAAAATTAATTTTTTGCTATGCTTTATAATTGTGCACAGGGCACGAAATTTGCTTGACATGTACTAATACGTTTATTTAGGAATAAATCTCAATTCGAGTTTTTTTATTGTTATGTTTCTCTCTGATCTTTTAAAAGATGTAGGCGAGAAAAATATCGGTCTAAATTCGCTAAATTGGGAATCGAATCTGAGTCTTTCACTTGTCGATCGATTGCTCTTACCACTTACCACTAACAGTAAGCTAGTTACATTTCGATCCGATATTTTTCTCTTGCCTATATAATTGTGCACAGGGCAAATTTCGTGCTCTATGCATAATTATAAATCATAAAATTAATTTTCGCTACTCAACGCACAAATATCTGCGTTAAGCTCTCAAAGTCCATTTGTTTCGAATTTATATTTATATATAAAAGCCTTTAAATTGTTATTGTAAAATTTTAATTATTTAATTTTATATTATTTTTTTATTATTGAAAATTATATTTTTATACTAAAGATATTTTTGTAATTACAATTACTATAGATTAATGAGTTTAATGCAACAATCACGAGATTTATTTATTAAAATGCTAGAACATGAGTTTATACAGGAAAAGAAAACCATAAAAAAAGAATTAGTCGCAACATTATTAATGAGGTACAGGTATTATTATTTATTTTAAGATTAGAGAAAATATTTTTTTAAATTTAATATCTAATTATAATACTCGAAACATTAACAAAATTTGATTTGACTTGTAATAATACATATTTAATTACTTATAAAATAAATTATAAAATAAATTTAGATTAACACTGTATTAATATTCCAAATTTTTGAAAATTATAATTTTTGATAATAATACTTACACAATTAAGACAATTTTTATACAAATATTGACTATTAATTTTTTTTGTATAATTGTTCTCGTTTATGTGTGATTCAATGTATCGGTTAAAGTGAGAATAGTTAGTATATAAATTAGATTTTTCAATAAAATTAAACAAGTACAAATCTTTTCACGAATACGTGTTTCGAATCACAGAACAGCTATGCACGTAAAATAAACGCTTGTCAAAGTAACATGTAAGATTAACAGATCGTTTTTTTTTGACAGACAACCGTCCAAAATCGATGTTATGGCAGTACCGAAAAATGAGCCTATGGTTGATTCTTCGAAATCCGATGAAGATTCACAATCTCGAATCTCGAAAAGAATGGCTACATCTTCAAAAACACCGCAAGCGTCTACGTCGGATTCACAAAATTTGGATACATTGCAACAGGAACAAGATACTGAAAAAGTTCACGAAAAGTAATAGAAGATATGTTATTAATATATGTTTTGATTATAAATATTTTAAATTTAATATTGCGTTGTATGAGAAAATTAATTTTAATTAAGAAAATTTTATATATTTGCGTTTATATTTTCACGATTACATGTTTTGATTCACAAAATAAATATGCAATAAGATATAAACGTCTATTAAAACAACATGTAATATTATCAAATATTTGTATTCTTTTCTCAGACAATCTTTCAAAACTGATGTTATGGCAGAACTTTCAAAAACAGAAGATTCTTCGAAATCTGATGAGGAATCACAGACTGAAATCTCGAAAAGAATAACGATATCTTCGGAAACACAGCAAGCTTCTACAGAGGATTCACAAGATTTGGGTACATTGCAACAGGAACAAGAAACTAAAACAGATCACGAGAAGTATTACTATAATATTGGCTTTGATTATATATATTGTAAATTTAATATAATATAGTAGGAGGAATTTAATATTTAAATAATTTAAATAATTCAAATAATTTTATTTAATTGTGTTCATATTTTCACGAATACATGTTTCGATTCATAGAACAAATATAAATGCAATATAAAGTAAACGTTTGATAAGGCAACATGTAATTTTAATACATATCTGTATTCTTTTTTTTAGGCAAGCTTCCAAATTCGATATTACGGCAGAGCCTTTGAAAACAGAAGTTTCTTCGATGTCTAATGAGGAATCACAGATTAAAATCTCGAAAAGAATGGCTACAACTTCGGAAACATCGCAAGCTTCTACGTCAGATTCACAAAATTTAGATATTGCTAGTTTTGGATATTCGTTCACTTCCGATGAAAAATTACCGTCTCGGCGCACACCGAGTAAATCTATTTTGGAGTTCGTATCACAACCTATCACTTTTAGACAAGTGAAACCACCACCTATCATTTTTAAAGCAACCTTAAATCCTCTTTATGAGTTGGAATACTTACGGCAGATTAAACGTGAAATCGAAACATCTTGTGAAAGATTATTTATTTTTTATTAAAATTATTTTAAACTTAATATCTTATTATGCAACGTATACACCATGACACTTTTGTGTTTCAATTAAGTCTAGATCGAATGTATACACTAAGTATCCACGTGTGTACAAAACATATCAATGCTATATTAATACGGTATTAATGAAATAAAAGATAAACAAGGTTGTTAAAAGATAAACGTTTAGTGAAACATCATATTAACAAATATCTGTGTTTTCGTCTCAGATCCTCTAACGATCTATCGTTTATTCCGGAGGAGTTTTCGAATGAGCCTACGGGTGCTTTTTCCAAGTCCGATGAGGACTCACAATCTCGAATCTCGAAAAGAATGGCTACATCTTCGGAAACACTGCAAGTTTCTACGTCGGCTTCACAAAATTTGGATATATTGCAACAGGAACGAAAAGCTATAAAAGTGCACGACAAGTATAAGTAATAATTGTTTTGATTATAAATACTTTAAATTTTTAATTTAATATTGTACAGTATGAGAAAATTCAATATTTAAATTTAAAAAATTTTATTTAATTGTGTTCATATTTTCACGAATACATGTTTCGATTCATAGAATAAATATGAATGCAATAAAAAGTAAACGTTTGATAAAGCGACATGTAATATTAACAGATATCTGTATTTTTTCCTTAGGCAATCTTTCAAATACATATCAATGTATGATATATTAATACGATATTAAGAAAATAAAAGATAAATGTTTATTAAAACATCTTATTAACAGATATTTGTGTTTTTTTTTCAGATTCATCGATTACTGGTATATTTCCGATAGTCAGAAGAATAAGCTTATAAATGATTCTTTAAAGTCCGACTCACAATCTCAAATCTCGAAAAGAATGGCTACATCTTCAGAAACATCGCAAGCTTCTACGCACGAGAAGTATTACTAATATTTGCTCTCCTCTTTTCTCTTTTGATTATCTTCTTTGGAATATATTTTATATTTGCAACACAGATATACGAATAAAATATATATCAACATAACATGTCTTATTGTTAACAAATTTCTGTATCTTTTTTCATAGACAACCTTCCACATCTGAAATTTCGACAGAGTCTTCCCTGTTGATTACTGATGCAACTAAATCCGATGACAAATCATCGCCTCGACACTCAAGTAAAGCATCTACTTCTTTTGAGACACCACAAGCTTCTACTTCGGGGACTCAACATTTGTGTTCCCTTCAACAGGAACAAGAGAAAGATCATAATGAGTAATCTATTTTTTTAAATTATAAATGAAAATTTAATATTTATATTAAATTTATTTGCCTGTATTAAATATATGAATTTAATTATTTTTATTATAAATTCTAAACAATTATTTAGATTTACACTACATTATTATTTTAAATTATTAAATTTTCCATAATAATATTTACACAATTAAAATAATTTTTATGCAATCTAATTATTAACTAATTATTAACAATAAAAATGCAATCTATATTATTACTTATTAAATTAAAGAATAATAAATTTATAATTATCACTATATCTACAATATTATACAAAAAAATTTTTTATTTACAATAAAATATTTAGACGTTCCTTTTATTTAATGTAACGCAATGATTCAAGAACGTGTGATTAACTAAACTAAAAAAGTAGAGCACAAATGAAATTGATCAAGTATCTTTTCCCGCGTTCACGTATCGATTGGAAAAACATATATGAACACAGTGGAGTATAAATATATATCAATTTAACTTGGCATTTTATTAATAATTTTGGTGGTTTTTTTGCAGACAAGTTACTAAATCCAATATCATGGCAGAATCTTCAGCAATCGATAATCCTTCCAATGAGCAATCATTCCCTCAGCGAAATTGGACGCCAAAACAACGTATTTATCCGGATATGGAATCTTTGCAGCATTCTCAGTCTTCGAGAGCTCGCATGTCAAAAATTATATGTTGTTGTTTGTGCTGGTACCTATTTTTATTTATATTGTATTTTTCTTGGAAAATTAGGCATCCATATCAGAATGATCAGCGCAATAACATAACGAATCTTTCGTCTTCCGCTAATTTAAAGATACAAATTCTCGATCATCATCAAGTTTTAGACGTCTTGACGGATTATCTTCAACAAGAATCACCTCTTTTAAAAGTCGTGGCTCTTATTCGTGATACTAATATCGAAAAATCATACACAGTGGACATTATAAAGAAAAAGCTTCGTAGAAGAGATAACGATTTCTCATCACTGTATCCGAACTTTGTTGTCTTAGAGAATTTGAGAGCAGAGAATTCGATAGTTGTAATAGACTATGTGAAAACTTTTCAACAACTATACAGAGATCGGCAGATTACTTTATTGGCAGTTTTTAAAGTTGAGCTGAGTGATGACGCTTCCATTCGTAGTACAGAACTAAACGGAATTATAAATACAGTAAATAATACTTTCATCAAAGAAAATATTAATATTAAAATTATTCCCTACGAACCTTTAAGAGAAAGTGTTTTAGAAAAATCTATTATAGAAAAGGGAAAAAGTATAGGACAATCGTACACTCAGAATGAGATCGATATTATGAAACAAAATTTGATAAAAGATGATATCGTATATAAAAATGATTGTAGACAGGAGGATTATTAGTATTCTAAAGACAAATCCTATTCTTTTTTATTAGTTATAAAAATTATCTCTTAAACTGGAAGCTATAAATACATAATGATCTTACAATCTACAATTTATTATTTTGAAGCAGTAAGAATGCGCTTCAACATTTTTAAAAATCTGTAAAAAAATTTCGATTGTTTATATTTTAAAGTTATTGCAATATTTATATTTTTGGGAATATATACAGAATTTCCCTTAAAAACAATTATGTATGTATAAGGATTATACATAATTGTTCTTAAGGGAATAATATTGGTAAAGTTATTTTATTGCATCTAACATAACAATTACTACTTAAGAATTAAATATTCTCTTTCTGTATATATTTTCAACTGTAAATTAATATTACAATAACTTTAGAATACAAATAATTGAAATTACTTTACAGATTTTTAAAATATGTCGAATCGCTTTTTATTGCTTTTAATTAAATTGTAGGATCATTATTTATCTAGCTTTCGGTTCAAGAGATAATTTTTATAATTAATAAAAAAAAAGAATAGAACTTTTAATTTCGCATTAAAAGCTACTTTGCATTTTATTTACAATCAGGTTGCACTGATCTAAACGTGTAATGAAATTTTTGCATTGTACTAAAAATGATCGATGATTTTGCAGGAGATAATGTTTTGTTTAGCGTACGTTCAATGAAACTCATCAGCGCATTGTTTTGTACGGTTATACAAACTTGCATTTAGAACTCCCAACATACGTAATATCTCGGACTTTGCTAAGTTTTATTTTGTAATCATATTTGGATTGGACGATTTATAAGTGGGCGCCCGTGATGGTTCCGCATGTATAAATTTTCGTAATAACTTGTAGTGCTACAAACTTAGGCGTTACACTGCTCTACATCGATCATTTTTATGCAATTGAAGAATCTATCGCGATTTTTTATTTTTATTTTTTTGTGGCTATAATTTTATATGGTTTTATTTTATGAAAGATATGCTTTTATTATATTAATAAATAATTATTTTGTATTAAAATATTTGAGTCTAAATTAAAGGAATATCTTTGAGGGTATGCTACATATATATTTAAAGTAAAAATATCTACAAATCATATAAATTTATTATGGTTAGCTAAATTAATTATTAAAATATTATGTGTTGATTCTTAAGAATTATATTTCGTTCGATTGTTACATGTTTTTATTTAATAAGTATTAAATTATAAATATAATTAAGCTCAAGAAGCATTTAAGACAATTAATATTTTAAAACCTGAATGAAATATTTATACATACATATATTTAATTAGTATACAAACACATAATATTTTAATAATTAATTTATGCTAACCATAATTAATTTACTAAATTTGTAGATTTTTTTTGCATTAAAACATATAACAATCCAGCAAAATATAATTCTTAATGATTTATATTTGCTTGATTTTATTTTGCTCGATTGTTATATGTTTTAATTTATAATAATAACTATTGTACATGTGTGAACAATTTTAGATTACAAATAGTAATTAGATTATATATTAATAGTAATTAGGAACAAAGTATTAAAAATCGACCCAACTAGTTAAAGAACATATATTTATTTAAAAACACACAACATTTCGGTCATATGGTTGCGGTCCTTATCAAGTGTAATATTCATTATAGTAAAGGTGCAGCCAAATGGTTTTTGACGAATCATTATAGGATTGTTTTCTGTTTTACAACTGTTTTGACAAACTCAAATTTATGTTACATCTAATTTAAATGTAGTTTAACTATAAATTACTTTACCGTTAATTTGGCTGCACATCTACTAATAAATATTATATTTAATAAGGACTACAACCATATGGTCGAAACGTTATGTGTTTTTAAATAAATATATGTTCTTTGGCTAGTTGGGTCGATTTTTGATATTTTGTTTCTGCTTAATTTATCACTAGCGACTTTTCAAATGTTCAATTATTAATAGTAATTAGATTGTATTTTGTATTTTTAATATATTTATGAATAAATGATCGGCATATAACGTTAATTGTGTGATAAGATAATGATATATGTACAGTAGCGGATCCTGACATCGATAATGGTGGATTTCTGCAAAGTTATTTAATTAATATTTTCTTATTTCATGCTTAGCTTTTACTCTAGAATCAACGAAGAAATTTTTTAATTTGCAAGGAGGAGGTCTAATCTTAAACACCTTCCTCCCAGGATCCGCTAGTGTATATGTATATATTATATTAAATATTTATTCCTTTTAATAAAAACTTGCACTTAAGAAAGTAATTGGTTTTATGTTAGCGTTAAAATTCTAAAATCTTAATCTTAATTTAAATCAAACGTGTTGTCAATCACATATTATCGTACAGCAAAATTATAAAAAATAATAAGAAAAACAAATAATATTTTCGTTTAAAAAAAATCAAGGGCACTGACTTGTTTTCATCAAGACACGAACTCTAACAGTTTACAATCGGATTGTGTGCTGGTAAGATTCCTATCTCGTGGTATGTGCAAAACCAAATGGTTTCTTTTTTATTTTAAATGACTAATAATTACATGATTGTACCTTTTTTAATCAGATTAAAAATAAAATATACAGTTAGACTTTAGAAATAAAGTAAAATAATAAAGTATTAAAATAGTAACGTATAAGATATATATAAAAGAAATTGTGAATGTGTCTTGCATTAATTTATACTTTTTAAAAATTTATTTGAAACTTTGAAAAGTAACATAAATGTTTAGCAAAATTCTTGAGATTGAATAATAACTTGAAATAAGATTGAGATTGAGTTTCTTTTAATAATAAATATCTTATTGAATAATAATATTAAAATATCAAACGCAAAGATTAATAGACACAAATATCTAAAAAGCTCAAAAATGTTTAATATTAAAATAATTAGAAATTTTGTTTGTATGTTGTGTTTTTATATTGTTTATTTAGTTGAAAAATATTTATAATTTTGCTCTTAACGCGATATATATTTTTTTCAATTGCATCTCAATTTTAAACAACTTCTCATTAAGATTTAAATTAGTTATTTAAAAAATAAAGAAATATCAAATAAATTAATCAACTAAAATTTGTTTTTCAATGCATATCCTGATTCGCAGATAAGATATAAATAAAATAAAATGTCTGCATATGTCAATATAATTTATAATATTATTTCAGTACTTTCTTCGCAGACAATTTTCAAATACGATATAATGACAGAGTCGCCAATTTTACATCGGATGATTCTTCCAATTTAAATGAAGAATCAACGACAATGTCTACTTTATGCGAGACACCACAACCGTCCGCTTCGAATACTCATTTTGATTCCTTGGAACAAGATATCAAGAAAGATAACAGAAAGTATTGTATATTTGATAATAAATACTTTAGACTTAATATTGAATAAATGAGAATTTAATATTAATACAAAATTAACAAAATTAAATTTGCTTGTATTTACATAATTATTTGCGTACATTATGGAGGATTATGCAGAATGACTCTATATTATTTTCTTGTATTATTAAAAATTATATTTTTATAGTATGATATATACGTAATTAAAATAATTTAGTCTCACAATTATATTCTAAAATTAAAGAGGGCGAATTATTTCAAACTTAATATTTTTCACACACATATAATACTCGAAATTTAATATCTTTATTTAAAAAATTTACTTGTTTTTTATTTTAGCGACGAAGAATTGCAGAATAAGATAATATCAAATCTGATTGCCCACATCAATACATTGACGAAACATATTAATTTGTTGCTTCAAATACTGGAACGTGAGTATCGGCAGTGTAGACAGAATGAACAAGCCAATTCTAAATTATTTAAAGCCTCATCAAAGTGCAAAAGGTATTATTATATATTTTAAGATTATATAAAAAGAGATAATTATTTTAATGTTAACACATCTTACTCAAAATATAATATTTGAAAATATAATAGTTTCATTAAAAAAATTTCATTTATTTTTTTTATTGTAGTGATTTGCATTAAATATTAAGAATTATTTAAAATAACATTCTTATTTTCTTGTATTATTAAAAATTATAATTTTTCATTAAAGATATTTATGCAATTAAAACAATTTCCATATAAAAAATTTAATTATTTTATATCTATAGAAAAATCTAATTATTTTATATAGAAATATAAAGTATAAAATTTAATTATATAAATAATTATATAAATATTTGTAATTATTGACAAATGTTGATATATTTTTAACAGACAATCTCCCGATATTATGTTAGAACTGTTTAAACAGTTGAAAATTGCTTTAGAATTAAATGAAAAATCACACGAGCAGTTAATATCGACTTTCATTATCAAAATTAATTCATTGAAGAATAATATCGCGTTGCTCCAAATGGAACGTGAAATTCAGCAGAAAGAAAAAATCTGTAACGAGTTATTTGAAGAGTTATCAAAGTACAAAAGGTATTATTATATATTTTAAGATTGGAGAAAGAAAATTATTTCAAACTTAATATTATACTCGAGAAAATATCTTACTTGAAAATTTAATAGCTTATGTCAATGTAACCTGTTATTTTATTAATAAATCTCGTTTTTGTTCATAAACATTTTTCCAAATCCGATATTACGGTAAAATCATCGAGAGAGACTTGAACATTGATGATTTCTTCAGGTCCGATAAAAAATCGTTATTTTTGGACACATCGAGTCAGTCAATTTGAAGTCAACGTCACAAGCTTCTTCGAGTTCTCAGCATTTGGAATACTCCCAGCAGATTATACCGGGACATAATGACAAGTCAGATTATGAAAGGTATGAATTTAGCTCTAATTAAAATTAATTAAAAGTTTAAATCTTAATATATCATTATACGCAAAAATTTAATATCTCTGCGACGAATGAACATGGATGAAGTATAGAATAAAGTTTCGATTTTACTTGCTCTACTATGAAAAGACGGTGCTATTTTCGCAGACATCCTTTCAAATTCGATATTACGATAGAGTCTTTCCCGTTGACTACGGATGCAACCGAGTTCGATAAGCAATCATTGTCTCGCCGAAAATGTCATATAATTCGGACGCTAATAGAACAAGCTCCTCTTTCGAGTTCTCAACATTTAGAATTCGTGCAACATTTCCGGTTTTCAAAAGGTTATTGCATATTAATATTTAATTCAAACATTCGCATATATATATATATATATATATATATATCAGAATGAGCAATCCAATAACATAACAGTTCTTCTGCCTTCCGCTGATTTAAAGATACAAATTCTCGATCATGAATAAGTTTTAAAAGTCTTGACGAATTATCTTCAGTAAGAATCACCTCTTTTAAAATCATGGCTCTCATTCGTGATATAAACATAAAAAATCATACACAGTAGATATCATAAAGAAAAAGTTTCGTAGAAGAAGAGGCAACGATTAATATTAATATTAATATTTATTTTAATATTAATATTTCCTCTGATATATAAAAGTATCATTTATTATATTCATAATTCGATTTAGTTCCATATTACGAATCGAAGTGTCATCACTCGGCTCAACTTTAAAACTGACAGTAGAGTAATTTGCCAATTGTATAATTCTTGAAAAGTTTTCACATAGTCTATTACATCTATATCAAATTCTCTATTTTCAAATTCTCTAAAACAATAAAGTTCAAGTACAGAGATGAGAAATCGTTATCTCTTCTTCTATGAAACTTTTTTTATGATGTCCATTGTGTAAGATTTTTCGATGTTTGTATCACGAATAAGAGAAAAAAAATATTAATATTAATAATATAATTAATAAAATATATTACATTATGAAATCATTATTCATTTAACTTCCGGTTCGAGAGAGATAATTTTCATAACTATAGCAAAAAAAATAGAATTGATACGATCGATAGAATGATAGAATTGATACGAAAAAAATAGAATTGAATAAAATAGATCGATACGCACATATATCCGTACAGAAACCCATTGTGGCCGTTTTGACGTCTTGTTCCAAAAATTACAAGCATAGCGGTATGTCTTAAGATCCTCTACAATAGAAAAAAAATTAATTATCCAGAAACAAGTTCCGGAAAAATCATTTTATTATGATATTTTTGTAGACGATTAAATACTCTTTAATTACACTTAAATACTCTACTTTAAAAATTTATCACAGTTGTCCTCGTGTTCGGTGCCAAGAAATACGAGTAGAGTTGCATACTCTTAAATTATTGACGACAGAAAAAAATTTATTTGTTAATAAACAAAGCCCGGAAGAGTTCTGCTTAAGTAGATATTTACATATACACGCACATATATCCGTACAAAAACTCATTTGTAGCCGTTTTGACATCTAATTCTAAAAATTACAAGTATAGCGGTATGTCTTGGGATCTCTTACTATAGAAAAGAAATTATTCAATCAGAAACAAGTTCCAAAAAAGTCATTTTATCATGATATTTTTGTACAGACGGTTAAATACTCGTTTAACAATTTATTACGGTTGACTCTGTGTTTAGTGCCAAAAAATACAAGTAGGGTTGCATACACTTAGATTATTTAACAGAAATTTATTTGTCTGTATTAAATATATGAATTTAATTATTTTTATTATAAATTCTAAAAAAATTGTTTAGATTAACACTATATCATTATTTCAAATTATTTAATTATCCATAATTATATTTACACAATTAAAATAATTTTATGCAATCTAATTCTTAACTAATTATTAACAATAAAAATGCAACTATATATTACTTATTAAATTAAAGAATAATAAATTTATAATTATCATTATATCTACAATATTATGTAGAAAAATTTTTTATTTATATTAAAATATATTTAAACGCTCCTTTTATTTAATGTAACGCGATGATTCAAGAACGTATGATTAATAAATAAACTAAAAAAGTAGAGTGCAAAATAAAATTGATCAAGTGTCTTCTCGCATTCACGTATCAATTGGAAAAACATATATGAACACAGTAGAGTATAAACATATATCACAGTAACTTGTCATTTTAACAAATCTTGGTGGTTTTCTTTGCAGGCAAGCTAGTAATTCCAATATTATAGCAGAATCTTCAGCAATCGATGATTTTTCCAATGAGCAACCATTCCTTCGGCGACAATGTTATCTATGATTTGGACGCCAATGAAACAATATATTTTTCCAAGTTTTGAACATATAGAATCTTTGCAGCATTTTCACTCTTCGATAACTTATCACATGTTAAAAATGAAGTATTATTATTTGTACTGGTACCTATTTGTATTTATATTGTTTTTGTCTTGGAAATTTTGATATCAATTTCAGAATGCTCAGCGCAATAACATAACGATTCTTCCGCCTTCCGTTGATTTAAAGATACAAATTCTCGATCATTATCAGTTTTAGACGTTTCGACGGATTATCTTCAGCGAGAATCACCTCTTTTAAAAATCGTGGTTCTCATTCGTGATACTAATATCGAAAAATCATACACAGTGGACATTATAAAGAAAAAGCTTCGTAGAAGAGATAACGATTTCTCATCACTGTATCCGAACTTTGTTGTCTTAGAGAATTTGAGAGCAGAGAATTCGATAGTTGTAATAGACTATGTGAAAACTTTTCAAAAACTATACAGAGATCGGCAGATTACTTTATTGGCAGTTTTTAAAGTTGAGCTGAGTGATGACGCTTCCATTCGTAGTACAGAACTAAAACGAATTATGCATACAGTAAATAATACTTTCATTAAAGAAAATATTAATATTAAAATTATTCCCTACCAACCTTTAAGAGAAAATGTTTTAGAAAAAAATATTATAGAAAAGAGGAAAAGTATAGGGCAATCGTACACTCAGAATGAGATCAATATTATGAAACGAAATTTGATAGAAGATGATATCGTATATAAAAGAGATGATTTGTAGACTCTAAAAAGAGTAATGCATAATTGTTTTTGAGGAGATAATATTGTTTAAGTTATTTTTTATTGTGTTATTTTATTATTATTTTATTGTATTATCTGACATAATTATATCTAATTAAGAATTGAATATTTGATTTTTATATTATAATATATGCAGAGAATAATGTCCGTGTTGCTTACATAATTAGATTATCAATTTATTATTTCAATGATCCGTTTAAAATATAATTTTAATTATAAAATAGAAATAGATACGACTTTTAATTTTGATGAAAGCCAACTTACACGTAATTCATAGTCATGGTTCGTAGTTCTGAACGCGTGATGAAATTTTCGAATGCATTACTTCCGGATTGTATTAAAAACGAACAGTGATTTTTGCAGAAAATGATGTGTGATGTGTCGTTTAGTATATGTTCGACGAAACGTGTAATGTTACGCACGGTTAAACTTACATTGATTAAGACTCTGCGAGCACACGTAATATCTAAGACTTTGCTAACTTTCTTTTTGTAATCATTTGAAATTTACTACGATTTATAAGCGAGCAACCCCGGTCATTGCGTATGTATAAATCTTCGTAATGACACGTAATACTCAAACAATAGGCGTTACATTGCGCTACGTTGAATCACCAATTGTTCTTATATAAATCACTTACAATTATTTCACAAATTGTTTTCAAATCAAGTTTTATTTTAATATGAATATATATAGGCTGCGTTCGCTTTGACGCTTTCAATAACAATATTAATAACAAAGCAGCTCAGACTGAGCGTTAAGGAAAAATACGTAGTTTAAAGAATAGACATATAGAAATAGAAAAAAGAGATATAGTTATAATTGATGCATTTTTCTTTAGATAAGATATAATATAGTAAAAAAAATTAAATTATAGAATTGTTATATATGTTATCGTATTATTTATATTTTTATATACTTATAAATCAATCAATCAATCAAAATTTACATTGTGCTATAAGAGGATTATACTTTCTTAAAGAGGATATTTTTTTAAATAAAAATTTGCGAGTATAAAACACAGTAATTAGTATTAAAAATAGTATAAAATTCTAGGTTGCTTATTTAATTTTAAATTACCTTGTATAACATATTGGTCTAAATTTTTTGCTCAAATATTATAATTAAGTGCTTATATTATTTGCTTAAATATTATATGTTACAAACAATGTTATAAATAATGTGTCAAACACAAAAATGAATTAAATATTGTAAATTAATTTTGAATCAGCATTTGCGAATATGTTTTAATAAATAAAATTTTCTATACCTATCATCCACTCTTTCTTTTTTAATTACCTTTACATGGTCTTCTCACGTAACTTAGAAATAGATCTATCAATGTTAAAATATTTTCTTTGTGCACGCACATAACGTTACGTCTCTTTATGATTAAAAATATCTCTTATTTGCCTCTTACGTATACATCGATGATGATGCAACTGGTCAGAAGTTACGTTCGTTCTGTAACGCCGCAAAGCTATATGTTACATCGCGCTTCCAGTTCGCCCTGTTACTCCGCTTCCTTATATGTTTTATCGAGCAGGAATTCTACATGTCGTTGAAAAGAATTACTTTATTATAGCAATTTCAGTGAATAAAATTGGCCGATTGTACCAAAGACGTCACGTTTCCTGTTTGTCAAGAACGAAACGTTTACCCGACAATCGTTTTAACAATTAATGTTACAGTGATACACTGACATCCTGTGCATGTGCATCAACAAACGCGAGAATCCTATTCGCCTCGAAGCTGTTCGACATATGTGAATGCGACCCGACAATTTTCAGCTGATTACTGGGCATCATCTTTTAACATCCGTTTTGATGACTGACTTGATGTAATAATTACTTTCCCGGTTCGAGCCTGTTTTTTGTGCAACGATATTGACGAATTAATGTCATGCTATTTTAATTAAAAGAGACAATATGAATCAAGAAATGGGAAGAATCTCTTTTTTCGAATATAATCGCGGTTGTCATAAAATTCATTCCTACGTGAACACGCTGATTAATATTTTCAGTCATCTATTTCCATTTCTCTTGTTATGTAATGTTTCAGCAGGATTTTATTATGCGGTAACGCTCCGTATATGTTTTACGTATGAGATCGTAAGACACTGCAACCATACTCGAGCAGAAAAAATTGCAGTATATCGTTGGAATTACGGTGAACCAAGTATAAACGTCAGTTATTCATCAGGTTTATCTTCGATCAATAGATATTTGTCAAACCATCTAGAGAGAAATATTAAGAACCTAAAGATCAAATAATATAAAATAAAAATAAAATAATAAAATAAACATTCGAAAAGCCAGTTATAACTTGTAAAAAAAATTATAAGTACAGTTTTGGTTTGAACCCTCTTCAATACATATTAAAAATAAAATTGAATAAACAAAATAAATTAGAATAACTTTAAATAGTCAGTAATAGATGATGAATAAAAAATGTTCTAACTGAAAAAGACTTCTTTGGTTTATCTTTTAATATTAGCCATTAAACATTATTGCTATTTTCCTAAAAAAAGAATAGATCAAAAGATTATTTCTTTGACTTATAATATATTGTGTGATAGCAAAAACGATAAAAGATATAAGGATATAATAAAAGGAAGAAATTTTCTCTCTAACGAAGTAGAATCATTATATATATATTATATTACAAAGCATAAAAGTCGTTAACTGTAAGTCATAAAGTGCGTTAAATAACTGTTTAAACGCGAGAGATGGACTCGGTTATAATGATTAGTACGAAGTAATAGGTAACCGAAACCACAGAAGTCATAGACATCAAATAAAAACAAACTTGTCAATTGATATATCAGATATAAGCATGGCAATATTTAAATTTTAACAATAATTTATTCAATATAATTAAAAAGAAAAAAATATGTATAATATCTTGCGAATGACCGCTTATTTTAGCGGTCATTCGCAAGGTATTATACATATTTTTCTTATTTTAGCAGTCATTCAGAAGGTAAGACTGGATTTTTTTCTCTGTAAAGCATCTTTAAAATGAATCTCTTAAAGTAGCAAGGTTTATCATTGAGAATATGGAAATTATAATTCACACTAATTTAAATTACCATCGAGTTTTTTACTTTGTATTCCGAGATACGAATTTTCACAGGTTTAGTCCATATATAATTGCAGTAATTGATTTTGTAAATTGTAATATTTTGAGAAGGAGAAGATATCAGAGTGTACTTTTATATACAACTTTATTTATTCAGCCCTGTATAAGTGCCCTTGATAGTCGAGGTAAACTTCTCGCAAGTAATAATATTCTTATTAACCTTAATAATAAAAAAAACTTCAAATATTACATTTATTAATTATTTTAAAAATTATGTTAAGTAAATATCCATTTTTAATAAAATATCAATAATAAATTCAGATTCTTTTAATAATATTTTAGATAAGATAGATAAGAAAGTTCTCAATCTCTCAGACTTATGATCGTATTTCTTTTTTACATATGTTAAATTGAATATGTTAAAAAAAAATTTCAAATTACTGGAGAAAGTTTATTTGTGTTATTAGTTGAATTATACAATAAATATATATCGTACAAGGTAATGCTTAAGATTTAAAAATCTTAAGAGCTTATCGGATCAGAACATTTTTCGTAAATTGAACTAAAATAAAATAAAAGGAGTTTAAAATAAAAGGAGTAAAAAATGCAAGGTAAAGAAATGAAGGAAGGAAAGGTTGCCAAGGATACATTTCTGTCACAAAAAGACAGAATAAAAGACAGCCTTTCAAGTACTTTGAACTCTAAATTCTGGGAAATGACATCGGGTAATAATAAGAGATAAGCTCATAGACATGTCAAAAACTTATTTATAAAATGGTTAAATCCAAAGAAGTAGAATTTGACATTAATTTTCAAGTAATAATAAATTGTTAAACAGAACTTTGATATATTTAGTAATCAAATTTCATCAGTTTGTCATGCTAAATCTTCGATAACCAAGTCTAATTAAAAAGCATAATGTTACTTATTGTATATACAAAAAAATCAAAAACAAGATTTATAAATTTACAACCAAAAAAAAGAAGGAAATGACGTGACTTTATCTGAAATCTTTTACTTATTACTTATTACTAAAAAGAAAGGGAGCAATAGCAGCAGGGGGATCGCGTTATGAAAGCGATATTATCGCGCATCGTTTCTATTAACGATACTATCCAGGTATCTATATAAAAGAAGGTAGAAGACCAGCGAACTAGCGTAGTTTGCAGGTTCGTTGGTGCGGACTTTAACAGAAAGTTTGTATTACATTTAATCTGCGCCGCGTTGGAAATCAAGGCGAGAACGCGTTTTGGTCTACACTTTGTACTCCGAAGGATCCGGTCTTCGCTTTGAGGACACGCTTCGCATAAACGTAGTCGCGATTGGAGACGTTGGTCGAAGAGGAAGGGCGTCGCAGAAAATTATAAAAGAGCGAACGTTCGACGAGAGTGGGGTAGTCACTTCCAAGTGTGCACCTGGGGCACAACGATCGGGGTACGTTAACATAATCAAATAGGATATTTATTTAGAATAGTGCTTGAGACAGATCACTTCGGATTTATGCCGTCAAGAAGCAGATAGATATTGAGTAAGCGTGAAAGCACTCTTAAGATTTAATCCATACTCGCTCTTATATAATATACATATATCAAATAATCTTTTATATTATTTAATTTTTTCCTAGAAAGTGTTTACATGCTTTCACATTTTATATTCGGCATTTTTTTTTTAAATATAATTTTATAGAAAAAAATTTTACTTTTTTATAGTATTACAAGATACAAAATATTAAACTAAATGATTATGTCAGTGTCTATATTTTGTGTGTATGATCTTTCAATTAAATTAAATTTTTTTAAAAATTTGAGAAAAAAAAGTTAAATTGTTTTTAAAACATGTATATTATACAACCGCAATTTTCAATTAATTTTTACTAAACTTGCTTTAATACAGCTTTTTAGTCAAAACACAAATCAAAAATATTAATTTTATAGACGTACAGATACGTCGTTCTATTCTAAAATTTTGTTGCAAAAATCAAACATAACTTGGCAAGATTCTATATTGTATAATCGGAAAAGAATATATAATGCTTTTGCAATATCTTAAGAGTATTAATAATTTTTAGATAATACTTTAGATATATTAATTTCATATTTTTATATTGATGTTTTATATATTCGTGTTTTAGATTAAAAATTTAATTGTATTTATATTTCTTTACACATGCAACTTTTTTTTTTATTTTTTATTGAGACAAACAAAAAGAAAGAGATTGTATATTTGATATAATTAATATTTAATATTAATTTATATTATATTAATAATATTTATGAATTATTTATATTTCTATTTATTATTATTTATAATATTATTATACATTATATTAACATTAATCTTGTAGAATATACCTTATAGAAAATTTAATATTTTATTTATCCATTTTGAAGGATTAAAAACTATTATAAAATACGTCATGTTACAACAATTTACTGTCTGTAACGTCAGATTTAAGCTGCCTGATCACGCTCATCAGAATAAATCGACATTGTCGAATCGGCAAACGTCGCGCGAATTTTAATCCTTGGGACGGTACATGTACGTTTTATCCTTGGTCGTAAAGGTCGACATTACAAAGGTCGGAAATATAGAACGCTAATTGCCATTCATGTGAATTCGCACTTTGAAAGAAATTTACACGTTGGAAGAAGCGTGGGATTCGACACAATCTCGTTCGTTACACGTTCGAAATCAACCGCAAATGAGCTGCAACAGAGTCAAAAGCGCCATGACATAATCGTTGTAATATGCGCGGGAATCGTTTGCAGACGTAACATAACGATTGCATGATCGCGGTATTTTAATAATAACGAGAGGTAACGTTGAGTCACCCTGGTGTAAAAATGAAAGGATTAAATACGTCATGTGACGTAATCGATGTAACTTTGTATGAAAAAAAGCGTGATCTTTTATAAGCGCGATCGACGACGGAGAGATAAAAGCTTGCTGGCAATAATACGATAAGTGGTACTTTCTACGCGGAAGAAGACTCATACCCTTAACCAGCTCCATTATAATCGTAGTACAGCGTCATTTGTGCAGCCCAATCGTAATTACTTTTATCCACGTAAGAGTATACGTGACCGGTGTAGACGTAACAGATAATATGTTTCTGTAATCCGGCAGTCATTTTGTTTATTACCGACTTATCAAAAATTGACGAGTGTTTTATAGTTAAATATCGTGTATTTCGCCGCAATACATGCTTGCCCGACATTTCACTTTCGATTGAAATTCTTTAATGACATAACGGTTACAAAGATTACGTATCCGATCAAATTTTTGTAGTTAGACTTTGTAGTTATGTAGCATAGAGGAGGGAATATTGTTATACAATCTTAATTATCCTCGCTCTAGAAAACGGTGATTAGAAATAATCTAGGAAGTAGATGGAAATGAGATGGGAAAATAAAACTCTCTCGACGGTATATTGTATATAATAAGCATATTCAAAAAAGAATGAATATTCATATTGCGAAATGACTCTCGCTACATAACAGAGAGACAGCGTTCCCATTTCCCTCTTAAAGATGTTTCTCAGATCTTTCGTCCTACTTCAATTGTAGAACTTCACGTTGCACAAAACGCATAAAAAATTAGAGTTGTACCTCTATAACGCAATAGCAATGTGAAAACAACGTAAAGTAAAAACACTAAAGTAGGAAAAAGTAACTAAAGCAATGATAATGACACTTCTTTCTTTCGGGAACCGCGCAACAGTTTGTTTCGGCGAATAAAGATGGGTGAACAACCTACTCACTTATTGCATAATCGGAGAAAGCGATTGCGAAACAAGCCGGTGCACACTCATACTCAAACACGTGGTGCGCGATGAAACAGTCGGCTGTGCTACGTTAATCGTTATGTCACTAACTGACGAAAGGTTGGAGAGTTCCCGTCCGCGATCGGCCGACTGACAACGTAACCGATCCATTCCTTTTTAAAAGAGAGAAAGAGAAAGAGACAAGCACATTTCTTCAAGACGCCTTCGCCGTGGCTTTGAACAGGAAGTAGGTCAGCCGGTCAACTCAGTCGGACGAAGAAAGTGAAAACGCGTATTGTTACACTTACATAAATAAGCTGTATAGCAAGGTAGCAAGAAGATCAGAAATGTGAATTTGTATCACATTGTTGTGTTCAGAAAGGTCTAGTTAATACATACATATATATATATTTAAAAAATAAAAACTGAAAGTGCTTTTTTAAACAAATCCTTTTGTTTCTATTAGAATATAAATATTTTGAAATAATTATTGTTATTTATAAAAAGAATATGGCGACAAAAGGATGCGCTTACAACAACCTTTGTTGAAACTTTCGAGATATAAATGTCACGGTTTTTTCAGATTTCTGTAGATTCAAGTAGGTCATCAGACGATATCAAGATGGGAGCAGTCGAATGGGTGACCGAGGAAGATGACTATGAGTGCATCCTCCCAGAGGAGATTCAAAAAATGGCCAAGGATGAGCTCAGAGAGGACAAAAACACCAGAGATCAAGCTCTCGAGCAGATGCGCAATTGGATCAAGATGAATCCGCGCATTCAAAATTGCCGTCTCGGTAAGACTGTAACATCAAATACTGATCGACGTGAACATTGACGTAGAAATTTTTACGTTATGCAGAAAATAATTTAACTATGATAACATTTGTGTAATTACTTTAAGATTATAATGAAATACTTTCAAGTTATAATTGTTTTGAATGAATAAACAAATTTAAATAATTATAAACATTCGAACGAGTAACAATTCTTTAATTATTTATATGCAGTTTCGATATTAAAATTTGTCTCTCTCATCAGATGCACGATTTTTGCTAAAATTCTTACGATCCAAAAAATTCAACGTCCCGATGGCCCAAGAAGCCACAGAAAGATATCTGCTGCTGCGTCAGGTATATCACCTGGCATTTCATAACTTGGACATCACAGAACCGAATATGGAAGATTTATTGTCATTGGGGTGAGTATTTTTAAAATTATTTTGTTGCCACTAAAACTCATTTTCGCAATCTCTTCTTTTATAGATATATCTTCGCTGCACCTGGTCGCGATGCGAAAGGTCGTCGCGTAATAATCGCGAGACCAGGTATATGTTATTTTTTATGTATGAAAAGCGCTGAGTATCTATATAAAATATTAATATTACATAGCTTAATACATATAAAATATATTTTAAAGTTTACAAAAAACACATATAATTCTATAAGTTTGTATAAATAATTTTTATTGACTATAATTGTTTTATAAACATATAAAAATAATGGTCTCTAATAATAGAAAGTGATTTGTGATAAAGATTTTATATTTATGTAATTCTGTTGCAAAAGAAAACTATATAATTCTCAGCGTCTTCTTTTCCATCGCGTTTACTTTACTCTAATCACTTGAACACGCAATTTTTACCCAAGGTGTTTTCGATCCTCACAAATACACAAACGTGGACATGTGCAAGATTCATGCAATCACTTATGAGACGCTCATGGAAGATGAGGAGAGTCAAGTACGTGGCTTTGTACATTTTGCTGATGGTGCTGGTGTCAGTTTTCCTCATCTGACGCTCTTTACACCTAAAGAAGCTGTGCGCATCGTGAAAAATGGCGAGGTACGATTAAATGCTATGTTGTAAATAAAACTGACAATCAATAAATAAAATGAAACTTTTGATTATTAATTGAAAACAAATTTGACGTAACAATAATACAAACTTCAATTCAAATTTGTTAATTTCGAATAATTTTTTTTTATTTCAAAATTAATGTTTCTCTTTTAAGAGTTTTTATTTTTTTTAATTATTTTGTAATAATTTTATTTGTAGAAATTAATACATGTACATATGTATATACGAACATCATAACGTGTGGTAAATTTATTTAAGTTATTTTGGATAAAAGAAAAGTAAAGATTTAGATTTTTAGATATTCTTTATGTAATAATTCTTTGCATTAATCATTTCAACATTTAATATTTTTCATGTTTTAAGACACTTTGCAGATATTTATTTAGTCTAGTTTAATCATGCCATTATGCGTCACAATGATAATATTAAATCGAGATATTTATTTTACTTTCAAATTATTTATTATATTAAATCAACAAGTCATCACGTTCTAAATTGCTGCAAAAGCGTTACATTTTCCTTATTAAAACATAATTGAATTGACACTGTACGTTTTTTTCTGGACCAAGGACGGCGTCACATAACAAAGTTTTATAATATTTCTTAAAGATCAGATACTAACCGGTTTTTCCATATTATTTATCTCATAAGTTTATTGTGTGGTAATTCTATTTAAAGTCTGAGAAAAGATTAGAAACAAAATAGCTTTTTATTAATATTAAAGAGTAATTTGTTGATAAAAACAGACAAAGAAATAAATTATATTTGCAGAAAGACAGATAAGAATAGTATACATTTACATAAATCCTCCAACTGTTAATAAAGAAAATAAATGTTCTTTTTATACAGCAAAATGTAAATCTTTCATTGAAACGTTAATAAAATAAAACGAGAAAAATGAAGAATATTTATTTCCATCGTCTCTTATCATGCTTCTCGAAGTAAAAAGCCGTAGCAAATTTTGTTAACTTAATGTATCGCGATCAATCTTATTTTTACATTGGATAATTTTGAAAAGGGGATTTTTTCCGATTAAAGAACATTAAAAAAAAATGATTTTATTTCAGCGCACTGTACCGATGAGACATAAGGAAGTTCACGGGATCAATACACATCCTTCGCTAAAATTCGCTTTGGACTTCGGACTGTCACTGATTTCTGAAAAAATCAGGAATCGTGTAAAGATTTACACAAGCCTCGAGGATGCTATTAATAGCAAGTTGGATGTGAGCATGCTGCCCAAAGAATACGGCGGAAAGATTCCCATGAAGGAAATGATTGGTAATTCACGTCTCTTCAAGTAGCTCGTGTTACATTATTCCATTTCAGAGATGACAAATGTTAAATTCTTTTTTGATGATACTGTTTTGATACAGATCTATGGCGGAAAGAGGTATTAGAAGTGAGACCCACGTTGCTGAGCAACGATAAGATGAGCGTCCATCTAGAGTTGTACTCGGAGAAGGCGCGAGAAGGCGCCGTCTCGGCTCTGAAACAAGGATTCGGCTGTTCCAGCGTGGGTTCCACCGATTCTGCAATGTACGGAATAACAGGATCCTTCAGAAAACTCGAAGTTGATTGATATATAAACGTCAGCTACTCTTTGCATTTTTTACCTAGATAATAAATGGCGCGGGATCGCGATACAGACTGGTTTGGAAATTACAATCACATAGATTAGTACTCTGGTATTAATATAATTTTATTTTTGTACTATGTAGAAATATGTAGAGATATCTCACTAATGTGTGCGCATATTATTCAGAACAGCACCATAAGCTATATATTCAGATATTGTACATAATTTTTAACACATCACAGTGAATGCGTAAAAAATAAATATAATTCCATTATTCGCTCTCTATCTGAGAAATCGCAATCTACAAGTTTCTGCTTAAAATTCGACGGAATCGTTTATGGAGAAATCCATTTGCCAATTATGTCACGAATTCTCACTCTAGCCTTCTTTAAATCCTCTGTATCTGTGACTTCGTCGCTATAAATATCGCGACAGTGCGAGGATCCTAAAAAATGATATTATATTCTTTTTCTTTTTCTTGCGTTAGAAAAAATAGACTTCTAATAATATAGTTTTCAATCAACTGTATTACTTACCATTGATAACAATAGCAGGCGAAAAAGTATTTAGATCTTTCAATACCGATAACGAATGCCACGGATCAATATCACCATTCGTGAAAATGACGTTTGTTAAGTCAGGTAGTTGCCCACCATACATTATATTTGTTCGTCTAACCCGTGAGTTCAATATCTTATCATTATAGCTAAAATTAACGTTAAGATTATTATTTTTCCATAAAAGAAATCGGAAGAATAATTAATAAATAGATCATTCAATACCGACAAGAATTGTTTAACATTTAACATTGAACCTGTTGAGAAACTTATGGTTGGCAGCGCAAATATATTTATGAATTACAAGTATTGAAATTTATAAGCGATTAAAAGCGAAAAAATATTACATAATTTTTAACGCACTTACGGATCATCATACAAATCTGTGCACATGCTAATGTAATAACTTAATGGGAACAGCGTTCCAAAGATTGATTTATTTGAGCTCGTCTGATAGTAACCGTATTCCGCGCAAGTTTGATGATACCATTGCCTTACTGCACAAATAAAAATAATTTCTTCTTAACACATATACGTCATATTGCTGTTTAATTAATTTTTGAAGCTACTTAATCCAACTCACTAATATCCTGGGCCGCTGGCGAGTTCCACGAAATATTTCGATACTTTTTTATAAAATTATTATAACTTACATCGACACACTTGTCCGATTTCGAAATAACACGCACAACATGCGCGAGTCTTTGCAAAGGACTGCCTAAATGCGCCGCTGTCATGTTGTTGCATAACGCCGCGATTTTCGTTTGACCATTCTCAACATTATCATATTGAACGATTGCGGCGAATACCTAAAATTGCCATTTAGAATAAGAATAGTAGAAAGGATAAGCATCTATGAATAATGATAATTCCCGTACCTCTGCTAGCATATTCATCAAATAACCAAGATCTTTAGGATAGCTTACATTAGGTATGTTGCATAAACTAAAATCAATATTATTAATAAAATTATGATTTCTAATGGTTTTGCCTATTTTATCTCTTTATTTTATTTTCCTACTAAAATTTTAGCAAATTATTTGTGAATTTCTATTTCTGTTTAATCTTACTTGAAATAAAGTTTAAGTTTGTCAGGACCACCTCGTGTGATTAACAATTCCTCCACGAAGTCAAATGCAATTTTCACATCCTCGATGCATTTTTCACTGTATTTGCCGAGTGATTTTGTCACGACCTCATAATATTCTAAGAAATAAGCTTTCTTTAATAATATTCATAAAAAATATTTAATAATTATATATATAATTTACCGTAGAAATCAGCCTTCGCATAAATTGGAGCGCTACTGGCTAGAGCACCCTATTAGAAATATTTCTCTCTTTATTTGATTTTTAAAAATATATGTAACATATAAATAAGTATTTAAAAAATACAAGAATATATAAATACCTGAATAAGATGAGGATATTTGAGTCGTGCCCATGCCGCCATGTTTCCAGCATAAGAACCGCCGAATACTATCACGGTACTATTTTCTAATTTCTTCTCTTTCTTTTTCGTTTCGATGAAATAAGCGAGATCTGCAAGTGCCTGGTCGACGTTTAAATATTGCAAATTCTCCGTGCTGATGTCTCTAAATTTTTTCACGCAATGTTAATTTAAAGAGACTATTTTATAATTTAGGACAATAGGAAGCTATATTAGATTGTATACTTTGTTGGCTTGCTTTTTCCATAATATCGGTGCTCGGTATAATACATTAATGCGCCGTATTTTGATCCGATTTCGTACATCAATCCACCTTGCAGAAATCCATTCGATATTTCCCATTCCCCACCGATCATAATTAAAATAGGACCATTTTTTTTTAAATATACAGAATTTTCTTGGTAACGCTACATAAAGCAATCCATAAATATTAATTTTTAAAAAATATATATTTATTTTAAAAGAAGGAGGAAGAGGAAGGAAAGAAAGTCGTGTAACGATAATTACCATTGGCCAAGTGCGATTGTCACGATAATTGAAATGATCGAGAGGTTGGATAATCCAACCCTCGATTACGTCTTTGTCTGAATACTGTTTTAATGACTTAGGCTCCTCCAAACCTTGAAAAGTAAATCCACGAAAACCTACCCCGTAAACAACGGGATAAATCGAACACAAAACGAACAATAAAATATTTAGCACAATCATGATTGATTATCTTTTTAATTATAGAACAGAGAACGCGAGAGTGTATCTGCTTTTAAAGCGCGCTAGATAGATGTTCTAAATCTGACTGATTAATATTTGCCATTTTCTTCGATTATGATCAGTGATATGGTATCTTTTAACGACCGATATCGTTTGACATTTTTTTGTACCGATAAAATAGAAAATAATACATTGATTAAATAATCGTGATTAAAGGATGAATCTGACGGTTACGGAATGTCTAAGAGAGTTAGCAATTAAAACGTATTGTTCGATAAACGCAAATGTAAATCTTTATCACGCGATATAAAGTGTTACGATTAAATGCACAGATTAGAGCAAATTATATCTTAAAATGTTTATTCTGTATTGTTGTCGTCATCGTTTTAGATAATTAATCCGACAATAAGAAATAATTTATCACAGTCGATTTATTTTTTAATATTCCTATATGTACTTACATAAATATTAGTTTACTTGTACAGTAATAGAATGGCAGAATAGATTAACAGTCTTTATCAAAATTACAATCAAAATCAGAAAATAAAAGAATAATATGATATTGACTCGTTAAACTTAAAAACAAAATATTGTTTACTCGTTCGATCATTGCTTTCATATACTGTGTCACTTTAATAAAATTATCTTCAATATTAAAAGCACTGTTTTTTTAACTTTACAGATCTTCTTTGGATCATTTTTAGGAATCATCCGCCTTTACATCTTTTTTCCTTTTATATCTATGGTTTTGAAGTTTTTAATAGTTTTTTCCAAAAATTTCATGGCCATTTTCGCTATCACTTCTTCTTCTTCTTTTAGATTCTTTTTTATGCCTTTTGGAAGAATGCTCGTGCGATTTTGTCTCATCAGAGTCTTCGTCATCGTACGCTCTCTTAGAGCGACTTGATCGACGTTTTTCGGATGATGTTCTATTCTTAGAACTCCTAATATTTGATCTTTCGCTCTGATTATGACTTCTATCGCGTAAAGATCTTTGCGATCTTCTTTCCGTAGAATGAGAACGTTTCCTTTCTGAGTCTTTTGAACGAGTATTTATTTCAATTTCGGGAGACTCGGACCATCTCCAATTTCGATCTTTCTCGTTATCATCTCGAACGGATTCTTCCCATCTGGATTTGTTACTAGTAATTAAATAAAAAAATATATAAATAATAATGGAAGCTATCTTTTTCCCTTCTTTTTCTGAATTTTTATTAAAAAATCTTTATATATTTATTCTTTATTTGTTATATCTTTTCTTCTAAATTTACTTTCTTCTATTATTAATAGAATCAATTTATTATTTTATATCGTGTTAAATTAAAATTCTGAACACGAAAATTGTATCTTAATAAAATTAAATATTGTATAGAATACTATTCACATATAGAAGCATAGAATAAATAAATAAATAAGCAACTAACCTGCGCTCGCTTCTCTTGCTATTGTTCGGATCTTGAGAAATATTCCGTGCCCATCGAGGTGGACTCTTGATGTTGTACTTTTCGTGAGGATTTCTGAAGGTGTGAAGAAAATTACAGGCTCTGCTGCCCTTTGGACACTTGCTCATGCCGCAGATAGCGTTCCTCCAGGACACCAAATTGACGAATTCGCAATTAATCTGCTTGCCAGCGTACCAGCGTCCCTTCAGGTTCCTCCAAGCTCTGGCCGCCTCTCTTTCCGTGTAATACTCGACGTACAGATTGCCACGCAAATGAATTTCGATGTTGCAGCAACACTTGAGCGTTTTGATTCTGCCAAACGATTCCAGCTCGCTTATCACATCCTCGTAGAATGCGCGAAAGTGATGCCAAGTCTCTGAACTTTCGAATTCAAGGGCAACGTCGGTATCATATTCTGCCGAATTTTTCTCGAGCGAGAAATGTGAATAGAATCCGGGTATAAGGATCACCTTACTGAGGAAGACTCTACGATGATTCTTCGAGCACACATCTCCGTATCTAAAAGCAATGAAAATTAAATACAGATTTGCAAATTAGAGAAAATAAAAATATTTTTTATTTGAATCTTAATGTAACATAATATAATTCTGATTAACGTAAAAAATTTTTTAAAGATTTATAAAATTGCAATAGGCATCTATTTATATAATATATAATCAAAAATTTTAATTTTTATAAATATTAATAAACCTCATAATTATATTATATCGTGATGATCTTTATACTAACCGGCAAACACCTGTTTTCGTAAAAAATGGGCAAATATCTTTGCTAGGTTGATTTTCGATGACTTCTCGCAAAGCTTCGGGTGTTTTCACTCCATTATCGATGTAATCATCGATTTCTTTCTGCAATTGTTCTTGCTTTCGCAGTTGCTCTTCGTGCTTTCGTTTTTCTTCTTCTTTTTTCTTCCGTATTGCTTCCTGTCTTATCTCTAATTCTTTATGAATCTTCATCTGCTTCTCGAATTTTTGTTGCTCCTCCCTCGCCTTTTGATCCTGAAGAACTTGCCACTCTTTCTGTATTCTTACCTAGACCATTAAAAAATAATAGATCAATTATCGGAATTAAAAATTTATTAAATTAAAGATTTATTTCAAACTTGCATACAAAAAATATATTTTTTGCCATTTACATTAATAATTCCCAATTATATGCATAAAAGCTATAAAAGGTAAAACAGCCATAGAAGAAGATATGAAATCATTAAAAAAATCTATATTTATAAGACACTACATTTGTATTTACCTCTTCCGCCACCCAAAGTTTGTTTCGTTCCGCTTGTTCCTCTTGTTCACGGGCTTCCTTCTTTTTCTCCTCCTTTTCCTGCTCAGCGCGCCAATTCAAGTATTTCTCGTTACACATCAGTGCTGCCCTCAACTTCTCTTCATTACCATCGCGTTCCTGGGCGACTCTCTGTCGGATGCGTCTGCGACGTTCCTTCTTCGCGATGCGACGCCACTCCTTATGATTAGGTTTTGTCGTGCGACGTTCCTCCATCTTCGCGCATCCTCAGAAACATTAGCAAATATGCTCGACGACGAACACTCGAGAATAATCACGCCGAAGCGGAGAAACGACCAGCTATTGACCTCGATATACACAACGACACATGTCCGCCGCCATATTGATTTTCAAACAACATATGACCAAATCGTCGATATACAAACTCGTGAAACGAAAGAATAATTATATGGAATCTGATTGCAAATGCAATGCTATTATATGATGTCAATGCTTCGTGCAGTATCAAAAGTCATGTATTAATTGTATATTAAAGATATCATATTGTTTTACAAATTTAATTAAAGAGAGATATATTATACAGATGTGTTATTAAAGATTGATATTATTAATTATTTACTATATAATATTACATATTTTAAATATAAAAAATAGATTTAATACAAAAGCAAGATGCAAATTACCAACAAAATTAATACGTACTAGTTTGCAATCTCATTAAAAGATGGAGACACTATAATTATTTACGAACTAATTATGAAATCATTAAAAGATTCAAAGTAAATGTGAATTTATTCATAAAACTTATTATGCCTACCTTATTTTGCTTGTAACATATCAGTAGTGTTACAAATTTTAAGAAAAATAATATAATTTTAAGAAAAATAATATAATATAGTAAAATAATTATTATTAAAGTAAAATAATTATTTTACATCTAATTTATGTTTTCCGAATATACATCTGGCATTTTTCTTTATAAAAAAATTGCATTTTTACACAGAAATTGTCGAAAGAAAAATAGAGAATTTAGAAATATCAGCCACTATTTATTTTAAATTAAATGTATAGCTATAATAGTTTATAGCAATGTTTTGTTATATAAATAATATATAGAAAATAATAAGTCTACATTAGAATCACATAACATTAATAAAATTATTTTTAAACAAGCATGCAAGATTGTTTCCACCATCTATTTTACGAAATATAATGCACACCTGGTCCCACGAGCGATTACACACAAAGCAAATTCAATATTTGACAATATAAAATAACTGTTTATTGTTTAAAATATATACTTACTTAAATGCAAATATAATTACAGGAAAGAAAAGGAAATATATTTATAAATAGTATAGATTATTAATAAATGTTTATACACACACATATATTCATTCAATTTGCGCTAATTATCTCTTGGGCAACGTTCATCAGAATTGATTACTCAATCTGTTTATTAAAAAAGAAGTAAATAAACTCTTCCTTGTTACGTTCCTGAATTAGTACCGTTACACCTAAACTGGCGGAGCGTTGAACCATAAGGTGTGCAGGGGACTCCCGACCGTCATTCCACGATACACCACCAACAGGTATACCTGAGTAAACGAACGACAAAAAATCATCGTGTGCAAAGTATATCATCCGTGAAAATGTGTAAATAACACGTATACGTTATTCGTGCGCGATTTCTCGTTAGTCTGCGAACTGAACAAGTGACGTTGGCAATCCGTCCACGTGATCACCAGTAAATCAAGATGAGCAGCTAGTAACCTGTTGCTTTAGAGAATAATATGGAGAAAGCAAAAGAAAATAAACTGGTCGACGAGGTGAGCGAGAACAGGGACAGAAAATCCAAGTTCTGGGCTTATTTATTATGGTTGTTTGGCGGATTCTTTGGAGCGCACCATGTGTACCTCGGTAGAGACGACCAGGCATTCGTTTACATCAGCACATTCGGTGGCTACATTGGTGTTGGTTGGATCAGAGATATTTACAGGATACCTGCCTACGTGGCTGATGCGAACGACGACCCGGCGTTTATCGAGAATTTTAAGCAAAAAGTCAGAACGAATCGAAAGGTAAATAAATATTCTACGAGCGTTTAAAATCATCGTTGCGAATGACGTTATTGGTCTTAATATCTACGTGGTTTTCATCGACGTATTATACATTTAATTTTTGTTCATTAATTTCTCGTGTATCATTGCTGTTCATATGCGAAAAATTGATGATGCCAAGTAATATGATCTTCGTTTGACCAAAATTGACGAACATACATAAATGTATACGTGTGCAATTTGCGATTGAAAGCATTGTAAACTGATGACGAATTTGAACTTGTTGCTTACAGCCGCCGTTTTCCACAGCGCGATTCTCAGCGGAAACTGCCGTCGCCTACTTGTGGGCCGAGATATTCAATAGCGCGATTCCTCAGGACGAAATATACGGCATTAATTTCAGGCATCTGTTGCTCTTAATACCAACCGTGATCGCGCTCGGTAAGAATTTGTACTAGAAATTAAAATAATCAAAGATTAACAACGTGTCGTGAATTTCCTTATCGTGCGGTTTCTTGCAAATTATTGTTTCTTCGAACGATATTTTAATGTTGCGATAGTAATGCAACGTGCTCGTTAAAAATATCTGACGTTACTATGTAGAACAAAACAATAGAAAATAGAATTCTAAATTTTTTTTGAAATTTTATTACACAAAATATTTCTTGAATTTTAGCAAAAGCTCTTTCTATCGATATTGCAAATTCAATTTTTCTCTCTTCATTAAAAAAATTAATAATACAAAAAATTAGAAAAATAATTTAAAAAATTTTTTTAGACATACAAACATTTTAGCTAAGTTTTTATTCAGTGTTAATTCAAAAGGTGTATGGACGGTCGGAAATATTGGGAGAGAACAAGGTTCAATATGGATAACGCTTGCCACTGCTTATCTATTTTATCCGACCTTGTACTACATCGGCGACGACACCATGTGGATCTTTCTCATGGTAGTCGCTTCGAGTCTGAGCTTCGATACCTTCAGCAAACAATGGCGACTGAAACCAAAAAAGAAAAAAGTTTTGTCCGGCGGATGGCGCTTTTAAGCTTAGCCATTATGCTGTACTTCGCAATTATCGGTAGCTATTTATATTTCAATGCGGTTATCACGGATAGCGAAGGCGAAGAGATCAAACTGTCAGAAGCGGTGCAGCACTTCCTCACTTCGCCTATATGGACAGATCTCAAGGTAAATTTATGATGTTCAATCTTTAAGACATTAAACTGTGATCTCTTTTATGTATTATTTTTGGTTGCGCGCTAGGCAAGTTTGGAAGCCACGTGGAACCAGGCGAAACACCAAGGTTTCTGGGCAACGTGGGCGCAACTAGTTGATCTTACAGATCCTCGAGGCGAAATAAATGCTTACAAGGTTAAACACGGTCATTTATGAAGCTTTATCTGGATTTAAAAAATATGAAAAAATATATAAAATCAAAAACTCACACTTTATTTTGCAGGTTCTGGGCCTTTCGCAAACCGCCTCACAGAGCGAAGTCACGGCACGATGGAGAACTCTCTCCAGGAATAATCATCCCGATAAGGTTAAAGGATCGGAGGAGGAAAGGCGCAAAGCTCAGGAAAAATTTATGGAGATTCAGCAAGCGTATGAGATTCTTTCACAAGCCAAAAATCGTAGACAACGTCAGAATCGCCGTTCCGAGGCATAAACCGTGTGCGACATTAATTTGAAGATCAGTAAAGGATAAATAGACCGACCGAGATAAATGATCGAGGAAAACCAGCAATATCGATTTAAAATATAAGAGAATTAGTCAAATCAAACAGTCGATTAATAAGATATTTATTTAAACAACCATCTGATAATAACTGCATCGATATAAAATCTTGTAGGTAAAACGTGTATTATAAGTTAGAGGAACACCTGCGATATACGTCGATCGCAAAATCGCCCTTCAATTATTTTTAACCGGCAAAATTTACTCGAGTTTGTTTCGACTTCGAGATCACTTTTCCTTTGGAAAATTTGAAATTCCATTTAGCGATAAGACGACGGGGACAGGAAAGTCTTTGATGGATCTTCCTGTATCACGATTATTTAACGTGATTTCACAGAATCTCCCATGTAATCGCGTTTACGCACTTGAATCTCGTTCCGCCACGTCTCACACGATTCATTCTAAGCTTTAAAAACTAAAAATAAAATTTCGACCGGCTCGAATGTTTGCGCATCCGGCCGTGACGATGGTTTACATCAAAAACAATCTCGAGAGCACGATCTGTAGACACGAAAACACTTCAAACAACAAATCGATCGATAATCGTGATTTATCGGAAGCGATCGAGTTTCGAGGATCTTCTCTCTTTGATTTTTGCGAACGTCCACATTTGAGAAATGCATCGCTATAATATTTTCTTGGCGAGGTAAAATCGGAAAACCTACGAGATCTACTTAGAGGCTCCGGACGACGTTTAGTCGTACGGTTATAGGCAACAATGGAATCGAATAATACGTAAATGATCTCGGATAAAGATGATCACAAATCACTCTCTTCTCTCTGTTGTCTTACGTCAAGCATACTTGCATAATTTTCCATCGCGATTGTTCAACGCAAAACGGGCGACTAAACACGGTTCGCGGCCGCGATAGCTTCACGTTAGACTACTTGCTCTTCTTCTTCGAGCGCAGTGGCTTTGCGATGGAATTCTCGATTTTATCCGTAAAATTTGTCCCGTACTTATCCGAGGTCTTTTCCAAAAAATCTTGCGGCGACACCAACGTCACCCTGAAATATGACACAATTTTTTCTTCACGTATCTCAGAATGTTAGTCTCAATGTTATTTAATTTTTAATAAATGATTTAAAATTGCACAAAGAATATTTTGATGTTATTTTTGCAAATGATAAGACTAATCTTGACTTCCTAACAGACATCTTACCTTAATTGAGGTACACTCAATGGTCGTAGAAGACTCTTTACTACAGGTGACTGTTTCGGCAGAGCTGGACTACTCGCGCAGAGAGCCGCACTGGTGAGTTGTGACACGAGAGAGAAAGTTCTATCTGGACTTGAGGTAGTGCGGAAGACTTTCCTTATTTTCGATTTCAATCCCGAGGAAGGTTGCGGTAGAGGTGCCGTAGGTATAGGTGTCATCTGTATAATTTACATAAGATTTGTATAGATTTACATAAAATTACATAAGATTATTCCGGCGCAAAGAAGACGCAGTTGGAAGATTATTCAATGCCAACGCACTTTTCCTTGTAATATTTTCGCAGCCAATTCAGGTTCGCTGCCCCAACGACAAGATGTTGTTCTTTCCAAAAGACGATGCCTCGCGAATCTCTCGATTACTTCGGCGCACATGTATCTCCCGCAGAATCTTGCCCACTGTTCAGCTCTCAAACCTCTACCGTGATCGCGTAATGTAGGATTTGCTCCTAGAATTGACAAAAACAAGTTTCCAATTTTTATATACACAATAAGTTTTAAGAAAATTCCTTGAGCGATGTATATAAATGATTATATTTTATACAATATATATATATATATATATTATATTTGATAATTACCCAATGCTGAATTTTATATAATTATTTTATATATTTTATAAATTATGAATTAATAATTTTTAATGAAAATTGAACTAAACTCACCGGCAAACAGGAGAATCTTCGCGCATTTGGTTCTACCTTGAAGGGCGGCTTTCATGAGCGGCGTAAAACCCAAGGTATTTCTAGCATCCACCTCGATATCTGGACATCTCTGCAGAAGAATGTTGAGGCATTCGGTCTGTCCTGTCAGACACGTGACAAGGAACATGTACTGACATCATCGATGCTGTCTTTTTTTCGCGCACGATTGCTAATATATTGTATTTCATAACTCGTGATGTTTTGGCTCGCAACGTTTAATGGCATGCATTATCGCGTCGCAGTGCGAAATGCTCCGATGTTTTTGCTATTTCTGGCGACGCAATAGGATTTCTGTGCCGACACGAAAATTCTGCCGGCAGATTTGGCATTAGGCTTAGATCGGGTTTCTAACATTTCCTCAAGACGTTTCTGGTATCATTGCACTATGTATTGTTTTCATTTGTATTTAAAAATATAACGCAATGGACCATATCTTGGGATATGAAAAAATCTGGCAGATAAGAGATTGTATAATTAAAATATATTTATTTTTAATTAAATTATTATTTCCTCATTCGTGGAAAGTCGACTTTAATAAAAGAAATATAAAATTGATAAAATAAAAGAAAATGAAGAAAAATGTGCGAATTAACAGTTTCCAACTGTTCATTATTTTCCAATTTTATTTGAGCCTATAAACCATCTTGAGTCGTAAACATAAATAAGTGTCTTGAACTTTGTTCTGTTATATTCTTATGCTATATTCTTATACTATGCCTATTCAACGGATGTATATGAGACGTTTTGGAATCACGTGGCTGGCGTTCGCCATTTTTTAAGAGGGGATAATCACGCAGCAGAAAAGAAGCAGAGATAAACACCGAGATAAATTATGTTCTAAACCAGCTGCAGAGGAAAAGGTGGGAGAGGCTTTTCTGAAAAGAACGAATTTTAAAAATTCCTATGAAAATTAGAACACATCATTTTCGACGCCTACTGATAGTTATGCATACTCACGGATCGATTGATGCAATACTTATTCTTGTAACTTTTCCTATGAATAAACGCAGCCAGCTCTATTTCTTCGTATCTTGCCAGATACGTTTTTGGAACATTGAATATAATTGCCGAAAATGATATTCTGAATCTCAAAAAGACGAGTCAGAAAAAGGAAGATAACATATTTCAAATTTTCGAAATTTAAATTTAAAATATCATATCAATATCGTATAATATTGTGCGTATGTGTGTATGCGACATCGATAATATCGCATTTTCACTAATATCATTGTAGGATTAATCACGATTTCAAATCATGATTCGGAGAAATGAGATTCTGTAAAGTTATGGAATTACGAAATTAATTAATTCTCAACGGATTATCGATATTTCGCTGTTGTTGCGCGCATCGCGCATAATATCGCGGTATCACGAGACATTGATTCATCACGCGATATTATTCATAACATAATCGATCACACTCACCGGCCTGGGCGGCAAAATGGAGCGGTGTGTTGCCCTCATTGTCAGGCAGATTTGGATCCACACCTTCGAAAGAGAGCGCCAGTTCTAGCATTGCCGATGCACCATTCCCAGCCATGTAGCTTATGGCCGTCTGCAATCGAAAACAAATAATCCCGCTTTAGTTTACACTGAAAGCACGCTCAATTACGTAAACTCGCGCTTCGAACGAAACGTTATTCACGGCCTCTTCGCGCCCGATCGCCGATGTCTCTTTGACCATGACACAAAAAAACACGCGAGATTTCACACAGTTCGCGGATTTTATCCGCTAAATCTAAATCGATGACTAAATAGATAAATCAGAGCTTAAATTGCGATAAATCAGAGTTCAGTTCAGGTAATGTTCAGAATCGAGTATACGACCACTATATTTTCCATGTTAAGTATACGAGTATTCAATCGAATTTATCTTTGAATGCTGTTCACATGTTACTATATTTGACTGGCATGTAGCATGTAAATATATTGAAAAGGAGAAGTGAAAATCGTGTTTTACACCTTGATTATTGAAATGTACGACATGTTCTCTCTGGTAGAAAGATGCTCTCATTCTGCTATTGTTTGCTACCGGCTACCGTCGTCCACATCGGGATGCACAATGGACTATCCGCTAAGAATCAATTTATTAAGTGGCTATTGAACGTTGTAACATTATTGCTTTGCTTGCGTCAGCATGCGCCGATATACAAACAGATGTTAAAGCTTGAGCTATACCAACAAACGGTTCGGAAGAAGACGCATTTGCTTGTAAGACGTTGCGCGGATCGTAAATGTAAATCGACAAACACAGAACGAGCTCTCTTTTGTTCAATTTAAACAAGATCGTCCGAATGGATTAAACAGTTTACATTTTGCAATTTTCCTGATGAACAATTTTTAATACCATCATTATTTTTGTAGTTTCATTCATTATCTAAAGATAGAAGAACCATTATGATTATTAGAAATACTATTAAAATTTAGATACTAAAAGAATAAAGACTGATTTTATATACTTTTGTATTTATATTCGAGATATATTTAAAATATTTTCTTGTTACCGTTCTGATTTTATCTCCCTTATTCTTTTCCCACTCTTCTCTTTCTTACTTCTCTATGAAAAATTTGGGACAAATTCTATTTTTAATTTTACATCTTGTTTTCTGATACGTATTCTATATGTATGTATGTGTGTGTGTATGATTCTTGGAATATTATACACATAAAATTATAGATAGAATGCTGTCCTAAATTTGGTTACTAATTATAGATTATTTTAAGCTAATTTAACATATAAAAATAAAGTAGTTTCCATTGCTGCTCCAGCTGATTTATGCAAATTGTATGTCAACCTCGCGCGCGGATCTATCGATCCGCAGTCTCATTAAATCATCGTCGACATTCGTATCGGTTCGCTTAAGGAAATCGAGTATCTCTTTATTGTCATCTCAGGGTTGACGGGTAACCGTTTCATCACGCATACAATCGATCTAGATCGAGATCGCAATTCCTTGACGCAACATACATATGCTGTAGCTCTCGTTATCATTCTCTTCCCGCTTCATTTGCGCGATCTTAGAAGTCGCGATACCGGGATCATCCGTCAAAATTACCCGCAAAATCCACATGCCTCCCATCGTTCTGACCTTAATGCGAAGGTCGACCGCATTCTACCTATGAAAGAAGAGACGAAGTGCGATCCAGACTTTAATTGCTGCGCGACATCGCCGCACATGGAATGCGGTCACACAAAGCAGGAAACTCATCCCAGAGATCGAGATTACGCGTTTTCGAAATATAAGAACGCACTAGTGCTAGTTTCAAAGAATTTCGCGTCTAATTGTAAGATATTGGATTGTGAAAATTTAATGAAACGCTACAACACATTGTTGTTTTCCTAGAAATCGACTTGGTTTTATTCTCGTACACTGAAAAAAAATTTCAATATTTTAATACTGCCTAATGAATTATTTATTTGAAGCTAATAATATCGACTTGATATGAAATATGAATATTTATTTGATATAAGAAAATCTTTTTCAAAACAAATAAAATATTTATTTATTTCAAATAAATGATTTATTTAGAAGTATTCAAATAAATATTTATTAATTTAATCTTTTTTCAGTATATGAAATCATTTGATAATAATGAACGCGTATCATCTTTGCGAGACATTAAATTCCTTTCGTATTAACAGACGAAAATAATTATGGCAATATCTCTTCGAACTACACGTCATGCGTTTATTTCCTAATTGTGCGACCAAAAATGCCCACGATTGTGCAAGAGCGAGTTAAATTGAACAAGAGAGTCATTTTCCGTTTTGCAATCTTTGCAATAATTAATAAAAAATTAATTAAAAACGATCCTGGTAGAAATTGCCTTGCCGGTGCCACGACACTTACTAGCACCATGCAAGTTTGTCACACTACAGCCTTATCTAAAAAAATTGGAAAGATACATAATCAGGGCCATCCTTGCGCCTGATATATAAATGGCGTGGTATTCATTATAAAGTTAAACGGCTGCAAGTCTGGATTTGACCAGACTTCTAATGCGGCTCATATTTGCGCCACGTCAATTGCTGTCGAGATTTTTATTGATTTTCACATTTAATGTATATCTTTTGTCATACATATATCTCTCGTTTTTGGATCCTTTCCTTTGCCTGGATTTTTTGCATGCAGGGAAATTGTTAAACGACTATTTAGACGTTTACGCAGAAATTTGTGCGCATATATATAAATATATTGTTAAACGGAACTCTTCCGGGCCTTGTTTATTAACAAATAAATTTTTTTCTGTCGTAAATAATCTAAAAGTAAGTAACCATACTCATAATTTTTGGCACCAAATACAGGGACGACTGTGATAATAACTACAATTTTATCGAACATTAGAGACTTTAAGAAATTGGTCGAGAATAAGAAAAATTATACAAGAGAACAATCAGCACAAGATACAATTCAATCTACCTACCAAATTTCAATTTTACGATTTGACGAGAATAGAATGAGACTATAATTTTATTAATCATCAATCAATGTCTCGCGGATTAATTAATACAAATGTTAAGAAAACATTTGTCTGCTTCCTTGCCATCTCTCTTTGTTCTCTTTTCAAATAGCAATTTTAATATTCAATTATTTGTCGATTAAATTTTATTAATATAATTGAAATTATGTGACAAATTGCGATAATAAAAACGATGTTGCGTTACGAATTAAATGCGTGGTTAAGGATATATGCATTGTAAGTTTCACGCAATTGCCACGTCATCTTTTTTTTCAATCGAATAATCAAAATCATTTTGAGAAATAATCGCGCACATTGCACCTAAATTGATAAGTGGCAAAATATTTACATTCTCTAAAGTAAAATAGTAATATAAATTATGTGAATATTTAATACAATCCGCATTATAAACTTTACGTAACATATGGTCTTTATTTCAACAAAATAATCAAAATTTCAGATTGACAAGTGACAGGATCGTCATTTTTTAAATTGATATTTTATGTGTCATTATTTATTATTACATTATTTATTACATTCTTTACAATTGGAAGGCAATATGCTTATATTTTAAGAAAATTTAACGCTTTTAAAGCTCATTCAAAAACAAAACTTTTAAAATAAAATATTTAATAAATCCACATATAATTATAAACACGCAACATTAAAGCAGCTTTTGTTAATTAAAGATAATTCTTCAGATAGATTTATTAAACATATTCTCCACCGTTTTTCGTTTTCAGAACAGTATCATATGTTTGCTGTCGAAATATGGTAATCGTATAATTCTGAGGGTGTAATGTTACACTCGACTTGTCGCAGAGTTGAATGTCGACGAGCAATTCGGTACTTTTCCATGAGGCAACATGCACAAGGGAATCGTACGTAGATACTAATGAAAGCACCGCAAGCATGGAATTCTTACCGAATCGCACTGGCGGAAAATCACCGACTATGAACGGGTTTGTTTCGTCGGATCGATCTTTCATCGCTTAAATCTGCACGGCCGGAAAACAGACGTGCTAATTATACAGAGTTTCGTCAGTGATTAGAAAACTTCCCCAAACATACTATGTTAATTACGGCGATTATCTGATCGAGGTGTATCGCAATGCCAAGTAGCACGAAACGAACCGAATTCTCTTTGGATTAAGGTCTTTCTCAGACAAAGCTTAAAGACGAAATATAAAAAATTATAAAAATAAATAAATAATTATAAGAAAGAAAATCCCAAAATTATGTAAAAACACTCTCATTCTAAATTATGTATAAATATAATATTGTTTGAAAGTAATATTAAATTTTGCTAATAGTAAGAAATATTTAGAATATAAATATGATATTTTTTTAAATCGGCCAACAGAGTCAAAGCACGAATAATTAATTTTTCGTGCTTTGGCTCTGTTGGCCGATTTAAAAAAACATCATATTTATATTCTTAATATTGAGAGCCGATAAAAATATTTCTTTCTAAGAAATATTTGTTATATTTAGTAAAATAAGGAAAAATTATTTTATTAATTATATTATCCTTTTTGTATAATAATATATATTTTTTTAACATTCTATTTTTTGAACTTTAATTTATTGAATTAATGAAAAGGAAATTTAGAGAGATACATGATATTCATCTGAATATTTGCCGTCACAATTAACTCTTATTCGTCGGCAATCAATTGTCGAAGAACCCATAAGGACTTGTCTGCATGTTGTCTGCATTTTTTGAGGAGCGAAATTTACGCCCATTGAGAGATGTTGGAATCATTCTCTCTCACACACACACACACACACACATACACACTACTAGGCAATTTAAAAATAGATTCATTCGAAGGCAAAATTTGTTTTCTGCCGTCGCGCACGACTCGTTCGGCCTTAATTGCACTTTCATCGATCGCGAATCGCGCGCAGTTAATTACGGATTGCCGCCGGCTTTCCAATCCGTCAGATTCGTTTTAGCGTAATCTAAACGACCATGTCTCCTTCGAATGGTGCAGATTTGAGAGAATTTCCAGCGAGATGGGACGCATGTGAAGGCAAATATAGTTCTCAATTCATTCAATCAATCTGTCTCAAATGTACATTGATTGTAGATATATTTTTTTATCAATTTTTTAATTTTTACCATACTTCTTTTCTATATATTTTTTTCCAACAATCTGCGAACTTTGACACATTGAATTTTCCTCTTATTTTGTTCCGCACTACGTAGTCGAAAGTGTAAACGTAGAATATGGCAACGGGGAATATTGTAAAGCAGTTTTAAAATGACGAGACATTTCAAATGTACATTAATTGTAGATATATTTTTTTATCAATTTTTTAATTTTTACCACACTTCTTTCCTATATATTTTTCCAACAATCTGCGAACTTTGATACATTGAATTTTCCTCTTATTTTGTTCCGCACTACGTAGTCGAAAGTGTAAACGTAGAATATGGCAACGGGGAATATTGTAAAGCAGTTTTAAAATGACGAGACGCGATGAGAGATTGCAATTAGAGACTAATGAAATTAATCCGAAAATGTCTACTCACCCTGCCGCTACTGTCGACTACGTTGACATCCATACCCTTCAGTCCCACTTTCCGAGCCTGGGTGACGATCTCTTTGAGACCAGTGTCGTCCGCTTCTCTGGCTGCCCTCAGAAGGGCCGTAGGGCCCCCGGAGGGTATTTCCCACGAGGGTGGCACTTTCGTCTTAATCGGTTCTTCGCGCACGCGATCTGCAAGATTTACGTTCGTCGTGATATTTTTATAATGTCTCATCGCTGACACTTTAATCTCGCGCGGATCAGCTTTATTGGATTATTCGCGCGGCACCGAATGTCTAATACATCAGTCCGAGATGTATCAAAAGTTTACCGCTGAATAAATAATCCTGCTCTGTATACATCAGGAGCATGATTTGAGTTGGCATGTTGCTCCAAATTTCACGGTCATAAATTGTAAGCGACATTTTAAAGCTCCTATAACATTCTAGACGAATAGACTATCTTTATTATTAAATTAGATGCATATTTATTTCATATGTAAATCAAAATTCGCGTATTATGGTAATTTACTATGTCGACAATTTGTTCCAATTCATCAAATTGTCATCGCATATCGTCAAAGCATCGGTACATAATACTCTTGAGATCTCTCTAACGTGAAACGAAGTGTTTATCGAGATTCAAATATTCTTATCAGTTAGTGTACTTTATCACGACTGATGTCACACATTAAGATCAATTTCCCGACACTAACAAACGTAACGCGTGTCAACGCGAAAGATTTATGTACATAAAAAATCTCAACAAGTCATTGTTGTTTACGTAATAGCGATAATCAGTGATTCTACATCGCGTATATACAGAGTGTCATTTAATTGGAGCCCAATATTTATATAGCAATATTCCTCGTGGAAAACTGAGTCGAAAAGTCCTGTACCATTTTTTTCTGTAAGGCATAATAAAGTAGTAATTATTCAGTAACGTTAATACATTACTGAAATAATCACTATTTTATTATGCCTTACAGAAAAAAAATGGTACAGGACTTTTCGATTCAGTTTTCCACGAGGAATATCGCTATATAAATATTGGACGCCAATTAAATGACACCCTGTATATAAAAGAAAAACAATATTAAATCAGAGAGAATTTAACTATTTAAATACAAATTTTAATTAAAAAGTTACATTAGCATTTAAAAATTACATCAAAAAGCAATCAATTTTTATGAAAGCATTCTATATTACCAATTTTGATATTTAATAAAATGCAATGAATTCATGAATTCATCGTGTAGTAGCTTACCTTGAAGCACACCCTTGCGGTAGATCTTAACCTCGTGGACGGCGGACTTCCGGTACGGCGCGCGTTTCTCCTCGAAGCTGGTGTCGGAACTGAAGGAAACCGATTTCTTCACCCCAACGCCCTTTTTCTTCCAGCTCGTCGACAGGGTCTGAACGCTGGGGGATTGCCGTAGAACACGCACTTGGGCACCGTCACCGTTCGTCAGGATCGAGAAGTAGCTCTTCAGACCGGAGTACCTCGAGGACGAGGAACCGCGAGGAAGCTCGTAGCCGTTCGACGGCCTGAGAAACCTATTAGCCGACTCGTCGTCCAGCGAGTTCCTCTCGGCCTGCTTACTGGAGGGATAATGCGCCAAGCTCGTCAGGAAGGCGGAAGACTTCTTCAGGATACCCTCCTCCGGCAGCCGCTCTAATGTTCTCTCTCTCGCTGGAAGACCTGCACGAGCCACAGTTCTATATTTGGCCGGTGTCACTTTGCAAGACGTCTCGATGCGTCCACGCCGATTGCGAGTTTAAATAGACGCATCTATAGCGGCGTGCAGATGTTCGCACGTGTAAACTGTCGTAAAATATACCTGATTGTACTTTGCGCTAATCTCGCGCGAGAATTTGGCGTATCGTTAGGACCGATGCAAGAGAAAACTTTTACTTTTCTTTCGAGCTCCGACCTGAACAGACGAGTATGGAACAAGAAAATTTCCCGAAGGAAAATTTCAACATGGAGAGAATTTTCTCTTAGAATTGACCCCGAAAATCATGGCGATCGTGGGATAATATGGTGTTGGAAGAATTTTATAAGAGTTCCTCTGATTAATATTTACCATAATAAAAAATATTAATATGTACATACATAGTAAAATTAATCGAGTATATTTTATATCTTATTGTGGTAGATATTAATATTTTTATTATGGTAAATATTAATCAGAAAAACCTTTATAAAATTCTTCCAATACCATATTGTCCCAGGATTACTATGATTTTTAGGGTAAATTCTAAGAGAAAATTTTCTCTGTGATACAAATCATTGTACATTTCTCGCATGCTTAATTCGACTAATTTTGTAACAGAATAATTTTATTAATTTTTAATTATTTTATACGATTTACTTTTGTAATATTAAAGTTTTAAAAGTATATTGCGTTATTTTGTGAAAATTATTTTGTGAAAAGATCCTGTTTAGTTTGATTTGCAATTCTAATCAGAAATTATGAGAAATATGCGATTATCATTAGTTTATATTGTTTCGTAAGTAATTAGTCTCTTTCATCACACATATCACTTAATAGTAGTCATAGAAAAATATAAATAATACAGAAAATTAACGATTCCGTTCAAAAATGATTCCATCGCAAACTAGCACATTTAGAATGCAAATAGCTATTAACAGTCTAACGATAATTCTTCAAAGAAATTATTTATTGAAGATTACTGAACAAGAAAAAAATTTACATTGCCATAAAACATAATAGTGTATAATTTAACGTTATTATAGTCATTAAACTACTGAACACAAAAGATTATTAATACTTGTTAGTCAAACAGACTTATTTTAAAATCAAAAAGAATAAAAGATTAATGAAAAAATACTTGACAGAGAACTGAATGATTTCGGTTAGAATCTTTAGAAATGATGCAACGTACTTTCCTTCAGATCCTTCGGAACGGAAGCGGACTTGATTATTCCTCGCTGAATGCCTCTCAATTTCGTCGAGTCTTTGGACACGTTTTTCGGTCTCCTCGAGTCCTCTTCGGCGAGGATGCTGCTCCGAGCGGTCTCCTCTTTGCAGTGGATTCTCCCGTTGATGTTAGACGATGCCCGTTTCTTGGCGATGACGCTGGTCGCCGTTGTTTCACTCACGGCGCGGTTATTTCGAGCGAGTTCACCCCTAGAGGCGATGATGCTGTAGTTGTTAACCACGCAGCAAGCAGTGCTCGATGTGCACTTGACGCGTCTATGAGAGTCGTTCTCTTGCCACCTGGCCTGCTCCTCGAGGATTCGTCGGACTTTCTGTCGAATAACGTAGGAAATGACGAGAATTATTTTTGAGACAAAAAGATAGGATATTCACGAACTGTGTCACGGCTTGCATTTCATCTCAGAGCTCGATTCGATCAACCATCAACTCAATGTATTCTGTAAATTATATTTTTGTCTACCATTATTGCAGGTTGTTATTTTACATTTAATATATCTTTAAATTTCGAAGATCTCTCTGATTACTTTTATAGAATTTAATAGACTTTAAATTTAATATTTACGCTAAATTAAAATGTAGTATAAAAGCAATTGTTTTAATTATTAATTATAGTATATTGTTTCTTAATTTACATAACGTATCACTAATCACTATTCCATATATTGAAATCTTTTCCATCTTTTTCTTAATTTAATTTTCTCAATTATTATCAAAATATCTTGGAGAAAAATTTATTTAAATTTAACGGATGATAAACTTGAGATAAACTTGTTATTATCGAATATAATTTGGTTCACTTAGATATTTTTCTCCACTGTAACAATAAACATCAGTACTCTATTTATAAGACACGCAATCATATCATAAACTATGTCAACAACACAGTTTGTCCTACACTTGTTTACTCACATCACAAATTCTTCATCGAACTAAATACCGAAGACGCGATTATTAACGAATTGAGCACACTTTGAAAACGAGTTTGTTCCTTTTTCGCGATCTCGATCTTTCTCTGTGACGTTGATCACACACAGCCTTCAATTACCGGATCCGCTCCAGTCGCGCGATCCACCTCAGAAAGCAACTCGCGCCTTCCTGATGGGTTCACAAGACATATACGCGAGAGAATTCTAGCCGGCTCTCTTTAAACGCGCTATTTATACAGTTAAGCTATCGCGTTGGTCGGTGCCTCGTGTCCGCACGTACACACATGCATCATTAACACACTAATGTGAGCCACGTTCACGTTTTTCCTATTATGTTCACGAGCATCATCGTGCGTATTAACTGTTGCGTACTTACGCGTCTTCGATACTTCCGGAATTCGCGAATCGCAAAATAATCGATAAAAAATCACATTGCACAGAAAACCCAATAGAATGTATCTTTAATTAAATCTCGGAATTCAATAGCTTCTGCGAATATTTTGAAAATTAAATCTTATAAATAAACGCTCAATTTTTTATGTACAAAAAAATTAGAGATGCCTGAGAGAATAAAGGAAACAATTTTGCACTAAGAATTACAATTTATGTAAATTTTAATAATTAAGATTTATTGTCAAATAATGTTAAAGCATTCGTGGAAATATAAAAGATAGGAAAATGCTTTCCTTTAATGGCATATTAAAGATACTTGACATCATCACTCTCTACGGACACATTGAGTATGTTTAACCATGAGCACGAAAAATTGGAGTAACTTACTTTGGAAACGATTTAGATCTCGAGGGAGAGGCGTCCCGCTCATTAAACGTGAATCGCGCACCACACGAGAGCCTGTCAATTTAGGTTTCCCTCTTTTTCTTTTTTTGCGAAATAATCGTACAATGTGCCTGACTTCGCGACCGCTGAATACGCGATACCGCGCTTCGCGACACTTTGCGGAGGAGTCCCGCGAGATAGACTACCGCTCTCTCGAGGCCGCGAGACGTCGCGCGACCGATCCGTCGATGATACGCGTCGACGTAATGAAAACGAGGATGCACGACGGGAGATAGAGAGAGCGAGCTTACTTGTTGAGTGGTGGTCGGTTGTACAGTGGAGACAACGTGGTTGTTGCCGCCGGTGTCCATCGACGTAGTGGTGGTTTCATTGCCTGCCACGAGTTTTACTCTACGACCGCCTACCATCGTCGAGGATCGTGGCTCGGTAAGAGGCTGGAAAAAGGTATCGAAAATTTGCGTGAAAATTATCATTTAATGGCATGCAATTTCGAATAAAAAATTATTTGGTGTAATTGACTTGAGGAAGAAAAAGAGAGAGAACTTGGTTTGTTATAGGTATTAATCCAAATTGTTTTCCTCTCTCTCTCTTTTTTTAAGTTGATATCACACAATTACGAAATTATAAAATTTAACGAGGAGCACTTTGTCAATCAACAGGATCGGCAGATGACTGTTCGTCGAGATATTTTCTTGGTCGAAATTTATGCTTCATTGAGAAATATAGTGGTACTCTGCGGAGGCTGTAATATAAATTAAAACGCACTCTCTCTCACTCTGGGAGACACTTTTATCGCTGCGAGCTCGCAAATCGTCTCTCCTGTCATGTAAATGTCGCGATTTCCGGCAAAGCGTGTTGGAATCGCTTCTTCGACCTACATCTCCTTTTATTGTTCCACGATTCATCGACACATGCGTTGGAAATCATGGGGAATATGTGACAAAGCTTGAATAAGCTTTGATATATAGATTATTTATTGTAATATATATAGATTATTTGCATTTTTCTTATAATTGTATTAAATTGAGAAAAATAATCCCTTTATTTTTTATTCTCATCAATAATGTCATTTTCATGCATTTATTATTTTAATTAAAAATTAATTTTATTATAAAAATTTATTTATTTATTTAATACCTATATTAATTATCTCTCTTAATGCATGTTTAAATAATATGTACCATATTTCAATTTTCACGTTTATTTAATTATTTATTCGCCGCTATCACAACACGTTATTACGCAGTTGGTGATATTTTAAATGTCATATTATATGTTACATAAGCAATGTATAATCACATAAAATTATTAAGGTTTTTTGCAAGCATATTTTAGAATAAATATCTATCCCGCCTATTGATCAAGAGAAGGAATTTTCTATTCCGTTTATTCGGCGTTTCTAATCAAGCGAACGTTCCTTTTTCTCTTTTTCGTGCCGGGGCGCCGTTAACTTTACGGCCGGCGGAAATTACTCCAAATCCTAGGCGAAAAAAAAGCGAGCAAGGCGATTTCAATAGTAAAACCAATCTCGCTCTCGTAATACTCGCATAAAATCGCCCTTTCATCTTTCAAACGCGTGTACAGTTATTTCAGTGCCGTTACAGAACACGATATAATCCTGTCATCCCGTATAATTTCTGGCTACTCGCCAATATTTTGGATATTTGAACTTTGCGATATACATATATATACCGGCTCATCGATCTGCTTCGACATTTTAGGAAGATCTATTTCTTCTTCGAGCCAAGATAACACCTGAACAAAGACGAGGTTTCAAAATGAAGACTGCGCTTCATTGTTAAAAAAATCATAGGCTTTTTCTTCTTCAACTTAAGTGAACTTTACACGAACGAAATTTTAAATGGAAAAAAAGTACACGCAATCAAATCTTTGACTTTATCGAGCTGTTGTGACTTTCAGGAGGTACGTGTAGCTTATATCGGGACGAACGAGAGAATTTGTGAGAAATTAGCGATAACTATCGCGACCCCGATATATAGGAGGCCTCGAGATTTCGCTTCATTACGCGAGTTGGACGAAACTAGCACGAGCCGAGTATGGTAAATGGGTGCATAGTTATCGCCCCAGTTATCGAGTTTTCGTCGCTCGATTCTCCCGTGTTTGCTCTCTCTCTCTCTCTCTTTCCCTGAATAGACCGTTTCATATCCAAACAATTGCGTCGCTTCGTGAAAGCTTCCGCTGGTGTCGACGGGAGCATGCCGACCGTATGCAACAATATCGGATGCTGTAAAATGCGGAGGTGCATATGTGCATCCCCTATTGCCCTCCTGGGATGGTCCTCTGCGCGATGATCAATGGCCGGAAGAACGATCGCCGTTTATCATCGAGCGAAAGAGGAAAGCTTTCCGTTGAGCGCAACAAATTTTATATATGGTGTTTTCCCGACATTTTCGTTGATGCAAACCGTCCGTGTTCCTCGAACACCGAGTCGGCGCGAAATTGATAAGAGCAGCTGATTAATCAAAGCGGCCATACATTATCGCGACGGAAGATTAGTTGCGGTTGCACGTAAATGTCATATCTTGCCGGCTTGCAGCTAAAATTTCAATAATATGACGTCAGTCGGAACTATATCATCCTACATCGACGTTTACAAGACACACACGGCTCGTCGAGTTGAGAAACGTGACTGAGAAACATCACTAATTAAGTATATGTATCGCAATTCGATATATACAGTTGTCTTCCTTCCTTTTCTTGTGTACACAGCTAGAATGATTTCCAAAGTAATAACTTGGTTAATATATTGTGTACACTTTCATCAAGATTATTAAATTTGTCATCGGATACGCGAGAAACCACACCCTCGACGACTTTGTCCACTTGCCGAATAATGCGAGGGATTAATCATTTTTTCCTCAAAGTTTAACGAAAGCGGTGCATCGGGTACCTTTTGTTAGGTGCGTCGCAAGCGTATACTTGCGTATTAATAAAATTTGCGTAAGGGATATCCGGGATTAATGCGACGTCGAGATCGATATCCCGTGATGCACGTGATGCAATGCGAAGCTGATTTATTAAACGCCGAGCGTCGTTTCGGTCGCTATAACTCCATCACGGGAACGTCACTGATCAGCAGCGTCGGGCGGAAGCTCCGTCTGATTGACTTTCAGCTGTGCGTGCTTTCTGACGTTAATTGACCGTGCTGCATGAGAAATCATCGTTCTGGCAGCCTCTACGTTATGGCATACGTAATGTCTACTTGAAATCTCGAACGCGGAACAAAGCTTTCTATCATTAGCCAGCGCCATTTCCGTTTTACGAAAGAAGCAGCTAAATGCATCGCCGATTAAACTGAGTCATTGTTTTTCAAAATAAGTTGCATTTGTGTGACACTTTAGTCGTTGATTTAAATTTGCAACTGTGGCTCGCGTAGTAGACTGCAATGCATCTTATTTTTAACATTGCACTATTATATACGTGCATGATATTTGCATTTAGAATCTCTTAAAACTTCCGCCTTGAAGCAAGAGATATAACACTTGTCTTGATTTAAAAATAAAATTTAGATTATACATATAGTTATTTTAATCTTTAATCAAATATAAAATAATATTCGTAAAATATAAAATAAAAATGTGAAATATATAAATAAATATTAATTATAAAAAAATGATGAAAAAACTAGACGTATCTCAAAAGAAAAATAGAGAGAATTAATTATAAAATACTACACTTGTGTATGTGTATAAAACGTCATCCGTGAGGGACATTTATAAGTAGATAAGACTGTTTGACGAGAATCGAGAAATGAATGAGGAACGTGCACCAAATGATAGAGGGAGAGCTCTGATAAGAACGACAGGAGGGTGAGGCGTGCAAAACCGAGCACGCGAGCTTCTAATCGCTTCGTCTCGAAGAGACTTGACGCTTTCCGTGCCAAGGTCGGCACCCCCGATAAGTTTGGCGTTGAAACGAATTCGAACGGGCTTCTCTTTGGCCGCGAAAAAATTTCTCGATGAAAATCACTCACTTGGATCAGTAGTAACTCAGAAAAAAAAATATGAAGTCCACTTCCCAAATAATATTCATACACGCGACTTCTGCGAAACACTAATCCCGGGCTATAAAATTAAAAATATAATTTTGTTAATTAATAGATGAACGAGTACATTTGCCTCTCGTGAAGCGAAAGGACTTTCATTATTATATTTATTAATTTGAATTTTTTTTGTAGCCTGTTTGCTTATCTTTCAGAATAATTAATTTTATGATAATTTAAAGTAATTTATATTTTTGACACTCACATAATATACATTCAAAATAATTTAATTAATTCTTAATCTTATTAGTAATATTAATTATGTTGCACGCTTTATTTTTAAAATTTATTTTTAAATGAAATAAACTTATTACTATATTAAAAAGAGTGATTTTAAATATGATCTGATGACTGTATATAGTATGACGGCAGATATTAATTACAATCAGATTTGATTGGCCAAGTGCCAACATGCCGCACGAGGCAACACGAAGAAAAGCCTCGATAATCTGCTAAGACGCGATATGGCTTATTAAGATTCCTCGCGTGTCAATTCGTCGAGGTTACTAATAAGTGTTAATATATGCCCCACGCGATATCACCTGGAATAATAATTATGTTTGTTTCGAAGTAACACGTATAATGCGATCGTAAGCTCGAAAAAATCATGCCTGAATCGATACACACATCTTTAAAGTTTTAACCAATATAGGTATTGAAGAGACAAGTTACTGACCGGTTTAAATTTGATGTTAAACGGTGTGATAGCCAAGAAGCTGGAGTCTGTGAGCGTTCCGCTCAAGACCATGACCGTGCTCGTTCACGTTTCGATCTGCTCTCTTCCGGGAACGCTGAAAAAATCAATTAAATCAAAGTTTTAATATTCATCCCTTCAATTATTTACATTATATTTTATCATTTTTTTATAATAATTTATATTTTATTAAAGTTTTTCCGTCTCAAATAATTATTTTACTTTATTTACTATTTATGATAAATATGTGATATTTGTAATTAAATATTTTTATATTAATTTTAAACTAATTATTACCTATCACAATTTTTCGATGATTCACTTAAAAGTATTGAGTTACTTAAAATACAAATAAAATGCAAATGATCGAATATTAATAAATAAATTGCAAACAGATCTATTGCGCTTTAATTAATATACATTATTCAGCAATAAATATTGGAATTGCGATCTTGACCGAAACTTGAAGTGAACTTGCCAGGAAAGTTTGACATGACCTCTTGGCTCGACCGAATCTCATGTATGTACTCTAGGTCACGGTCTGAAATATGATTCTTTCAAGTATTTGTATAGTAAGATCTTTTTTATGCCATGCGTGTTCTAAATCCATCTTGCATAATTTTATTAGACGTTTTAGATGAGAACGAGAGAATTTTGTCGCGATTTCTTTACGCGATTATTTCGTGCATAAAAAATTTAAAAGTTACTTCCATATTAATAAATTATATGTATAACATTAATAAATATATCCTAAAGTTTTAAATAATGTTATTATATAAATTTTAATATCATAAATTTTAAATAATATTTTCTGAAAAGTAATACCTATATATATAATTTTTTTAATTAAAAAATTCAACACAACAATTAAACGCGGAAATCATTACCTTCGCGCAATCGGTGTCATTTATTCTTGAATTAGGAAATGCAATTCTTGCAAGAGTCTTCTCTTCGGAAACAAGGCGCCGACGAACTCATTCGTGACACGAGTCGCATCATTTGTGCGAGCAATATCGAATCGCGCGAGTCAAATTTGTTTCTAACCACGATCGACTTTCTTCGGATCGTCCGTTCGTCAAGGGGTTGATTGGCTACTGGGCCAAAGTTTAAATTACACCCTCGCACCGAAAGTCTCACAAGGGTTGGAGCGAGGCTTCGTCATCACGCAGGCGCAAATTTCAGCCAGGTGTTACAATGCCTCGTTGATGGAAAATTAAGATGTGTTTCCGCTCGAATTTCAGGAGCTGCGTCGCATTCCCAATTGCTCGAAAAAGCCCGCAGCGGAATTTTAATTGCGTCTCAATGTTATGGCGCTTCACACATCATCGTGTTTTTATATGCTAAAACGCGCACAACGCGGATTTTGAAATTGAGAAAAACAGACAGGTCATTTGGCAATGAGACAAAGCGCTACTTTAATAGTGAATGAGAATTAAAGTTATTTTAACGAGCTTAATTCTAGTTTCGCGGAAAAATAAATATCATGTCAGTTTGCGCACTTTTCTTGCGAATAAACGTAAGGATTATTTTCGTATGTTTACACCATCGAGAACTTATCGTGGTTATACCTCTGTTTCACTCCCGAATGATGTCATAAAGCTCTATTTTTTGCTCTACGTTTCAATATACAGAATTTTAAATCTGGTTTATATCTGCAATAATTTTAGTTGTTTAATTTATTTTTCATAATCGAAATTCTATTGCGATTAATGTCAATTAGAAGTTTAGCTGCAGGAATTTATATGTCACAGAATTTACGTCTGATCGGAATTGCATAAAACAAGACAAAATTAAATGTCTTGCCTAGTCGCGCTTTCTCATTATTTATTTTATTTATATACATCGCGACACGTATAAATAACGATAAATGCACGTGATTGCGATTGCGTCTGTGGTGTGGTCCAAGATCAATTAGAAAATCTGTCGAAACTAAAAATACAGCACCCAAGATTACTCCGGGTAAATCCTCTCTCGTACTCGACATCGGTTTAAGTGCCTCTTCGAGGTTGCGCGACTCGTCAAGGTTGCTAAAAAGTATCTTCGTCTGACGTCTCGACAGGCTCGAATGAAAAATCTATTTACGATATAAGATACATAATTTTTTTCTCTCTTGCTTTCCTAAAATATTGTGAACGTTCGCGTATGACAAACTTAATCATGATTCTTGAGTGTATTCATTGCCTAGATGATTCGCTGTTATCGTATATTATAGACGTGACAGCTGAACAAATCCAGCAAAAATCGATAACTTTGATAACATCAAGTAGGTATTTTTGCCGTTGTATTCTTACAGAAAACTCGTTGCTGTAAATAACATTCTCTTCGATATTTTCATTAATACTATTTTTTTTTATACTTATCAAAATTTGTTTTAGAGACAGAGATTGAGGCTGTATAATTTTCTTAATATAATATATTATTAATTTATATATAATTTTCTAAATATAATTTAAAATTGTGAACTTACCTAAATTGCATTTATTCTTGACAAGCTCGTTGTAGAGAAACAAATTTACATAACTGTTGCAGAGCGCGAGGACGTTCACACAATTGCTGATCCACCGATTAACGTCGAGACGATGTCCCAGATCATGCTTGATCTACGATGAGCGATTGCGTTGCGAAAATATGTAAAACACACGCGTTTCGCGTAAACGGTGGGCGAATTGTTATCGTGCATTGTATGTATCTGGTCTACCCTCTAAAGTGATCTGGAGACAGGCGCTGCGGCTTCTATCTTCTATCTTGTGCAGAGACAAGTATCGGCTGGTGAGCAGCGCGTATGCTATTTTTGCTTGACCGTTCCTTTGTGGATTGTGCGTGATTAATAAAGACGAACGATGCGACGACGGCGCGCGTCAAACTAAAAAAAAATATCGACCACAGCGATTCAAATTGTCGCGCCGCTAGGATATAAATTCGGGCGAAGGGTTGCTTTCGCGCGAAGCTTTCAGTCCCGACAATCGCCCGATTGAGGTGTTAAACACGTGTCGTTGAGCCATAACAATGACAATAACCTGATTGCGAAGATAATTTTATGTCTCGTCACGAGATAATGGTAAATGTCACTGAACACTTCGAGTTGGCAGCGGTTTTAAAACGCTCTATAAATAAATTTCGAGTATTATTCGTTTCGATACTGTTACAATTTTATTTTTAGACAAAGAGAGAGGGGGGAGAGAGGGAGAGAGAAAAACAGACACTTATGTATGATATAACTTTCAACATATAGTATTATAAATTTGACAATACTTTTAGTAATTTTTAAAATACATAACTATACGCCACCTGAAAATTCTAAACGCCAATTATAATAATTTGTAATATTATATCGATTATGTTATGAATATCATTTACTTTTAAGATAGATGTTCTACAAATTTGAAACTATCAATTACAATCGAATATGAAGAAGAAATTGTAAAACATATTTATTTATTTATTTATTACACAGTCAACGTAATGTTTCGAAAAGCTTACCTTGAAAATTTTTATTTTTGCGCAAGTTATGATATTTATGTTATAAATGTTGCGGTTATTGCGAATTTCGTGTATATTAATCGGACGGATGTACGAAATTCACAGGCGAAGTGACAGACAACGGTAACGAATCGCAGAACTAAAGTATGCATGCAATCTGAGATTGCATTATACGTGAAGTAACACAGGGATTCATGCATGCGAAAAGTTGTTCGAGAAATTCTGAAATCTCGCGGTGGATATGAGCGCGAACTCTCTCGCGCGCACGCGACATTCTAGCGCCCGAGATCAATATTTGTCGACACTTCCAATGAAGCAGCTTGTAATTTCGAGAGGAAGTCGTTGGCGCGAAGAGCAAAGTGGTTTCCGTGCCTGCTCGTAACGGGCTATTATCCCCGCTGAAGAATGCAGGAATGTTCATTTGCTTATATATATATATATATATATATAAATCATATTTTGACATTAAATCATATATTTCATATTAGTACCTTTTGATCATTAATTTTGATGAAAATGATACATCAATTTATCTTGGAACTAGCTAAAAGATATAGGAGCTATTTAAAAAAGATATCTTTAATTAAGAAATACTTTATATTCTCTCTCGATCTCTTTCTCTTGCTCTCCTTGCTATCAATTATTTTTATAAATTTTTAAAATTGATAAAATTATCCCGATTTGATGATTTTAATATTACAATTGTACTTGTTAAATATAAGAAGAGATATTAAAAAAAACACACATACATTTGTGTCACGTTGCGAGGAGATTTTAAAGATCTATGACAAATAAAAACTGCGCCTCTCTCTCTAGGCCACTTATTTTTGCACAAAATTTCGTAGCACTTACCCGCCTAATTTTTTCGCCAACTGGGTCAGTTTGTTAGTCATTTGACACTGGCCTTGAAAATAATAAACGCAGAAAGAAGTTGCTACACGAAATTAAGGCACGTGGAATACGTCAGCTGTCTATCAACAAATTCACACGAAGGTCTCTTCTATTTTATTCAGCAGGTTCGAAACCGTTTCTCGGAAGATATTTTTCTCGAAATATTTCAGTTGCCTCTCATGCTTACAATTTGCTTTTAATTGAGAGATGCAGAAGAGAATGTACATGACTTCTAAAACAATATATATCTGTCCATTATGTATATGTCGACGAATATTATGTTATATGTATAATTTAAAATTCCCTTTTTCATTTAAATGACAGCTATGATAAAAAATGAATTCAGCATAATCACACATTTAAAGTTCAATACTATATTTTGATAACATACAGAGTTTACATCAAGGATGAATTATGCAACGTTGACTCGATAGTGCGAACAATTTTTCTCTCTCAAATCGGCATTTCATTTTCGTGGAAAAAAATAAAATAGAAACATTATAATAATGCCGATCAAGTGGAAAATACAATAAATACAGAATTCAGGTCGCATTCTAGGTACAATACTTATTTGGCAACAATTAACAACAATCGAGATCAAAGATCGTCCATGATAACGATTTTTCTAGCTTTCGAGATAACTTCGACATGATTACCGTTTCGCGAGCGTTGATCCCAAAGTATGCGAGATATTTCCGTAGTCTCAAAAATGGAATTTCATGACACGTTGATAGGACACGCAGAGATTCGTGACGAGATCACGTCGCTTCCCGTCTGATCGTACGAGACGAGATCTCCCGCCACTGGTGAAGCTTCTGGCAGTAAGGATTCTAAGATTATGCGTAGAGTGTGTTGCTAAAGATAAAACAAGGACTGCGGGACTTGAACGACTTCGAATCACGTATCTGCGAAATTATCTCAACGTCTCGTACTTGGCTACTTAATTTATGGCAACAATGTCGTCGAGGAAATACATCACCATAGATGAATCATCGCGATTACAACCATTACCAACAACGAACGATGGCATCCCGTAATAGAAAATTTTATTTAATTCGTCTTTGAAACCGACAAAGACTCGCAAACGCTCGAAGTACGAAATCTCTTTAAAGACGCGGTAACACACTAGGTGGTAAATTGCAATTCGGTGAGAGGATAGAGAAATACGTGCGTCCTTTGTGGACCGAAAGTGGAAGTAAAGAGGTGAGAAACGCTCGATCTCGTCACACCATGACGTGCATCTTTAACGACGAAACTCTTTCTCTTCCACTCTTTCTTCGGGATGCTTTGTCCTTCAAACCTTGAAAACTATCATTTTATTGAACCCACGAGGCTGGTACCCAAAGCGGTTCGGATTCGACCCGATGAATCGCACTGACTAGCTGCTCGAATGCCATCGGAAGATCAGCATTCACTATCGTTTCGTCGAAGAGATGAGAGTACAAGAATTCTATTCTCTCTGCACTGTGCAAGATCTCATGGAATTCTTCATCCTGCAATAAAGACTAATGATAAAATGACGAATACAATTTTAGTGAGAATTCTCTTAGATTATTCTGGACTCGACACAAAGTTATTATTATTATTATAAAAATTAAAATATTAATTAAAAAATAAATGTTAACTTTTTAAACATAATAAGCAATTTTGATGTCAAATAAAATTTAAATGAAATTTAATTTATAATCAAAATGAATTTATATATACCGTAAAGCCTCGAGCATTGTTCTCATCGAAGGTCGATCTCGCTCTGGCCTCGTTCCTGGTTTCCTTTAGCACTTCAAACTTTGGCGGTTTTATGTATATGACATATGGCCTTAATTGCGGTGTCCTTAACATCTTAAGAGCTTGATAATGAGGATTCAAGAGACACACGTATCCGGCGTTCACGAGCGAACTGACGCTTTCGCAATTGGTACCGTACAGGTTTCCCTTGTACTCGCCGTATTCGATGAACTTTCCAGCGTTGATGTCCTCTTCCATATTCTCCCGAGTCACAAAGTGATACTCCTTGCCGTTTATTTCACCTGGTCGCGGTGATCTAGATGTATCTAACGAAATAAATTGTTCTATTTAGTATAAAATTTCACACTTTGATATTAATATCCCATAAATTTTATTTATGATTTATATACACTTATTATATTTTAATTTTTTTAATAAATTTATTATTGCTTTTAATTTTTAATTACTTTAAATTACTGGTTTCATTCACTAAATGCTAGTTTATTTTTCTTTACATTTCCGAATAATTTTTTTTACTCAAAAAAAAAAAAAGACTTACAGGGCACAGGAGTCTTATACTTTTCGGGATCGGTCGCCATGAGCCGCCTTTTGAGTTCGTTTCTGCCGACTCCCGGTGGCCCGAGGAGAACCACCGGTCGATATAGACCTGGCCTTGGATAGAGTTTCGCGACCTCTTCGTAGGTCGGTACCTCTTCCCGGTCGAAGTCGTCGTTCTCTGCAGCGTCATACATGATTTTTTTAGTTTTAGTTCCCTGCAAGTTGCACTTTGTGGGCGAGGCGTGCAAAGAGGTACTGGGACGGGGGCACAATGCGGGCAAAGGCACTGGAACAGAACACAAGCCTAACCGACGGTTAGGTCGTCAGGCCATCCATTAAAGAAGCGCAGCCGAGATCAGCTTACCGAATTAACGGGTAACCACCTCGGACACAACTCTGCCGCGTACACAATCGAGCATTGGCTCATCCTAAAGTACACTTGAGGTGGTCACTAACGAACAGTAATTCATTATGCAACATCGCTAGCTTTTTACATCAGTGTTAATATCAAGCTTTCATTAGCAACGCCAGCCTTCAAACATAGCGTTCTCGGAGCACATTGACGTTTCATATATTCAATATCGAAGCATTCAGTTTATTTTGAAAAAAATATATCTATGAAACATTTAAGTACATGTTATTGTTAGTAAAAATATGCAAAGCTAGTAAACGCGCAAAATTTTGTCCAGGTACTCCGAGCATCTATACTACTCCGATATAACATTAGTTACTAAGAATTTCGTGCAACATTGATCTGTCGCCAACACAATAAAAACACTATGAACATGAGATAAGTATTCGACAATGTTATATGACTCGATGAGAAATGAATGATTAAAAAGCGAATTATATATCAATCGAATAAATTCATTGAACGCGTACTTATATTATCTTCGTCAGGCTTCTCCTTCTGCTGCCTTTCAAGAAGAATCCTACGTTCTTGCAGAGCTCTGCTGGGGATCAAGCCCGCTCTCATATTTCGATCGCCTTCTCGCCTGGCTTGCCACCTATATTTTAATCATTACTATAATTTACCATAAAAAATGTGTATTAAAAAAATTATACTTTTGACAATAAATCATATCTCACCAGTAGGCATCATCCTGGCTGACGATGTGTAGGACATCTCCCTGGACGAAGTCTAATCCTGCTTCCTTGCAAGGAATATAAGGATCCTCGGCTGCCACATACGAAAAATGCGCTCTCACGCGAACCTAAATGATTATACATTTTTTTAATTAGGAAAGTCGTATCAGAAATCTATTATGATTGAGATTGTCAAATTTTACCTTGCTCTCTCTCACTCCGCTTTTACTATCTGCGGGCACTATTTTGAAAGTGATTGTCCCTTCCGAATTTTGCTAGAAAATAAACAAATTTACAAAATTATTTATTCAGTAATTTGAATAATTCGAGCTATTGTCAAATATTGTATCTTAAGCGAAATATTTAAAAAGAAACTTTAAGAGAAAGAGTTGAAATTTTATTTGTAACTCTTAATTAATTAATGGTAATGATTTAATCGAAATTAATTATTTTTTTTAAAGAATCGTATAATAAACGTAAATTAATATATCTCTTTTATTCGATAAAATAATAAATATAAAAACACATTTTACACATTTTAAATTTTCTTGTGCCTTTTAGACTTAAGAATTCGAATTGAAACGTAAGTTATTCTTCTGCATTTTGGCCAATAGCATTTGCTCGCAACAAAATAGAAAAATATTCATTACCAAAATATGTAGAACGAAACTAGGCGTTTTTCCCTCGACGCTGATACCGTTGACTTCGCAGACTTCGTCACCCACGTGGATGAGACCGGATCTGTCAGCCGCACCGCCGTGCATTATCCGCGCGATCACAATCTTGCCCGTGACCTCGCAGGTTTTTATGGTCGCCCCCTAATATCAAGATAAACTAGTATTGTCATTGCGTTGCATATCTCAAGCGCAAACGCGTAGGGGAGCGCCTTCTCTTTCTCTTCTTAAAAAATAAATTTAAAAAAGTCTCATCGTGAAGGAAGGAAGACACAATTTAAGATCGGAGCGCATTCGTCGATTTTTCAGATTCGATCAATCGATCAAAAATAAATCATAAATATACAATACAAGAATATAGAAGATTGCGCGCCGATACGTTTTTAGATAAAACAAATATCCAAAAGATATCTGAAAGGTTTGTGAGTTCTTTTTCTACAGTTATCTCTATTCTTATATCTAAAAGGCTCTTAAATTTCTTTTGACATTTTAAAATGCTTTTCGAAGTGCTTTCTTATCTCTTTATGTTTCCCAAGATAAACAGAAACAAGAATTTTAACTATTGCAAAGGAAACATATTTGAAATCAGATTGCATCTCGAGAAACGTTATACGTAAAGTGCAGTTATTTGTAATTTTATGACAACCTTCATGTAAAATGTAAAGTTTTTTGTATTTTATATTATATATTATATTAAAATATAAAATAAATTTCATAAGTTTAAGTTTATTTATGAAAAATATTTAATTCGAGTATATTTTACAAACATGTTCTTGTCAGAACAAATAACTTCACTTTATAGTATTTAAAAAAATACATTCATGCAGGATAACAACAGATACGAAATTACAGATTTTATTTAGAATAAAAATATAAAAAACAAAACAGATGCAACAGAAGCAAATAACAAAATCAAGCTTTATGCAAAAATATACCACAGAATCCTATTTACAGCTTAATATATATCCTGTGATCGTAACACACTAACGAGATCGGAAGTGACCAGAGATCTATGCTAGAGCAGGGATTGAAATCAATTTAATTTTGATTAATTTATATTTATTTACCACAACACTTGCATTATTATTTTTTCGCTGATCTGCAACAATAAAAGTTGCGTTCATCAAAATTCTACCAATTTCAATCCTGTCGCTGCAGTGAGACAAAATAAAAAAGTAGCAGCCAAAATATAAAGAATAGTTTTGTATGTGGAGTTAGGTGTTCTTATCACAGGTGTTCAGCATATGTTCTATACGGCATTCAGGCGACTTACCACGATCGGTTCAACGCCAGCGTCGCCCTTCGAAGCAAGTTTGACGATGAAAGAAACACGTGATTACTTGGTTACTCTTTTTTTTTGCACCCGTACTCGTGAGACTACTCGTTACTCTCGAGAAGAATGGATAGCGGTATCAGAGAATCGCAAACTAAATACGCAAATGTACGTGACTCGCCTGTCTACGCCGATACTGGGGAGCGGCATCTCGCGTCTCATGCAAGTCGACGCAAATATACAATCAAGTGTGGGCGAGAAAAAAAAACGAATCTTTCAAAATATCTCCCTTCGAATATTCCCCCTTTTCTGCGCCTTCCTTCAAACGCAAACGCGTTTACATTCGAATACTACTTAAACCGACGATCTATATTTCCCTCTTTCGCTTTTGCTCGCACTCTTGGATTAATCGAGTGAAAGACTCAGAAAGAGACACCGCAAAATATCGCAAATACCCAGTTAACGATCGATCTGACGTACCAGGGGCTCGTTCGACTTCACCAGCTGGACGATCTTCACCGTCTCCTCGTCTTCGTCCACTTCCAACGGGATTTCCGGCAGTCTAGGATAATAGTCCTTTTGTGCCACCGCGTCGTGAGCGCAGAGGAGACCCTTTAATAATAAAGAAAATGACTAAACGCATTCTATCAAAAGTCTTTATTTTTTCTCTAAGAGTTCTCTTCTAAAAAGGGTTTTAACGCTTGAAATCTCTACTATCGAGAGGTCATAGCTTTTTTTATTTTTTTCAATACTGGTATTTTTTACATACATAAAACGACAAACATAACAAAATAGAAAATTTTCTTTTCACTTTGTAGACATGTCGCATACACAAGAAAATTGGAAAAAAAATTCGACATTTTCACGTTAAAGCCTGAAGTTTTCTCTGCAAAATCGTTTTTTAAAATTTAAATTTCGATCTTTCCTGATCAAGTTATCGCAAATTGAAAAGAAAATGTCATTTTTACTTTAATCATTCATAACTCCGTTATAAATCATCGTACAGCAATTTCAAAGATAGATTCTTAAAGCTAAATCTTTGCTCTATAGTATGTTATAGAGACTGAATTTTTTCTAGCTCGTGAACTTTTTATAATTAAGTAAAAATAACGAAAAAATTCACGAGTTTTTCCTTTTTGTTTAAACTTTGAAAAAAAGTTACGTAAAGTGACTGAAACAATTTTATCGAATAAAATTTTTGTGCCTTCTAGTATCCCAAACTTGGCAAAAAATCATAGACTTGCTGTGATAATTTCTTTATAGTAATCTGTACGTTTAAAATAACCGATGTGTACAATATGTTAAAAAATCTTGATTTATTTTGATAAAAAATAAAAAAAGTAAAATCCGTGGCAGAACAATATTCTCTTTACTTCCTAACATAATCTTTTAACTGCCTCAACATAAAATTTAGAAAATGTAAAATTGCATGTCATTTCCAAAATTACCGCCGACATCAGCTTCACCCAAAGCGCACCACGTGGAGGTTGTACGATTGAATTAGTTCGTTGGGTAAAGCTGATGTCGGTGGTAATTTTGGAAATGACTTGCAATTTTACATTTTCTAAATTTTATGTTGAGGCAGTTAAAAGATTATGTTATAAAGTGAGGAAAAGATTGTTCTGCCACGGATTTTACTTTATTTTTAAATCCAAAATAAATCAAAATTTTTAACATATTGTACACATCACTTATTTTAAACATATGGATCACTATAAAGTAATTATCACAGCAAGTCTGTGATTTTTTGCCAAGTTTGGGGTATTAGAAAGCACAAAAATTTCATTCGATAAAATTGTTTCAGTCACTTTACGTAACTTTTTTTCAAAGTTTAAACAAAAAGGAGAAAACTCGTGAATTTTTCGTTATTTTCACTTAATTATAAAAAGTTCACTAGTTAGAAAAAATTCAATCTCTATATTATACTATACAGCAAAGATTTAGCTTTAAAAATCCATCCTTGAAATTGCCTGACGATGATTTTTAACGAAGTTATGAACGATTAAAGTAAAAATGACATTTTCTCTTCAATTTACGATAACTTGATAAGGAATTATCGAAATTAAAATTTAAAAAAACGATTTTGCAGATAAAACTTCAGGCTTTAACGTGAAAATGTCGAAATTTTTTTCAAATCTTCTTGTGTATGCGACATGTCTGCAAAATGAGAAGAAAATTTTCCATTTTATTATCTCCGTCGTTTTATGTATGTAAAAAATATCAGTATTGAAGAAAATAAAAAAAGCTATGACCTCTCGAAAGTAGAGATTTCAAGCTTTACAACCCTTTTTTAAAATTTAAATTATTATTTTTCGAAACAAAGTTACAGCTATTTAAAATTTGTTTATTTTTGGAATAATTTTTTTCTTTTAATTATTTTGAGGAGTGGATATTCACGATTCTTTTGTACTTAATTTTTTTAAGGTAAATAATAAAAATAAATTTCTCAAAATAGAATAAAGTGCATGTGTGTATATTGTTATGACTAAAAAAATTAATTTATATTTTAGCAAAGTATCTCGCACTCTCCGTTACCTGAATATGCGGTTTCTGCAGCAGATGAAAAAGTTCCTTCCATTCGGACGAAATGTGTGTTTTAGTCGATAATAGATCGAGGACTTCGACGTCGATATCCATTGAATTTGATAGTACGGGAAAGAATTTATCGTCCTTGACATTGTTGAGAATTTTATTATGTACGTTCACCAGAGCATTAAGTTCCTTCGATTGTAGCAGTTCGCTTAGAAATCCAAATTCCTCCTCGGTGCAGCTGGGTATTTCCGATTTATTTTCCTGCAGCGAGTTTAGCAGCTTGGACAATGCTGGAATATTTAACAATAAACAAATAAAATTTAGTTAACATACACAAATTTAAATTTACCTTAATGCACATAGTTATAGAGAATCGACGTTAAAATAAAATATTTTATAAAATATTGCATAAATCGAAAGCAAAATAAATTTAATAATTTTTTAAATTTAATCTATAAAGTAATTATCTTTTTTATTTTATAATTAATATAATGTCAAATATAACGTCAATCTCTCATTATTATAATAAACTGTGTTTATTACATGCATCATAAATGTAATGAAAATGCTATAATTAGAAACGACAATAAATTCTCATATTTCTACAATTATTTTATTCTGAATACGATGATTTCTCTCTCGTCATTTATGCGTCGATCAATAAATTAATTTCTAAGCACAAAGCACTCATCCGAGACCTCCTTTCCATTCAGCAAATCGGAGCACGCGGAAATGTGCAGTCGCAGTTAGAATATCCGCTAACGCGACATATCCATCTAGCTTGTATTTTATTAGGAGACCCCGTCACATCACCCGCGATTGCGTTTATTTACTCTACGGCTTACCCGCTCTATATTTATAACGTACAACGCTCGGAGCACGTTTTATTAATACATGTCTTTGTGAAGAGTATCTATTCCAGTTATATCGGATTATACTTTGCAATCTGCTCCAATAATTCTCTCTCTCCCCTCCCTTTTCTCGCAATTATTTTTTGCAGAACAATAAAAACCTTATCAACACGTTGCCGCAATAATAAGTAACTTCGCCGTCAGCTCCCGTCATTTAATTATGATTCCCACACGCTGTCGTGCCAATCGTGTCAAGAACTGATAACACGTGAGAACTCTCGACGTCGAACTCTTTACCCTGTATTATTGCAAAAACACCATCGCATCTTCTCCACCGCAGTCTAATCTACCCGCACTTACCGGGATCACAGTTAACGTTTTCCATGACGACTGCCGCTGTCATAATTCCTCGCCCTCGGTCCAGGTGTCTCCGCGGCGGAGGCTGAGGATGATCTGGGGCGCCGCGACGTTCAGCAACGTCCGTTCAAGGGACGGGTATCAGAGACGGCGATACGACCAGGATTCGGGTCGGCGTATTATTATTTCTGTCGGGGTCTGCGCCGTCGCGTCGACGACACTCCCGGCGACGACGCTGATGCTGATCCGCTGCTGCTGCCTCACGACGTATCGCGCTCGCGTCTGGAGTGTCGTTATCATAGCGAGAATAATCCGTTACGTAAGCAGCCTGTCACTCGACACGGGGTAGAATGACCGCTACCGGATTGGCCTGCCCCGTGCGATACTCGGACATGATTTCTCTTTCCTCCAAGACGGAGAGAGGCGTCTCTTCTCCGGGAACTCGCGCACTCGCGAACTAACTTTCTCGGTGGAGAGGAACTCTCCTTCGTGGACGAGCTACCCGGCACTCCTGCGCACCCCCAAAACCTCGCACATTTTTCTCTCGGAGAGAACTCAGACGCGGCTCGGTGCCATGTTGAAAGGCGCTGTAACGCACCGCGCACCACCCTTCTTCGGCCTTTGCTATGTTGCGATTCACCGACGGCAACGTCTCTCTTTCTCTTTTCGTGGGCATCAATAGATCGTGGAGAGAGACGGATAATTCATCGAAACCCGACCCTACCTCGGTGCTCACGCAGGGACGGCGTTGGGTCGGAAAGTGCTGCGATCTTTTCGGAGCAGTTCTCGGAAATGAAATTATTCATGCACCTAGCACGAATAATTTTGTAATCGGAATAATTATATTTTTTCTCGTAATTAGCAAACTTTTTGTCCAGTGTTTTTATAATTTTTATAAACGGAATAATTTTGGAAAAAAATTTTCTAACTTTACTAATATAGTAGCTAACAGATTGTCGATATGACAGGATAACTTTCATGTTTCTATTTTTAATTAATGTAATTGCTGAATAAGAACAACACACTTGAAAAGGATCACAATGTGGGTCGAAACGTAGTGTGTACTTATTTTCAATAAATGAATAGCCAGTTTTTGGTCGAATTAAATTGCATCTTATTATTTGTTAAAATTTTATCACTGGCGATCAACAATTAATTGTGAAGATTTTTTACTAATATAGAATTAATATTAATATTAAACGCGTAATTAATTATGCAATTAAAGTAGATGAATGTTCTGTGTATGCGACGCATTAATAACATATATAAAAATTTTATGACTATTACGACTATAGAAGAACTTTACTAATATAGAATTAATATTAATATTAAATGCATAATTAATTAGCAATGATGCAATTAAAGTGGAATATGTTCTGTATATGCAATACATTAATAATAAGAGATATAAAAATTTTATACACTACTTATACGAAGATAGAAGAACCAGAGAAATTTTTTAAATTAACAAGACGTTTATACAGAATGCAAAGCATATATTTGAATTAATAATTTTATTCATTTCAATATACATATTCAAATGTAATTATCACAGTACTCGCGTACTTTAAATAATTAATTCAAGCGAGCTTTACAGCTGGCCTTTCGGGTATGTGGCGGCATCTCTTGAAAGTGATAGAATTAAAAACCCAAAGAACATCGGTAATTTGCATTATTGGTAAATAACATTGTATTGTATAGATCAGCTGTGTGTATTTAATTAAATTATTTGAATTATGTATCATATTCGATTATTATATAAAGTCAATTGTATGATAAAGATTCAAACTTTATTAATTGTAATCTCTCTTCTTTATTTAATTTTCGGTTTTCGGTATCCAACAGATTATTTCCAAATATATCAATCAAATTTATTCATTCATTTTATAAATGAAAATATAAAAATATCTACGCAATATTCCGCTGATAAAGAAAGGGGACTCTTGCAGAACACGATGATCCGGGTGCACTTTTGTTACATCGCAAAAATTTACATGTGCTCCAGAAGAGAAGAGAGAGAGAGAGAGAGAAGGGAGAGAAGAAAAAAGAGAGAGGCCCGTCGAGTTTTCTCGGCGTCGCGGCGCGCTCACCGCGCCGCGGCGCCACCGTCGCAGTGTGTACATGAAGTTGTCTTTATATCTGCGGATCGTCTGGCCGCGCGTACCGCAGCAGTTTTTTTTCGCAGTGATTTTAGCCAAGTTTTCGGGAAAAGGATTGCAACGGGACGGCTCTCCCGACTCCTGGACTCGAGGCAGGCTCAGGGATTTCGGTAAGCCCGCCGGTTTCACTTTACTTTTTCGCATTTCTGACGGCCGTGCGCCTTTGACATGGCGTGTGTGTGGTTTTGACACCCGCGATTTTCGCGGACGCACCGCGCGCGCGCGTCGTCCCGGGCGACGCATGCGGAACCGCATGTCGACCGGGACGCCGGCGTCGAGAAAACCGCGCGGTCCGGCGACGCGGCACGTCGCGACGCGACCGGGAGATCCACAAGTGGTTGCGTCGCGGTGTGTATGTGCACGTACGTGTGTGCGTAGGTAGATGAATGAGAGTGAGATTGTACGTGTGCGTGCACGACACGACGAAACGTCACGCCGCGCCGCCGCGACGCAGGCCGCGCCGCGACGCGACGCGACAGTCCCGAGAGGATCGGTCGCCAACAGGGCCGTGTCTAGTTCTCCTCGTGGCGGATCTGCTTTCACGTGGAGGAATCGCGCGCCGATTTCGAATCGGTTGGAATTTCTAAATATTTTAACATTATTTAATAATTCCCTCCCTTGGAGATATTTCTATAAAAAAATCGTGAATATTGTTTCTCTTAATAGTTAACATAACCCGGAGGAAGTAATAATTGATTAATGTAATCATTTTGCTTTATTATATAAATATTGAAAGTAATTAATAAGTTATTAAATTGAGAATAGATTGAGCAGACATGTATTATTTTTTAACATAAAATAAGATGTAATATTTTCTCTATAGAAAATATAATTAATATTTTCTTCACACAAGAAGATGAAGTATCTTTATACATATATGTATGTATCAAAATTAAAAGATAGATTAAAACAGTTTCTATAAAGAATATATTATATATGCGTGTATCAAAATTAATATATAGGTAAAGCAATGTATTTTCTCTGTACATGCACTGAAATAAATTATTAAATTAATAAATATTTATTTTAATACTGCCAAATAAATCATTTATTTGAAACAAATAAATATTTATCTGTTTTGAAAAGGATTTTCTTATGTCAAGTAAATAGTTTTCATATTAAATCAATATTATTATATTCAAGTAAATGATTATATTTATAAGAGGCAGTACTGAAATAAATATTTATTCGAATTCAATACATTTCTTTTTCATATGTATCAAAATTAAAAGACAGATTACAACAATATATTTTCTATAGAAAAAAAAAAATTTTTTCTGTCTTTTAATTTTGATACATGCATAGGATACTTCATTTTCTTTATGTGTGTGTGTGTGTGTGTGACGAAATATTTAGGAAATTTAAATTTTAAGATACATCTCAGAAAATAAAATTAATTTTATTTTCTTATTAAGTTTTCAGTAGTATAAACATATGTGCTATAGAATAATCTTTTCGTCTGCAATCAAATTTATAATTGAGTCGCCTATTTTAAAAAATTGTACTTTTTCAAAGATTTATTTAAGGAGAACAAAATAATTTTTTAAATATAATATAACTCTTTATTCCGTAATTATAAAGCTGCGAAAACATGATCTTTTATTCACAGCAAATTTTTCCTTTAATTTTCCATGATATTGAAGTGTGATATGTGATATTTATATTTAAATAAAATATGCATGATCAATTAACCAAGCATTGTTAATTATTCACATAAAATATCCTTGAATTTACTTACATTTTTATTTACAAAAATCTGTTTTCTGTTGTTACAGACGCACACGTCTCCTCGCACATTTTCGCACCTTATACTTCTTTTTTCTTCATCATTTTGGTGAGTCCAATTTTTATTTAGTTATTGCTTCAATGTATTATTTCAAATCAGTATTAATTAAATACCCTCTCAAATAAATTTTCATATTAATTACACTAATTACGAATATATTTGGTGCCTTTTAATATATGATTAATCATGTTATATATTTAAACAACACTACTTTTATTTTTTTAATTAATGAAAAAACTGTTGGTTCAAAGAATAAATTATAATAATTTATTAAATCGACTATAATAATTTGATGGTCTGTATTACCACACAACATTGGAGAATCAGAAATGCAGCTCGTGTTGTAGCTAAAAGATGTCGCCATCTGTTCCATATTAAACATAGTCTGCAACTTGTATCTAAAATTAGAATTTTACATCGAAGCAAATATATTCTATAATATTAAATTTTATTAGCGATATAATGATTAACAATCTTGTTTATAAGATTAATTTTTATTATTATACACAATCATAAAATCGAATATACATTGTTGTAAGAGAATTTGTTTGAATCTACAAGCACAATTGTGCTTAACACTTGCGGGAATAAATTTGAAAAATTTAATATATATATATATATATAGTACAAAATTTATACAAATTTTGTATAATGAATACTATTAAATTTGCAAAGTTATGATATATAACGATGATTCTATGCCATAGTTTCGCGAGAAAGAGAGATGACATTTTCCAACGCGGGACAAATCAAATTCATATGCAAAATACAATTCATTGTTAAAGATACACCGGTCGTTTCCGGCGTTGCTATAGAAAATATCGCGTTATTAAAATCCAAACAAAAATATCGAACCGTCCGTCGACCGCGTGTACGAAAAGGGAGTTTATATACGTACGAATCGGCGAATTAAAGGGCGCCGATCCTCGGAAGGGCGGAGAACGAGAAAGAAAAAAAGTCGCGATGTGTCCGTGTGTGAAAAATTAAATCGCATTTATACCGTGTCGCGTTATTTCATCGCGAAACGAGCGCGCGACGTGTATCGAGACCCGGGCAAACATTTTTGGCGCCCTTTCAGACGAATTAGCCGAAACGGCCGCGACTTTTTCCCGACGTCGCGAAATATTTCATGCAAATTTTTCCGCGGCGAAAGACGACGGGTCCAGACCCGACCGTCGAACATTTTCGCTCGCGAGATACAACAGGGGGTAGCGGATAGTGGTGAAGGAGGGACGTGTATCGGGGGTTGGGCACGTGTCAGGGCGAGTGTTTTACTAGCCTTAATTTCGTGTGCTTTCGTAGCCAATATGTCGGGGCAGTAAATTCCAAACTTTCCGCCGAGCTTCGCGTTTCGGCGTTGCGCGTTTTTGCGATCGCGGTTTTAACGACCTTCCACCCCCTCATCCCCTTTCCTATTCTATCGTGCAATCCGCCCGTCTCTCTTTTCGGCTAACGGAGGTCCGAGGAAAAGCTCTGCCGGATATTAATTTTGTAAATAACGAACTTCCGGCGCGGCGCGTCGACGAGAGAAACTTTATACCTCTCTTTCATTCCGTTTCTCTCTCTCTCTCTCTCGTGGTCCTTCTTCTTCTTCTTCTTCTTCTTTCTCTTTTTTCTCTCAGGGAGATTTGTCGTTGCAACACTTACGGGAGCATATCTCGCGGCCGAGCCGCGGAAATTTTTCCTCGGCTAGGCGAAACGAGGCGGCACTTGCAAAACAATTACGATTCGTCGCTATTTTCTTCTGGCATTGTGCGGCCGGGAGCCGGTGAAAGAAGGGTCGAACTTTGAAATTCATTGCGCGCCATTGTGCGCGGCCACCCTTATTTCGGGGACGAGGGGGAGCGCGTACGACGCACTAAAAATGAATAAGATAGGACGATTAAATATTCGCCAAGCGGCGGTATAAAAATTCACGTCGAGAAAGAACCACACAGATGCGACAAATGCAAGCGCTTATATACACACACACATACATATACATATATACATTTATATAAATATATATATATATATATATATATATATATGCGCGTTTTTGCGATCGCGGTTTTCATCCCCTTGACGCTGAGATATATATATATATATATATATATATATATATATATATATATACAGGAGCACATGTTAGACAAAGAGCAAGATCGCGTCAAGGGGATGAAAAAGGGGGGAAGGGGGCGAAAGAAAAGGGGTGGGAGGGAGAAGAGAGCCGCGAATCGATTGAACCAACATAAACGGTGGAGGACTAATAAAAAAAAAACAGTAATTTACTTACTAAAACATAAAGCCACGTCCGTGGCCGGCGAAGGAAGGCAAACACATTAAACATTTAGTGGGCATAATAACCCGCGGCATACGTAATACGGCTGGCGCCCTTTTCACCGATGGCCATGAATAATGTACACACGCCAAGGTATGACGTAGGCTCGCGCGCTAGACTTGTGTGTATTTCACGGCGTGGTAGATCGACCGACCGGGCTATTTCCAATAACCGGCACCGGCGAACGCTATCGCGCGCTATCGGGGCGCTAGGCGAATGTAAGACCAACGCGAGAATAAGGGTGGTGGGCGAGAAGGGGAGGAAGCGACACCCTTTGCGTTTCCGTCGATTGTCGTCGTCGGTGCTCGTCGCCGCTCGTGCCACTTCGCCCTATCTGTTTTACGCGAGTTAACCTACGGAATAGAATTATCAGAGGTCGTTGAATAGGGCCATGGAGTGTGAAATGTGTTTTTCGAGTTAGGAACTAGGGCTTACTTCCGCTTCTTCAAATTGTCTAGTCGGGAAGTATCGAAAAAAAATTAAAGCAGAAATTTTTAATTAATCAATCTGCTTGGGGTGGAAGAAAGACGGCTTTGATTCAACGCGTCGTGATTATCAAAATTCGATTTACGCGTATACAGATTTTTTAATCAATTTAAAGTATTATTCACATAAAAATCCTTTCTGCTTTGTAATAACAAAAATGTAGAAAAAATCCAATACAATTAATCTAATGTATCATCTCACGCATCGGAAGAAAAAATCTTTGCACCATTGAAAATGAATGTAAAATTGCTTTCAATGCGTAAATTACGAGGTATATTATTCGATACGAAATTATTTTGAGATTTTTGCTCGAAGTAACCGGTTGATACCGAGTTTGCGCGAAATACATAGCGTTGGTGCGATTAGGTCGACGATTAGCAACGAACGAGTTGTCGCGAATTGCTAGCACGGATCGCCTGAGGGGTCACGACGATTTGTATATCGTATCGGCGCAATGTGCGCGCGACAATGGCGCGAGAGGAGAGAAGTAATGAAGTTCGCATTCCAGGCTATCTGGAGCATAGAATGACAAAACAATAAATCGCTTATCGCGCGTCGTGGTGGTGTTCGCGTGCCGTCTACTTCGCTCGTTCCTCGTCGCGACGTAAAGCGATTCGCCGCGTAATTCGCATAGACGCAACACACGGCCGCGATAAGAGTTGCCATTCAGCTGCTGCACAAGTGCAAATCTCCCGCAACGCATGGAAATTAAATTTTAGTCATCAGTTAAATCTTTTTTTTTTACACGGACAAAAAATTAGTTATTATATCACACATGAAATTTAGTTATCATGTCCAAATTTTAGCTATGATATATAGCTAATATTTTTAGCTATAGAATTTTTTATTAGGCACGATAACTAAATTTCAGGTTGTAATATAGGGATAGCTAAAATTTAGCTATGTGGTAGCTAATTTTTTTCCGGGTATAATAAACGATGTCTGACATTTTTTTAAGTGCATTAGGTCTATATGTATATACGTATATAAAAATGCTCTCTCGCGATTGTTGACTGCTGAATAATTTGACAATCAAATAAATAAATTGCCCCACACTTTTTTTTCTTATCTCAAATTACTTTACTATCTTCCATATCGGGTCGAGACGAACGCGTTTCATTACTTTTGCGATGATGGCAGTTATAGTGACCATTGTGCGCGACAAGAGGGTTAATGCCGCAGTCTCGGCTGAAATGCGTGAAGAAGGAAGAAAGGGTAGATTTGCCGTAATGTCGTCATGTCGGTCCCTCGCGTTATTCATCAGCGTCCAGTCGCATTATTCATCAGTCGTTCATCTTATCCATCTGGCGCGTTCAGTTTTTTGCCAATCATAACAATTTTTGCCCTTGCAACTGCCATTCCATATATGGAACGATGATTAGAAAATGATGTCTCTCTTTCCATCTTATCCGCAAAACGATCATATACATATATTTATATATATATATATATATATATATATATATATAATGCAACGCCGTATTCGAAAAGGAAAAAATATCCCAATAATAGTCTCCAAAATTATATAGTCGATTTACGGACGGATTTAATTAGACACGATGACTTTCTTATTTAGCGTAAAAGTATGGAAGAAATGTCATGCCGATGTGTCAGATCGTAATGTATAATTCTCGCATATCTCTATTAAGGATTTCAATTTTGATGAAACCAAAGTTCCCAAAATTATAGTCGATCGATAGATTTAATGGTTAATTTTATTAAGGTTGATGATTTTCTCATTCTCGTAAAAGCGCGCGGAGGAATTCACGTGTCACGCTGAAATGTATACAATAATCATATCTATCAGAAAACTCTAACAAAAATGGAGTTTCCAAAATTATAGTCGACCGACGAACGATTTAATTAAGAACGGTGATTTTTTTTTCATTTGTGCATGCAAGCGTAAGAAAATCGTATGTATAACGTATAAGATGTACATAACAGGGTGTCTATAAATACTTTGGCCAATTAAAATTAATCTTTCCTCGGGCAAAATTTATTGGGATAATTATTATTGAAGTAATAAATGAGGAGAAAACATATTCGCTACGGTATAGGATATTTTGAAATCTGAATCAAATTGCCAGCTGATTTTGTTGTCTTTTAATTGTAAGGGCGATAATAAAGATTATTAATGATTTCCGATAAAAAGCACCGATCCGTGGAAGGCTTGAAAAAGCGCTTTATGATTTTCGAGGAATTAAGGATATTTATTACTTCGAAGGTGTCGCTCTTGTGCGAA